ACCGAGCTACATCCCAGCCCGTGGGTGTCACATTTTTGTCTGTTGCCACGTCCTCCTAACCCTGTCCCTCCATCTCAGCTTCAGACGGGTAAGGAAGGGTTGAGGTGACCAGAAACCACCCCGGAAGGAATTAGGCAAATGACATAAAACTACCTCTCCAGGGTGTGTTCTGGTGGTCAGTCCCTGGTGGGGGTGTAGGGGGCAGGGTGGGAGGCGCCTGTGCTCAGAGGAGTTGGGGAACCACTCTCCTCTCTCCCCCTCCCCTCCTGCCCCATTCATGAAGCCCATTAGCATTTTAAAGACTTGGAGAAGTCCATCTGTTCAGAGAATATTCATTTGTTTAAACCAATGTTTCCCAAACTCACTGGTCCACCCTGCACACTATCTCCCAGGGAGTTGGCCCAGTCTCTGGGAGCTCTGTGAGACACCCTGGCTTAAAATGGGTGCCCTTGCCCCAGGGGTAGGCCCAGCCTTGTTCAGAGAAGGTGGGTCCTAGGAGAGCCAGGTCTGAGCAGCTCAGCATTGGTCCCCACCATCTCACTCCGCCTCCTCCACACTGCTGCACATGTTCTGCTTTGATAGTTCAACCAGAAGCTGCCAGTTTCCCACTGCTTCCCAGGTGGGGCCTGGGCCTCTCCTGAGATTTGGGTCACTTCAGGAGGAGAGGTAGGCAGGCCTCCAGGCAGAGCTGAGCAGATGGCCAAGGGGATTATTAAAATCCAGCTCTGTTCTCATCTGGTAAGGCTCAGGCTGGAAGAGGGGGAGGCAGCCAGGTCAAGTCCCACTTGGTGTGGGTTTTTCTGCTACAGCCAGGACCTGAAGAAGAGCAGTGTAAGCTGGAGAGGCTGCTTGCCTGGGGCCAGGGATCCCCTTCTGCCAAGCCCACCCTCAACTGCCCAGTCCTGACCCTGGGGCAGCAGGACAGTTAAAATAACCCAGCTGGCCTCATGATGAGGTACCAGGCACCACTGGAGTGTGACTGTCCATGGACCTGCTCCATGGTGGCCATATAAATAACGATGGGGATGATGACAGTGGTGGTGGTGATGATGGTGATGATAATAGTGGCAGTGCTGGTGATGACGGTAATGGTACAGACCACCATCATGGCGATGGTCATTGTAAGTGTGGTAATGGTGGTGACAATGGTGATGGCGATGGTGATGATAGTGATGGTGGTGGCGATGGTGGTGGTGATGACAAATGTAAGAGTGGTGGCTGCTGCTTATTGAGCACTTACTTTGAGCATGGAGACATTAGCTATTTCAGCTGTTCTAGAACTCAAAGGTGTATGGTAGTGAAATCAATATGAGCCTGGGCAGTCTGACTGCAGAGCCACACAAAGCCAGAATGGCAAACTCTCTTAAAGAGCCTGATTGTGGATATTCTCAACTTTGTGGCCCCCACAGCCCCTACTGCAGCTACTCAGCTCTGCCGCTGAGTAAAATCAGCCCCGAGGGCACGTGAACAGCCACTCGGATTCATTCTAACAGCCAGTAGCTGCTATTATTAATAAAGTAATTATATTGAAAATATCTTGACTTTGTTAGGAAATACTAATAATTAGGATAATTAATCATGTTATATAATAATTGTTGTAGTTACATAATTAGAGTGGAAAACCATGGACTTGGAGGTCAGATAGAGCAGAGTTGTAACCCCAGTCCCAGGATTTAGCAGCTGGAGATTTTGAATAAGTGACTTAACCTCTGTGAGTCACCTTTCACTTCTGAGAAATGGGAATGGAGGTCCTTGCCTGCCTCCTTATCAAGGCTGCTGTAAAAAGGAAATGAAAGGACACAAATGACCCTCACCCCATGTTTGTCCCCCACCCACAGGCCCCACTAAAAGGTGGTGGTTATTATTACCGGGTGTGTTTGTTGATGTCCTGAGTGGAAGGTGAGTTTGCCCTGTTCCTGACTTGGCTCCCTCTTCCCCAGGTGAACCTGTACTCAGACCCGCCCCAGCCCAGCCACAGCATCCACCTGGGGGTGGTGCCCCAGGGGACCAAGGTCTTATCCTTCACCATTCCACGGCCCCACTCTGCAGAGTGGTGGCCCAGCGCCACCCAGAACCCCCACGCCTCTGCAGCCACAGGTGAGTCAGGGCGGGGGTGTGGCTGCAGGACTTCTCCTGCCTGTGACTCTACTCTGGGGGAAACTTGGTGCATCCTCGATTACACTGGCTTCAGGCCAGAGAAGCAGAACCCCGAGACCCCTCTCTGGGCCCTTTGACTTGAAGAAGCCAAACAGGAAAGTGCCCTACTTTGAGCCAGAGTGGCCCGGGTGGAGTCCTGGTTCTGCCACTTGGTATCTTTCAGCATGGGGTGAAGTGCATAGCTGAGCATGGTCCTTGTGGAGTCCACTGTGGGGCCTGCCCTGCACCGAGCATGGCAGGCATGATCTCAGCCAATCCCCACGAAGACACAGTGAAGCATGCACCCTGGTTATCCCCATCATGGACAGGAGACCACAGCTGGGAGAGGCGCGCGCATGCTGAAAGTCACTCAGCTCCAAAGAGGAAGGGTTGGGACTCAAACTCATATCTCCCTGAGTTAGAGCCCATGCCACTGACTGGGAACCCCAGGCTGGGACAGCTCAGCTCCTCCCGGCTGTGATCTGGGGCAGATCCAGGCTTGGTTCTTGGCTCTTGGTTCTTGCCAAGCCCTCTTCCTTGGCCACTGCGGAGATGGTGCAGGTGCCCCAGCTTCCACTTGGTGGTGGAGGTGGTAATCTGAGGGTGGGCCTTGGTCCTTCAGCCCTGGAGGACTGTCCTTGGCCCCAGTGTCCAGTGGCTGTGTATTCCAGGGCGGCTGTCAGCACGAGGAGATCTGAGCCCCTCCTCGCCCCCCAGCATGCCCACCTCAGGGTGGCTTCCAGACAGCCAGGGCACCACCATCGACCAACCTTCTGCAGAGTGGACCCAGGCACTGGCTTCTCAGGCCAGCCAACTCCTGGCCAAGGTGAGTGAGACTCTAGCTTTGCTCTGCAAGATGACTCTCCCAGAGTGGAGGAGAGGTTTCTGCTAAACTGCTTGTCACCACCTCCCCACCTCTGCACTGTCTACTTCAGCCATCTCGAAGCTGCATCGCTCTCTGATATTAGATGCCACACAGCCCAGCCTCACAGGACTAGGCTGGATCCTCTTTTTTTGGCGTTGCCTCTCATCAGAGCTCCTCTAGGTCAGCCCCAGGGACACTCAGCTCTGTCCAAATTCTTGAAGAATGACAGGGCCTCTGCCTTACCTCTTCCTCTTCAAGATCAATTGCCCCTTTTCTTGGTTCATTTCATTACAGAAATCAATTCTTAGTTATCTCTCAAAGGGTTTTTATATTTTCATCAAACACTCCTAGTAGCTGAAATGTGTGCACGTCTGTTTCTAACTCTGCATTTGGCCTTATTCCAAAAGTGCTTGAAGCAGCTTGTGAAAATACAAAACATCTTAACCACATTCTGAAAACGGAAGTGGGGCAGAGGGGAAGTGAGCATTGAGAAGAATACATTAACCTAGGTGAAATGAATAAACAGTCTTCTGCTGGATCCTGAGCGCTTGACCAGAGTTAGACACCGGTCTTTGAGCATCCTAGCTGCCAGTGCAAAAATGGAAATGCAATTATTATGTGCGCCATGCCCATAAAATAAATTCCCTCAGGGAAGCACCACCATTCTTTTCCCTTTACTTCTATTTTTTTTTAAACAGTTTTGTTGAGCTACAACTCATGTACCATACAATTCACTCATTTAAAATACGTGCTCTAGTGGTTTTCGGTGTCTTCACAGTCACACAGCCGTTGCCACAACCTGTTTTAGAATGCCCTCATCACCCAGTAAGAAACCCCATGTCCACTACCAAGTGCATCCCCTCCCACTTCCCCAGCCTCCAGAAGCTGTCTACCTACCTGCTATCTCTGGTTGGCCTGTTCTGGACGTTCCAGAACGTTCTGGAAGTTCTGGACCTCCTCTGTGTCTGACTTCCTTCTCTCACCTCCATGTTAGAGCATGTTCAAGTTCCTGTTCCTTTTTAGCACCACCATTCTCCATCCTGTCATGGGAAAGGCATTTCTTCTTGTCTGCTATAAAGTAAAATAAGGCAAAGTGAGGCCACCACACTGAGCAGAGCTGGTCACAGCTGACCTTCAACATCTGAGCGCCCCTGAGGCTGTTGGAATTTTGACATGTGACTGATGCTGCTGTTTATATAAAACACACAGAGTTCAAATCCCTCACAAAAAGAAGAATATAAAATATCTCACTGGCAGTTTTTATATTAATTACGTGTTGAAATAATACTTAAGGTTTAATAAGCTAAATCATTAAAATTAATCTTACCTATTTTTTTACCTGTGTAATTTCAGCTTATAATAGAGCTCCTGCCAAGGAAGGGCAAGGCCCTGAGTTCACACCCCAGTACAGCCAAAAAAAAAAAGAAAAGGAAAGAAAATAAACCAAATCACACATGTAGCTCACATTACATTTCTATTTTATAGATTATATAAATTATATTTTATGGTATAATATATAACTTTTTATATATGTCAGCTCTGATCTATCACTTTCCTAAAAATGAACCCCAAATCATTCCTTGTGAGTTTTTTGACCATACTGAGTTTTGGACTTGGGGCCTTGCACTTGCCAGGCAGGTGCTCTACCATTTGAACCATACCCCCAGCCCATCCCTTGCCTTTTTTAAATTAAAAAACAAACAAACTTTTTTTTTCTTTGTATGGTACTGGAGATCAAACCCAGGGCCTTGAACATACTAGGCAAGTGCTGTACTTCTGAGCTACTCACCAATCCTAGGGTACATTCAGTGAAACGTCAGTCTGCTCCCTCCTGTGCAGAGGGTGTGTGCAGGTTAAATGCAAACCCAGGCCATTTTATATAAGGCATTTGAAGAGCCTTGGATTTTTGATATCCACAAAGGCTGGGGGTCCTGGAGCTGATCCCCCATGGATAAGAAAATGTATCCATATATTTCTTTTATTTCCTATATGCTTTGTATAGATGGCAGCATGCTATAAACACTGCCCAGTGTCTTAGCTTGATAGAAAATGGCCTCAGGGCTGTTTGCACATCAGTGCCCTCCCTATTCTTGGTGGCTGCAAGCTGTCCCCTGGGTGGGCAGCTTGGCTGTTCTCTGCCCACTTCCAACCATGCTGCAGTCAGTGTGGCTTGAAGGTCTTCCCACATGTGAGTGAGGGAGCTTTTTTGGCATTTTGTCCAAGGCTGTCCTGGTTAAGGCCCACCTCTGCTAAGCAGAAACCCCACATCCTAAGGCCAAACTCAGCCCTTCCTGCCCAAAAGCATGAATGTGGCTGAGTGAGGGAGTCTGCAAGGGTTGTCTGAGTTCATGGAGTGTATTTCTTTCCCCTCCCTCTGTCTAGGTGAAATCTTTTGAAGGACTGATGCAGGCGGAATGCCTCACACCCCAGGACCAACTCCAGGTACCACCACATGCAGGAGATGCCTTGGAGCTCCAGACAGCCTTTGTCCCCAGAGCTGTAAGATAGATGAGAGAGTCCCAGACATGGCATCTCCTGGGAGAGCAGACAGCTCAGCGTTCCCAGGGGAATGCTGAGGGTGTCATGACAGAATACTACTTGTTAAGCCACAGTGGCCTGCCAGACTTTCTGGTAGCCCTCCATGTACAATAGTTCATTTAATCGTTGTAAAAACCTATGAGAGAGTTGCAGTCATTATCTTGATAAGCTGTGACAAAACCAAAGCCCAGAGAAGTGACTGGAAGTCCATGCAGCAGTGTAGGCAGCAGAGCCAGGAGTCAGGTGTACCACTTCCCAAGTCCAGGGTCATGATTGCTGTCCTGTGCTGCTCCCGCTGGTTGGCCGGCTTCCCAGCCACCAGGACAGAGCCTTTTCTCTACCCTCCCGCCTCTCATTATTCTGCAGAAATTTGGAGACTAGGTAAATAGAGGGGAGGTGTCCCGTAATGTCGTCATGATCGGCTCATTTCCTCATGGACTTTGGTGCTTTTGATGGATGAGATAGTCATATATACATAAAACTCAGGTTCCTGCAGCATCCACTGTGCCACAGGAAGGGGCAGGTGGAGCCCACAAAGCTGGGAATGTGGGGGCCAGAAGCTGTTGGCAGCATCTGGGGACCATCTAGGGAAGCCCCAAGAGGAGCAGCTGCCACAGCTGTTCCCAGCTCTCAGGCTCTGCCCTCCTGCACTGGGAGGAGCAGAGGTTCTTATGGGTCCTCCCCCTGGACGCCCACAGAGAGGGAGGCCAGCCAAGGCACTTTTTCTAGGATGGGATACAGATATCACGTTCAATTCCCAGTTAAGGAATTTTCGATGTGTATCATTCTATCACCAGGCGGATGATCAGAATTAAAACCATTCCTTTTTTAAATTTTAAATTGACACATGGTCGTGGTTCATATTGTGGGGCACGGTGTGATATTTTCTACACATAAGCAACGTGACCACTGTCTCCATCTGAAACATTTGTCATTTCTTTGTGTTCGGAGCTTTTGAGTTCCTGCCTTCCTAGGTCTTTATAAACTAGAAGTGTGTAAGTTGTCATCCTACTGTGCCTTGCGTGCTAGGACTTATTCCTCCTACCTAGCTGTATTTTAGTTCCTGCTATCCAGCCTCCCTCTGCCCCCTCCCCCTCCCCTTCCTGCCCTCTGGTGACCACTATTCTATGCTCTGCTTCTATGAGATCAACACTTTCAGCTTCCCCATGTGACTGAGAGCATGTGATATTTGTATTCTGTCATCTTCCACTTAGCACAATCCACTTCTTTCTTGCCACAAATGACACACACAAAAAAATAATTTTCTTCTCTCTATCCTAATTCTCCCATATCCAGGGAGGTTAAGAACTGTTATAATATCAAGTGTGATGGGAACTCAGTTCTAGATTGCCCTGACCTCAATCTATCCTGCAGTTGAGTGGGCTGGGGACAATATTCCAGGGATAATGACCTGCCTCCTGTGATGTTAGCCATGTATTGACTAGGGTTAGGCTTACCAGAGGGGGCTAGCCCAATTTTTAGGACCAAGAACCCTGGAGCCAGAGCACCCAGGTTCAAATCTTGGCTGTACAATTTGTTCACTCACTGTGCGGCCTTCACCAACTTGATTAACCTCTCTGTGCTTCAGTTTCATCCTGTGTAAGTGAAGGTAATAATTCCCTCTTTGGGACTGTTGAAGATGAAATAAAGAGATGCAGAGTCTTCATCTCAGAGACGAGATGCACGGTGTTAGCTGGATAGTGTGATGTGATGATATCATCTGTCTGGTAGTTTGTACGGACATGGTCAGTTTTCTGACCCACAGTACTAGATCCTTACAGGGATAAGGGACAGTGTATTTAACACTGCAGCTGTCATGATACATTGGGTCCCCATTCACGATTTTACCATGCCCGTCTGATGGCAGAGAGCTTGACCAGGGCAGGTGGCCTGCAGTGGCACCCACTCCCAGCTCCTGCCTCCTAAGGGTCTGAGTGAGTCTCATGACCCCCACAAGCTGTCTGTCACCTGTATGTGCTGGCACTGGGCCTACAGGAGTTGGGGGCTCAGGGCTCCCTGGCCTGTCTGTTTCAGAGCTTCCAGCAGCTGAGGGCTACCCACGCTGCCCTAGAGGACAACTACCTGCAGGCCTACAGGGGGCAGCACCTGGCCCCGCAGCATGTGGGTCCCAAGAGGATGCCTGGGGACGCTGACCCCTGCAGGTATGTACTGGAGAGACAAGCCCGGGAGGACAGGTGGGCCAGGTCCCTGGGGTCCCTTGGTTGCCAGGAGGGAGGCATTTCATCTTCGATTGATACACAAGGAGAACAGAGAGAACCCAGTCCCTCTGGGTTCATGTCCAAATGGTGGGTCACCATTAGGACGCCTTGGTCATGAGCTGGGAAACAGCTCATTGGATGTTGGGGAAACTGAGGCCAGGGGGGGCTGGGATTTACTTTTTACTTAGGGTCTCACAGCCTGGGATGGTGAAAGGCATGGAGGGGACCTGACTGAGGCCCCTGATGTCCAGTGGGGTCTCTTTTGTGTAACTTATCTCAAGTCCTCAGCGTCGTTCAAATGGTGACATTAAATGGAATGTGACTGGGCGTTCTCCAGGGTTTCTGCTCTCATGGCTTCCTGACCCACTCGGCCCAACATGGCCACTGTCCTGGGCTCCTGGTGCTAATGTTTCTCCCTTCAGGGAGCTGGAGGCAGAGATAAACCAGCTGGGAATTCGTCTAGAGGAACTGAAGGACCACATGGACAGGACCCAGCGAGAGCCTGAGCCACCTGGGCCAAACCTACCTTGGGACAGTGGTCCAGCCATGTCCCTCCCCAACCAGCCAGCATGCCTGCCCACCATACCAGCCATCCAGACCTTGTATCCTCAGGTACCTTGCTGCCTGCTGCATCAGACTGTCCTCCCTCCATTGTCCACATTAACTTCTCACTAGGCATATTATGAAGTACAGGCCAAAGCCCAGGACCCTTGACATATGGTGGGGATTTGGTGGAGGCAGGAGACCAGAAAGGTAGCCTCTATCCTCCTAGAATTTTCCAAATAGTTGAACTAGTTATACAGTTATTTAATTATCATTTTGATACATGCTCTGAAGTAGAATTATGGAGTTCTGGTGAACATAGAAAACAGGTAATATGACTGAGTTGTGAGTCGGGGGAAGTCACAGAAATTTGTCTCTGAAGAAATATTGTTCAAATGAGATCCAAGGGCAAGAATGTGCAGAAGAAGAAAAGTCATTCACCAAGGGAAAAAGCCTGTGCAAAGGTCCTGTGGCCAGAGTATGAAAGTGGGGCAAAAGTCTGAGATGTGGCTTGAGAGGCAGGCATGGGCACAGTAGTGTAGGGGTTTGGGTTTTCAGCAGGGGGTGACATAAGAGATTTGTGGGTTGACCAGTCTGAGGTTGGGAAGGTGGTGAGAGAAAGAGAGACAAGTGCATACACTAGAGAGAAGTTTAGAAGGTGAATTTAACTGAATGTTGAATGGTGGGGTAGAGAGCCAAGGTGACCTCTAGGCTCTCAGTGTGGAGTCCTGGGTGGGGGGGCTGGTGGGCTGTCTGTAAAGGTGGGAGACACCAGGCAAGGGCTCTGTACAACAGGCTTTGCAGATGTCTCCACCCACACCACAGCCCCCTGGGGAACAACTGCCAGCTCCTGTTTGCAGGTGAGCAAACAGTAGTGGTGTGTGTGGTCACACAAATGACAGTAGTGGTGCCTCTGTGCCTCCAGACATGTGCTCCTGCCCTGCAGAGACTTGCCTGTTAGGGACTGGAGCAGAACAGGGCAGAACATTAGCTAGGCTGGTGGGGAGGGCATCCATGCTAGCTGAGACCTTGCAGGCCCCATGGTTTGGAGGAAACTCAGCTGTGCTCCGCCCAGTAGCTAGGACAACACTACCAGGTGGCATTTCCTACACAAATGGGAAAATGTGAGGGGCCCCATGCTCTCATAGTGGAGAGTCTGGGGGACCGGAGGGGACAGATGGGAATGGAGGGGGGTGAGGAGAGGTGCTGCTGGCAAGAAACCTGGGATGATCTCCCCTCGCTTCTGTGTGGTTTTGGCAGAGCATTGGAGCCTCGGTCACCTTCTGTAAGAGGCCCGTGTGTAGGGAGTGGGGAGCATTGCTGAGAAGTAACGTCAGTAGGGCGCTCTTGACTGCCAGTCAAGATTGTGGTCATCTCCACATTGTAAGCTTGAACATGAATGGAGGTGGGCCTGTGGGTCTAACATGTGTCCTGTTCATCACCCAGTATAAGCCTGATGTGACGGGTGCTCAGCCACTGCATTTAATCTCTGCCCCTCCCACCACCTCTCTGCCCAGCCTGCCACCACTGTCCCTGCCAGCCCATGCATGCTGAATGTGGAGGTGAGCCCCCACAGCAGTGGGACAGTGAGCAGCCCGCTGGATGTCCCCGGCCCACTCAGGGATAAGGAGCTGCAGATGGAGCAGGATTTCCATGGCCTCCTGGATCGGTGAGCACCCACCTGGAGGGAGGCCCCCCACCTGCTTGCTGATGGGTGTCTGGCAGAGCTGGATCTCAGCTGTCGCTGGGCAGAGGTCACAGCCCCCTCTGCACTCTTCGGCAGGTACATCAGCGCGAAGTCCCTCCCAGAAGCCTTGAGGATGGAGGAGAAGGAGGAAGAGGAGGAGGAGGCAGAGGAGGAAGAGAAGGAGGGAGAGAATTGCCACATCCTGGAAGTGGACGGGCCAGCCTCAGCTCCCGGGAGAGCAGGTGCCGCTAGGGTGCCCCCAAGGCAGCACCCAGCGCAGGCTGAAAGAAGCCATAGGGCCCCTCTCCAGTAAGTCACTGAGCCTCCCCTACCAGCCTGGTACCCACCCTGACCCCACAGGGATGAGCTAGATAGCTCCTTATAGTGCAGAGGTCCATGTCCAGCCTGTCCCATGTCTGCCCAGTGTGGCACGCATGCCACCAAGAGCACTTGAAATACTGTTGGGTGCTGGGGGACATGGCTTCGAGTGGGGATAGCCGCACATTAAGTAGCTTTTGTTGTCTGACTTGTTCTCAACAAGGAGAAAGTCTGTGCTATTGTGTCTTTAAGGCCTCTCTTGATATTCGTTTGAAGAGAGAGAGAGCCAGAGACAGAGCAAGAGAGAGAGACAGAAAGAGGGAGAGACAGAAAGAGGGACAGCACAAACAATGCAAACTGGCCTGGGCCCAGAACCATGAGCAGGCAACAGGATGGATCTAGAAACTGACACTGTTTTCATGTTTCTTATAATTATTTCAAAGTTATTTGTATTTGACCCGGAGTGCTAGTCTCCTATTTATATAGTGCCATGTCTTTTTGAATGGATGAGTCTGGAAGTAGCAGAAGGAGGGAGGTGGCCTACAAGTTCATAGGGAAGTGCTGCTTGGACTTGTTTCCACACAATTTCTGCTGGGTGGATTGGTGGGTTTGTTGACAACCCCATATTACAGTTAAAAGAGGTGAGACTCAGAAAAAGGAAGTGCCTTGTCCAAGGTCCTACAGCTGGAAGGTAGCAGAGCCAGGATGGGCTCCTAGGGGTGTCAGAATCAAGAGCCCATCGCTGGACTAACCTGCTTCTGGCACAGACTGAGTCCCTGTCTGGGCTGCCTAGCTCCTGTCAGGTCTCAGAGACAGCATGCTTCTTATCCCCCAGGGAGGCCATGGAGCCACCAGCCTTCCAGACATCTGTGACCAGTGACAGGTACATGCCGGGCCGGGGCAAGGCTGAGGCAGCTCCTTCGGGTCCTGGCATCCTATCCAACCCTCCAGACCCCAAGTCCACAGCATCCCATCAGAGCAGTATGACCAGCCTGGAGGGAAGCAGCACCTTGGAGCACCTTCCACACAAGTCTCCACGCTGTGCTGGAGGGCCCCATGTGGAGGTCAGTGTGATCGAGGTGCTGGGCTCAGAAGGCAGGCTTCCTGAGCTCTGCCTCTGGGCTTTTGCACAGGCCTTCTGTAGTGCCTGCTGCTCCTATGCCTGTCAGCTGCAGACCTACCTCTCATTCAGGGCTCAGACCCAGGGCCACTCCTTATATGTCACTGATAGGGGCTGGTTTTTGACCCTGTGCCATTTGTGCCATCAAATAGCAATTCTGACTATTGGAGAGACCACAGACCACATGGAAATGTGTCGTAGGATGTGTGCATGGCACACACACACACACACACACACACACACACACACACACACACACACACACCTATGGCCAGGAATCTGCACTAGACCATAAGTGCACTGAGGGTGGCACCTGTCTCCCTCATTCATATCTGTCCCTGGCAATAAGCCCATGTACTGGTGTGCGTTGGGCCTGTGTGTTTTGGCAATTGAGTGTAACTGTGGTACTGCCAGCCTGTGCCAGAGATGCTGGAATACACCTTGCTGGCCACTGCCTGTCTCCCAGGGGTCCTGACTTCTGGTCCTCAGGGAGGCCAGGCCTGCTCAGGTCCTCCCAGGCATGGAGAGTCCGTGCTGTGAGCTTGTTGCTTGCATTGGGACCTCGTTGCTTGCATTGGGACCTCGCACTGGGGCCTCGCTGTGGGAACCAGGCAGCCCCTGGAATGTGAGGCCAGGCCAGAATCTGGGAGGGGCTTCCTGCTGCACCCATGCACACTCCTCAGGCTTAAAGAGATACCACCTTTTCCAGGAGCCCTGGATGGCCTCCCCAGAGACAGACAGTGGCTTCGTGGGCTCAGAAACCAGCAGAGTGTCACCTCTCACCCAGACCCCAGAGCACCGGCTCTCCCACATCAGGTATCCTGGGATCCTATGTCACACACCTGGAACAACTTGGGAACCCAAGTGCCTGTGAGGGCTTTGATCAGGAGGCAATGATGTAGACACTCCTAGGCTGCCATTTCACCCTCCATCAATGGTTCCTTGTTCCCATCTTACAGGGAACAGAGGCTCAGAGAGAAGTGACTTGCCCAGTGTCGCTCAGTCCATTAGTGGCAGACTGGGAAGTGAATATTTGCTGAACAAATGAACAAGCGAGTGAATAAAAAGTATGGGGAAGCCAGTGAGATAGACAGAAGCCAAGGGTAGAGGGGTCTTGGATGGGAGATGTGTATGAGGGGTAGAGAGATAGGGCCACCACACAGACTGGTGCCACCAAACCTGGACGCTAACCAGGTATGCACGTAAAGAAAGGATTAGAAATTCTCTTTTTATTTTCTGAAAAACAAGTCAGGCGTTACTGTTGCCCTTTTGTGTGTTGGTTGTGGGTGTAGTGCTGGGCTGTTTATAAGGATAAGGAGACCCCCTGGCAATGGGTAAAGAGACACCTCACTGGTCCTGGTGCTCTTGTATCAGTCAGGGCAGAGTAGATGACAGTCCTTTGCTCATCCTAGCTTGATGCCTTGTCAGTGCCAAAGCTATTTCATGCTTAGGGCGCATTTTTTAAAAATAAGATAAGGATGCAGCCTGTGGGTTCCCCTGTGTCCGTGTCCTCCAGGATGTTAATGCTATGAGGACACATAGTCCCAAGGTTTGGGACATCACTGGTTTAGCATATGAAGGGCTCAGGTGCCATGTTTCAAGGCCTCTTTCCGTGTGACCTCAGTGTCCCCCCTCCCCACCTCCCAGCACTCCAGGAAGGTCAACCCAGTGCTTCACTGCATCCGCACCCCACGAAGGAGCCTCCCACCCCAAGGCCAGAGATCTTGTGGTCCCCAAAAGAGCTGCTGAGCCCAGCACACCCAGGAGCCGAGCCCAGAGGCACCTGTCCACCCTGAGCAGCCCTCTCCGGCAGGGAACCCCCGTCTCCCGCCTGGAGCGGACACTGGCAGCTGACATGGGTGAGTGAGGGACTCTGAGTTGGCTAGAACCTAGCCATGCTGAAATGCATGGTTTGAGAACTCAGACAAGCAGGAAAGTTTGTAGTACTCTTTAGGATGTGAATGGCTATACAGGATCATTCTAGGAAAATTAGAAATTACAGATAGGGTCGGGCTGGAGGTGTGGCCCAAGTGGGAGAGCACTTGCCTTGCAAGTACAAAGCTCTGAGTTCAAGCCCCAGTACCGCCAGAGAGAGAGAGAGAACTTGAGATTACAGACAGAGTGGATAAAAGTGAGCAAGAAATGTATATGAGAGCTATTTCCATGCTGGTGTTTATTTACATATAAAAACAGAAATAGGATATTTTATGTGTGTGCAGCAACTCCTTTTTCACTAAACATTATATCACAAATACTTCCCATGTCTATAAAATTTCTGTATTTTACCTTTAGAATAGGCACATGAACCTTTACTGAAATAAAATAAACCTACAGAAAAGAACATAAATTGGTGAATTTTCACAGCATGAGCCCAGACCAGAAGTTCAGCAGGATGAGAACCCAGAGCTCTTCACAAGCCCTTCCTAGTCCCTGTGCTCCCCTCTGCCACACCCACACCACCATGGGACCACCAATCTGATCCATTTACTCCCAGATTCACTTTGCCTCTTTTTAAGGTTCATTGTGTAAAAGCACATTTTTCTTTATTTTTATGAGTGTATATTAATTGTAAAAAAACCATGTTTTTAACTAAATTTTTATCCTGAGATAACTGTAGATATCCAGGCAGTTGTGAGAGAGAATACCCCTGAGACATTCTGTTTCCCCTAGTGACAATATCCTGTAGAAAGATAATACAGTGTTGGAGCCAAGAGTTGACATTGGTAGTCAAGATAACTATCTGCACAGCCGCACGCTTCCCTGCAGCCCCACCTCCTTCTCCATTTCTCTAATTTCCTCATTTCAAGACTGCTGTACCAGGGCATTCCTGTAATATGTAACCTTTAGGGACTGGCTTTCACACAGCACAGCTCTCCGGAGAGTCACCTAGACAGTTCCGTGGGGCAGTCACTGGTCCTTTATATATGGCTGAGTGGGTTCCTTGTTTTTTTGTGGGGGCCAGGGTGGTAGCTTTTACCTTGGGTGGCCCACCCCTTTGAGAGGCTGGTTAGGGCTTCTCAGGCTAGCCCCAGAAGCACGCACACGTGTGAAAGTGTGACTAGTTGCAGAGGGACCTGGTGCTTTGAGGCCAGTCTCAGAACAACATGGCAAGGTGGTGGTATGTGACAGAGGCTGGAGAATAGGTGAAGGGGTAATCGATGCTTCTCAGGCTTCTTGAAGACTTGGATCTGAAGTGGGGTGGAGTGGTGGGCTCAGTGCTGTAGTTAGAAGCAGCTCTGCCAGCCTGGCTCCACGCCCCCCACTTCCAGCTCTGGTTTTGAGGAGAATGAGTCACTTGGCTCATCAGGACCTTCTTTTGGGACCTCAGCAAAGCACCATTTCCCCCCACTCCAGCCCCGTGCCATCATTCCTCCCACACGAATAGAAGCTCCTAGGTCCTCTTTGCTACTTTAAAGCCACTCACGTTGGCCTCTCTCTGCATCCCTAGTGGTCCCCAGCTCAGAGCTCAAGGGGCAGAAGCGGATTTCTGAGAAGCTCCTTCCGGGCAGGACGATCAGCCCAGCCCCCACCCCAGTCCCTGCAGCTGCCTCCCTGCCCCATGGACCAGCCGAGAGCACCCCCAACCTCTTCGTCACCAGGACAGGGCGTGAGTAAGTTACACACTGGGCTGCACGGATCCAACGTCTTCACAGAGAGAGTGGAGGGGCTGAGGGTAGTGGAGATGGCCAGCCCTGTCCAGCTCACACATTCAAGGACAGGTGGCCTGGTGTCCTACTGTTGGCACTGTGGTAGAGTCTGTGATCAGAAGAAACCAAATTCTTTGTGTCCTATGGGGAAGACTCCATCGGAGGACACACAGGTATAATGAAGTTTATTAAAAGTTAGGGAAGGGAAATACGAAAAGGAGCATGGTGGACACAGGTGGAATCTGTGGGCATCTGTGCGTGCGTCTCTTCTCCAGGTGCTTTTGAACCCAAGCTAACCTATGGGAAGGGAGGAACCAGGTGATTCCCATCCGGTAATCCCTGAGTGGGGAGAGGCATAGCAGTTCCCAGGCCAGGTGAGGGAGGTCCCTAAGCCAGAGCGTGGTCAATCTGAAATGCAATGCTAAGTTTCTGTGAATCCTGAACTTGCCCTAATTTTAGCCTGCCTCACTACCTCTAGCCTAGGACTCTTCTGTGAACTTAATTGCTCTTGACTTAGAGGACGTTTTTGCAGCCAGTGGGAAATGACCTACACTACACCTGTCCTATGCTGTAACCTCCCATCTCCCTTCCAGAAAGGGCTGCCCTTCCACGGATGTTCCCTGAGGGTGGCTCATTCCTTGTATGAACTAAGAAGCTACTGCATGTGTCTGTCTTGCTGTTCCCGTCTGTCTGTCTGTCTCTCCAGTTTTCCTAATTCCCTGGCTTGGTTGAGCAGGAGCAGAAAGGCCAACTGCCACAGTCCTGTCCTCTCCTCCCTCTTCTTTGTGACTTTTGGTCAGTGGTCAGTCTCATGCCTTTGCTGGAGAGGACATCTGTTTTAGAACACACTGGAAACATTGTTCTGCAGTGACCCCCAGGCTACCTTGGCAGGAGCAGTCATTGTGTGCACTATATGTCCAGCAACTGGCACTCAGTGTCCTGGTCTGTAGTGGATGCATCTACCCCAGCAGTCTGCCTAGACATCAGTGTAGACAGAGAGGCATATTAGCCTATGGCATGCTGGGCCCTGGAATGCAGTAGGAACAACACTGTCGTTGTCTTCGGAAGTCTCACCATCTCATAGGGTGGACGTATAAGTACAGTGAGACTGTGGGAACACAGGGTTCGAGGCTTCAGGGAGGACTTCCTGGAGGAAGTGGTATCTAAGCTGAACTCCAAAGGAAGAAAGATGGGAACGTTTATCTGGCAGAGGGAACAGCATGTGCAAAGGCCCAGAGGTGAGAGTGCCTGTCATCTTTGAAGAGCCAGTGTTCAGGACAGCCAAATCCTTGAGTAGGAGGTGGTGGGGCCTTAAGCAGTAAAGGCTGAGAAATAGCCAGGGGAGACCTCCTAGGGCCTTGAATGCCATGGTTGGCAGTTTAGACGCTGGCTCCTCCCAGAAAGCATTCAGTGAACAGTCTATGGATGCAAAGCCTCCTGAGGATGGCCAGGCAGGTTTTGGGCAGAAGAGTGGTATCAGGGGTGTATTTTAGAAGGTACTGTCTGGCTGCCACGGGGCTGAGCACAGAAGCTGGGAAAGGGTCAAAGTTGGGAAGGCTGTTTTGCCAGAAGAGGAAGGATGGTGAGGAGGGTACAGGAGAGATGCTTTGGCAGCCAGGCCCACAGGACTTGGTAGCTTATTACCTTCAGGGGATGCTCAGGGAAGGAGAAGAGTCTAGAAGCACTCTGACTTCTGGCTGGCCTTGGGCCAGGATGGGTCATGAAGGTACAGAGAAAGATGAGTTTTGGTGCCAGCCTGTCAGTAACTAAAGAGTTAAGTCAGGAAACCGAGAGCTTGCCAGAAACAGTCCAGTCCCAGCCCAGGGCCAGGGAGCCAGAGCCCTGCCTCCCAGGAGTTAGCTAGTGGCAGCAGCCTGTGCTTTCCTGCAGCCACCACCCACCCTTGTGGTTGGCCTTGGAAGCCCCACGAGTCTCCCTGGGAGTTGCCAGGGAGACCCACTCACTCGCAGTACACACAGCTCGCTGGGACCTAGCCAGAGAGAAGTCCCCATGCCTTCTTGCACAGTCCTAAGAGATCATGTTCGTTGGAGGTGGCACCAGAAGACACTCACCCATGAGTCTAGGGGCCACCAGGCAAGGACAGCCCCTGGGGGAGCCCCCAGGCTGGAAGGCACCCACAGAGTGGATAGAAAGCCCATATCAGCCCAGGACAGTCATTGGGCCTGGACTCTAATGCTGCTCTGTGCGTAGGGGGTCTGTGGGTAGGGGTAGGTGTCTGGGTGGGACTGTCTGCTGGGATGGCAGCCTGTGAGACCCATGGAACGAGACCTGAGCAATGCAAACAGGATTTCTTCCCTAGCAGCTCACTGTGATCCTTGCAGATGAGAGGTTGGGTGTGTCTGGGGGGTCCTAAGGGGTCGTAACAACCTTACAGACAGCACCCTACTTGCTCCCCTCCCCCAGTTCAGCTGTGCTGGGAAGCACTTGGAGTCTCTTACCTGAACTCCACACATGTCCTCGACCCGATCCCCCTTGAGTTGGATCAGTTCAGTAAAGTTTCCCAGCACAGTGACGCATCAGGGTCCCTGAGGCTATGAGATGGGGTTCTACTTCCTGCCTGTGGCTCAGGACTGGGGAGACAGATGAGCCCCTTCTGCCTGGAAAGAGTGATGAGCAACAGGAAGTGTTTGGGGAAACCTGGGAGGGAGTGGCTGAGTAAGAGCAGGCCACACAATAACAGTTTCTAGAGAGAGGTAGGGGAAGGGTGGACAGCCCTGGGCCAGGGCAGGTCACATGGCAAGTTCAAAGTGGACGCTGAGCCAGTGCCCTCTTCATTCTGTGTCCTCTGAGAACCTGTCACTGGGGTTTCCAAACAGCAGACCTTGCATTATGGGGAGTCACCCTGTGCCTACAGGGAAGGGGCAAATTCTTTGTGCCTGGGCAGTCCCAGGGCCCCTCCAGCTCTGCTCCTTTTGCACCTCTCTTCTTTGTTTTTGTCTCACCCCACCCCAGCCAGGCCATCCGAGATCTGCAAGCAGAGGTTTCCCGGCTCCGTCTACGGCTGGAGGACAGCCTGCACCAGCCATGCCAGGGCAGCCCGATATGTTCAACGTCTGCCTTTGACCGCTCTGCCCGGAGCCGGGACCGACCAATGGATTCCTCAGTCACCTGGGGCTCTCACTGTGGCAGGTGGGTGACCCCAAATCTCCTACCTCCTCAACTTGGCCAGCCCCTAGCCACCTTCTCTCACTCATTCACTCAGTCATTTGTCTTTTCTTACATAGCTTTGAGTGCCCTGTTTGCTGCTTAAAAAAATATCTAGGCAGACATAGTAACTCACACTGTAATCCCAGTTCTCAGGATCAGAGATGGGGAGGATCATGGTTCAAAGTCAGCCCAGGCAAAAAAAAAAAAAAAGCTAGCAGGACCCCATCTCAACCAGCAAGCTGGAGGTGATAGTGTACACCTGTCATCCCTGCTACACAGGAGGCATGGCAGGAGGACTGCAATCCAGGCTGGCCCCAGGCAAAAGCATGAGACCCCTACCTAGAAAGTAATCAAAGCCAGAAATGGCTGGGGGCATAGCTCAATTGGTAGCGCACCTGCCTAGCAAGCACAAGGCCCTGAGTTCAAACCCCAGTACTAATAAAAAGAAATAAGGGTAGCTAAACTTCTGTGCTAGTAATAAAACAAGGTAGAAAGAATGACCTGTGCCCACCCCATAGCTGGAGAGCTAGGCCCTCTCCAGGACACTCATTCTCTTGCCACTCATTTTGTGGTCACCCATTGGTCACCTGATCATCTCATTTCTTTAAAGCATTTCTGTGGAGGGCACCAGGTTAAGATTATACAGACATCATCACATTAATCCTTTGAATAACCCTCTAAAGTCATTGCTCTTATCCTCATTTTGACAGATGAGGAAACTGAGGGTCAGAGCAGCCCGGAGCCACTCTCCATGAGACTGACTCCAGAGTCGTTGGTTTTTCTCTCTCTACTCTCCTCCTCCCGTTGTTCTAAGCATTCCTCCAGGTTGGCCTTGTCGTGGATCATCGGTAAAGGTGGCACAAAACCTCACCCAGTAATGTCACCTCTCTTCCCTTTGGCTAGTAAATCCACAGAGAGGTTGTCCAGAGAGCCTGAAGGTGCAGAGCCAGCTGTGCCCAGAGGACGACAGCGAGCCAGGTCCTCCTCAGTGCCTCGGGAGGTGCCCCAACTGTCCCTAAGTAAGTGACTGACAGCCAGGACTGATTTCTGGAAGCCACAGTTGGCTCTAGTCAGGGATCACAGCAGTGGTGTTTCAGGAAACTTGGAAAGGTTATCAGTGTGTCTGTTAGGCTCTTTTGTGCTCAGAAATATGCTTCTAATGGCGGCCACTCTACCCTGTGTGCCTGTATGTGGGATGTGTCTGTGAGGGCTTTGTATAGGTCACCAAACTGAGCATCCACTACTAGTTGGGCCATGTGTCCATGTCTGCAGAAGCCCAAAGCCCAAAGCCCAAGGGACTTAGGGGAAGGAGCATGGCTCTGGAGTCCATCCCGGGGTTCATCCCCAGCTCCACTGTGCTGTCCTTGGCCGGGTGGTTCACCTGCTTTGAGCAGCCACAGGGCCAGCTACCCATGCAGTAATGACAGCGCCCGCCTCCTGGGACAGCGCTGCAAGTGTGGGACCCAGCACACAGAATGCATCTAGACCAGCAGAGCTCAGGACTACGGTTCTGGGGCTTCTGGGATTGAAACCCAGGCATCACCCCAGACCCTGACCTTGTAGTGTGCTCACCCCCCAAGCTGTGTGGACTACCACCCTCTCTGAGGCCCCTCTCTTTCCACTCCAGGTTCAGAATCTGAGTCACTCTCCCCCCAGCTGTCATCTGAGAAGAGCAGAATCCCCAAGGACCATCCCTGGGCAGCACGGGATGGGACAAGAGGAGCAGGCAGTGGCAAACGATCGGACAGAGTCTCCTTCCGGGGCCAATACACAGGTGGGCCTGGGGGGTGGGTAGGATGGGCACAGTCCCCAGGGCCATCTCCTCTGCCATGAGAAGCCTTTTCCATGTACTGTGGGGCCTCTGAAGTCACACAAGTGTGTTCAGTGGTGGGAGAAAGATCAGGAACGGGCTGTGTGAATCTCAGTGCTGACCATCTTCTTTCACTGATAAGGCACAACCACGCTGGCCCCTCCCCTGTGCCAGCACCAGACTTCATTCCTGGAGCCCCTTCAGTTCCGCTCATCAACCATAAAGAGGTCCATGACCCCCTACTCTGCCAACCCTGGGCATGCAACATGAACCCTGAATGTTGTCAGGTGCCCAGTCCCAGCCTCTGTCTCTCATAAACTGGGCACCTGGCCTTACCTGAGTACAGCCTGGGGTGACACCTAGCAGCACTTCAGAGTACTTAACGTTAGAGAATAGATGCATGTGGGTCTCACCTTCATGAGCCTGCCTGCCCAGCAGAGGCAGCACCAACAGGAATGACAGTGAGTGTGACAAGTCAGTCACTGACCCCCTCCCCAGCTCCACACTGCTGGGTTGTTGGGACTGAGGCAGGAAGTGAGGCTCCTCTCTGTCCTGTGCAGCTCGTGACAGAGATGTCAGACATGGAGCAGTCCCCAGTGAGGACCGCAGGAAGTCTGCAACACACAGTACAAAGTGTGACTACAAGGCATGGCACAGGAGGGAGGGAAAGGAGGAACCCCCTCATGGTGGCTCTAGGAAGCCTTTAGGTCTTTGAGGCCTGGCACGAACAAGGCCTCATCCCAGAGGTGGTGGGGACCTACGAGCTTTCCTGTCTGCCGGATACTGGGTAGAGACCAGCACCTTGACTTGCCCGTCTTAGAGCCATCCAGAGCCCAGGGAGAGATGCCACTGAGCCCTTGTCCAGTCACTCAGATCTGACAGCAGGTCTGGTCCAGGGAGAGCATCCTCTTTATCTTGACTTAGCCTGTCACTCAGCTGAGGATGTTGAGCACTGCTGTATGACAAGGGCTTAGCAGCTGCTTCCAGAGCTGAGATGAAGCAAGACGGAGTCTGGAGACAATCAACGTGTTCTCTGTGTGTGTGTGCACACTCGTGTGCATTCCATGACACGTGTGCCCTCGTGCACACACAAGAGACAGATGGGGAGGGACAATGAAACCACCGGAAGGGAGGGAGAGATTGTTAAACCTGGGCATCCTCACAGGCTCTGGCACTGACCGTTCTGGTTTCTTCTCCAGGCCAGGAATACCATGTTCTGTCCCCCAAGGCTGTCCAAAAGGACAGTAATACAGCCTCCTGTCCCCACTGCCAGCCCATTAGGGTGCAGGATTCAGGTAAGAGGGCAGCACCTGGCGCAGCTGAGACTGAGCTGCTCACTGTGTGGAGTGTGTAGCGGGGCTGCATATGGGCCATTTTATGGGGGAGGGAACTAAGGCTCAGAGTGATTAAGTAACTTGCCCAAGGGCACACAGCTTATAAGTGGTAGAGCCAGGATTTGGACTCAAGTCTTCATGACTCCAGAGCCCTGGCTCTTCACCACCATGTCTCTCTACCTTTGCTAAAATCTTAACAGATTTCTCCATTAATTCATTCATTCATTCACTCAACATCTACACATACTGGGCCTGACTAACCAACCACAAGGAACCAATCACAATGCAGAGTGTTTGGAGCTGGGGTAGGGGCACAGGGCAGGGCTGGAGTGTACTCAGCTGGGTGGTGGGAGAAGCAGATGGCCTGGAGCCCACAAATGTGGCACTAGGAATTTACATGGGACAAGGATCATGGTGTCTACTGCCTCCTGCTCCCTTGCTGACCCCAGCTCCCAGGTGACTATCCTAGGTCTTCTGTGTGGGGAACGGGTCTGTCTCATTGGCAGAGTAGGAGCTGACTCCAGGGAGGCAGGCCTGGGGTCAGATGACTGCTACTTCCCAGCTCTAAGACTTTGGCTCCCTGTGGAGCCTCAGTTTCTCAAACTGGAATGAAGAGAAAACATAGTAGCTGGCCCCATGGCCTGCTGGGATTGACATAGCAATGGGCGAAGGCCCTTACAGAGCAGCACATACCGTTGCCATCAGTGTCCTCCCCCAGGGGGAGGCAGCTGTGTCCTCCGCAGTGGCTCTACGGAGAGTTGGGTGTGGTGGGGCTCCAGGTCTGATGTGACATAGCCCTTTCCTGACTCTTCCTTCTCCTCCAGGTAATGCTGCCAAGGACCCACTGGAACCACCTGCCACCAATGCCCTCTGCTGTCCCCTGTGTGGTCAAGTCGGGTCCCCTGCAGAGGGAGATGGCCCCGGCTCTGTCCCCTCTGGTAGGAACAAGTGCTCAGTGTCTTTCTGTAGCCAGATCCCAGCTTGGCTTGGCCACTGCCTGGGGATATGGCAAGCTCAGCTGGGGTGGAGCAAATGGGGTGGGGGAGTTGCTCCCCAGAGGGATGCCCTTCCCAGAGTGGCCCGGTGCCCAGGGCTCACTCAAGTGGGCTATTGTCAGCTGCATCTGCCTGGATTTCAGACTTGAGCTCCATGCTTTTCTTCCCTGGCAGGGACAGAAAAGGCCTCCCCAAGGAGAAACGCACCTCCCACCTCTAGCCCCAAGCAGAAAAGCAGGCGGGCAGGTTCACCAGCACAGCCACCACCTGGACTGTGGTATCTGGCAGCTGTGCCCCCAGCTCCAGCTCCTCCAGCCTGTGCCTACATCTCCTCGGTTCCCGTCATGCCTTATCCCTCAGCTACTGTGTGAGTCTTTTCTCCCACCTGCCCCAGCCTCTATCTGAATTGCTAGAAGAATTAGTATTCGTACCTGTGTTGGCACCTGAGTGCCTTCTTGTGGTTTACCCCAGATGGATAATATTCAGTGACAGTCTGTAGTCACTTAACAAACCTGGAGTGCTCTCTGTGTCTCAGGAAGACCTCTCTGCCCTGGGGAGCCAGCAGTGAAGACCATAAGAAGACTCTGCCCCTGGGAGTTAACGGCTTCCTGGGGACCTGGAACCCTAATCACCTTTCCTTGTGGGCAATCAAGGAATGAGGACTCACTTATTTTCAAATAGACTTTCTTTTTCAGGACACTTTTGGGTTTAGGAAAATTGAGCAGATAGTACAGAGAGCACCCACATCCCCACCTCCCGGTCTCCCCTATTCCTAATATCCTGCTTTAACATGGTACCGCCATCAGCGTCAGCGAGCCAACGTGAAGACAGATGTTATTAACTGAGGTCTGCGGTTTGCTCCATGCCCTTCAGTGCTATCTGAAGTCCTTTCCATTCTGCGCACCATCCAGGACACCCACCTTTCATGTTGTTCCCCTTCAGCTGCTCTTGGTAGAGGCAGTTGCTCAGTCTGGCCGTATCCCTAATGACTTTGACTGGTGGGAGGCCACTGGCCAGGTATGCCATGGGCAGACTCAGTGCAGGTTTCAGAATCCAACAGAGCTGTGTGGGAATCCCATCTCTTTTTGACATGGTAGCCAAGGCAGAGCTGCTTCCCCTCTGAGCCTCAGTCTCCCGTCTGCTCAGTGGGGGGGATGGTTTCTGTCATCTGTATGAGAATCAAGTGAGGCCCATGACAAGAGCCAGAGCTGTTGCTGGAGGTTGACATGCAGTGCTAGCCAGGCTCATGATAGCAACACAGAGGCTTTGTGGTCCAGCCAACATTGCTGCTTCTTGGTGTTGTCGGTAATTAGAAGAAACAGGTGAAAGTGGCTTCATGAGGACCAGATTGTATAGGGGAAAAGAAACCTGGACCAGCAATTTGTCCCAACTGTCACCAATGAGTTCTCTGCTTCAGTTTCCTCTCTGTACAGTGAGTCAGTTGGGACTCAGTGTCACTAATGGCCACACTGTCAGTAGCATGTTTGTTTGTGAGCAGTGAGGGCAGAGACTGTGACAGCTAGCAGTTGGCCAGCACAGAGGCCTGAGGCACCGTCCAGCTCTAGGTCTGCATGAGCAGACCAGACCCGTAGGTGTGGCTTCTACCTTCTCAAGTGAGTCTGGTCAGCCCTTAAGGATGGTCCCCTCCAGCAGTGATGAAATGAGAGCTCATCCTGTGTAGTGGGCTATGGCACTATGGTGCAGACCCCATGGCTTCCCTCTTACTGGGCAGGAAGGTTTTGCCTGGAATTTGGAGGCCCCACTTCTCCTGAGGTCAGATCCTTCCAGGCTCAGTCCTGTGGGAGGGACTACCCAGGTTGCTGTCTCCAGGATGGGTGGCCAGGTGGGAGGGGAAGGAGTTAGTGGCAAGGAGTAGTTTCATAATCTTGGGCAGGTCACTTTGCCCCCACCCACTGCTGTGCCTCAGTTTCTTCCTCTGGGAAATGGGTTATGGTAAAGATTATAATGAATGCACAGAAAGTCCACAGGACATAGAAAATGACCAGAATGTTCTGTTGTGGCTAGAATTTAGGGACTGCTGCTCTCAAGTTTCTCCTACCTGCCTGTCAAGTCAGCAGGACTAAGCATGCTGAGTGGCTGAGGCCAGTGTGCAGTTTCTGAACGCTCAGTGGTCCTGTGCTGCCACCTGCTGGTCACCAGCCCTATAGCCCCTGCAGCAGAGGCTTTTTAGCCTAGAGGGTGTTTTTGTATTTCTGCCCTATGGGGAGTTTGGGGAACTTTCAGGCTGGTCACCAAATGAATAGAAAGTGGGGTGTGCAGGAGCCCAGTAGTTACTCCAGGTACTCTCTAAAGGAGCGAATGATGGTTGTTGTTCACTGCACTCAAGAAGCCTGTTCGTTCAGCTTAGAGCTGTTTATCGGCATGGGCTGCTTGCTAATGAGCTACTTAGCAAATATTTGAGATGTTGGGGAGAGTCAGGTCTGGTGTGAATCTACCTCTGCCCTTCTGGCCTGAGACCCTGGGCCTTATGAGCTCACACTTACCACAGCCTGGCAGAACAAGGCTTTTACCTGAATTTTCCTGTAGTCTGTACCTGGGAAGTAGCTAAATATGGCCCGTTTAAGTTAGAAAACAGAGACCTTAAGTGGGGCATGGTTGTGTACTCCTGTAAACTCAGCACTCAGGGGGCTGAAGCAGGAGGATTGTGAGTTTGAGGCCAGCCTGAGATATTTAATGAGAACCTGGCTAAACAAACAAACCGAGAGAGATCTTGAAAAGTGATGTCACTTGTCCAGCTGGCCAAACAGAATGACAGGGACGTGGGGCCTGAGCTTCTCAGGTCAGCAGGTGATACTGTCTCCTGAGTCACTTAGCTTCTCTCTAAAGTGGGGTTCAGGGACTGCCTGGCACATGGTATTGAAGACAAGGATGCCGGCCTCAGGCTAGGTACCATGTTTACCTGCAGGAGACGCTGCCAGACTGGTGTCCAAAGTGATTGCGCCATCCTCTCCTCCCCTGCCCCAGTAATGACCAGGGTTCCCGTTGCTGCACACCCTGGCTAACTCTTGCTGGTGGCAGTCAGATTTATTTTAGCAGGCTAGAGGGAAGTATGGGAAGTGGCACCTCCCATCGTTCTGATTTGCATTATCCCCGTGCCAGTGATGTGGTGATCTTTCCGTGTACTTTTTGGACATTTGTTTATCTTATTGGACAAACATCTGTGGAAAGCCCAGCCAGGGCCTTCTGCACACTGTACAATAAGGCAAGATAGAATGTGGGAGAGCAGGGATAAAGCCAGAATCCACCGCGTGCCACGCAAGAGGCAAGTCCTCAACTCATTCCTGCTTTATTTGGGCAAAGTGCTTCTTCATCCCTGTCTCCCAAACCACATTCGCAGGTTATTCAACAACACAGAGGTCACATCCTGTTCTTGCCCACAGCTGGTAACCTTGAACCTGACAGTTACCAGCGAGGTCGATGCTCCGGTCACTGCTTGGGAAATCTGTGCTTCCTGTCCTGGCTCAGCAGTCCATTCCTCCAGCCCTTGAAAACAACACCCCACATTCCTACAGGACTGAGAGGAGGATGTCACCCACCCACCACCCTGGATGAGGGGAACCAGCCTCTCATGTTTTGCACAATCCTGAGTGTTAGGGTCACATCTCTAGCACCCCAGGGTTTGCAATGAGACCCCATATACTACTTCTCTAATGAAGGTGTTTGCTACTGAATCTGAGGTGACCCTGGCCTCCCCAAGATCTGCCTTTCTGATTAGAAGCTCTGAGAAGGCAGTGGGACTCCACACTGGCTCATTCCTCTGTAATCCCAGAGCCTGGCTCAGTGGCTGGCTAAGTGAGTGGGTGGCGTGAACTGGCCACCTGGCCCCTGTTCTGAGTCTGCACTCACATGCATTCTCTTCCTTCATCCTTCTACACTTATTATCCCCATTTTACCGCTGATGAAACTGAGTCCCAGGGAGCAGAGGCCAGTGGGCCAGCGGGGGTGTCCCTCTTCACCCAGCTCTCCTGCACTAACGTGCGCATTTGCTTCTCTCCTCAGGTACTATGTGCCCCCAGCACCTACCTCAGCCCCTGCAGCCTCCCCGCGGCCAGCCCAGAGACACAGGCACTCCATCCAGCTGAACCTGGACGAGCTGGATGAGCTGCAGGCGGCCCTGAGCCAGGCTGCACGGGCAGCCGAGAGCGTGCGCTCCACCACACGCCAGATGAGACGTTCACTGGCCGCTGACCTGCGCCAGGCCCGTGACCTGCGGGGCTCCTGCCTCTTCTGACTCCTGGAAGCTCCAAGACAGGGTGACAGCAGGCAGACAGCCCTTACTGTCCCCAGGTCAGGCATCGGCTACAGCCACTGAAACCTAGAGGACCCCACAGCCCCCTCCCCAGGAGAGCCAACTGCCTGCTCTGTCTGATGTGTCAGCCTGGTGACCAAGTGGGGTAACTTCAGGGGACCCAGCCCTGTCCAACAGGTGCTGTGAGCAAGAGCACCTGTGTCCAGGTGGAGCTCTGGGACTGTCTGCTCCTGCATTTGTTCACCGCCAGCTAATAATATGTATCTTGTAGACTGATGGACAGAATGTCTCTGTACTAGGGAGTTATCCTGGTGTCAAATCCTCTTGGAAAGGCCAGGGAAGAAGGGAAAGGCCGGGGTCGTTCCAGCAAGCCTGCACTCCTCTATGTATGACAGGCCACTCATTCCTGGGAAGGGCCTGGCCAGAGACCTTGCTTCCGGTGACTGGTGCACAGGGAGTCATTTGGGGACTAGTGGGGCATCTAGGGTTGGGGGCCTCCTGGGGTGACATGTGCCCAGCTCCTCCATGGTTGTGGGGGCCTTTCCCATAGCCCATGGGATGGAGGAAACCCAGGGGAGCAGGAAGCTATCTACTTTGGGCTCTCTCAGTACCTCATCCCAAGGCCCGGGCTCTTCCCAGGAATCCTAGTGGCCAGCTTCCAGCCAGGAGCCATAAGGCCCGGTTGTCTCCTGCTCCCCTACTCCTGGCAGCAAGTACCTCAGCATTTCTGGAATGTGTGTGTGTATCACAGATGTTTGTATATTTGAGGCATTTAAAAATCTATTTTTGTTACAAAAGCAAATGAAGAAGAATGAATAATGATCTATAAAAACAGAAAAGACAAGAAAAAACAATTCCCAAAGCTGCCTGTGTCTGTGATAATATGTGTCAGGGAAAACTTGATACCCTCCCAACTCCCCCAGAGGGAACCTGTTGAGTGTACATTTCTGGGCTCTGCCTGCCTCTGCTGGCTTCTATTTCTCCACTGTTCCCTCTCCCTATCTCAGAACATAAATCTTTCTGTCTGGCCAAGAACCCTTGTACTGAGGCCAAAGATGTGTGAGCCACACAGCAGGTTGGTGTTTGCCAAAGCTCATGCCTGGTTCTTCCCCGAGTTCCTTCCATAGCCAGCTCCAGCTGTCTCATGGAGCACCCATGGGCCCTGTACCCTGAGCTCCACACTCAGTGCGTCCTTCTGCATGTGCCACCTGCAGTCCTCTGACCAGCCCCCCCAACTCTGCCCCATCGTATTGACCAGGAGAGTGGACCATGTACCCAGGCCAGGTCGGGAGAGATCCAGGGGTTGTACTCTTATGCCTGTCTCAAAGTCTGTATTCTTGCTATTTGTTTTTACTTGCACTCTCCTCACCTCTCATTTCTGACTTCTGCCCAGCATGATCCATGTGTTGCTCAAATTCTAGCAAGTCCTCAGAGGGAGGTGAAAGTGGCACCTTGCTGAGTGGCACTAAAATGGAAACATTCCTCAGAGGTTCTGAACAGCAGTTGCTATGGCTATCCTGCAAAGGATGCTGGGGTCTGGGCCTGTGGAGCGCGGCTCTTGGGAGGGAGGCAAACAGTGCTGGCATCAGAGAGCTCAGGACTGAACACAGTGACTGCACCAGGCAGTTCGTCCTGTCACTGGTTTAGGCGGCTGCGCACAGGGAATGACCCACACAGTTCAGCCTGGCTCCTCTGCCTGCTGGGGTGCTGTTTCCCTGGTATGAAGAGGCCATCAATCATGAGCGCCCTGGGTTGGGGGTGGGGGGCCCCCCCTTGGAAGACTACTGGGCTCCGGGGTTCAGCTGTTTATGCCACTGAGTGGACCACGCCTAGAGCATGGCTTCAACTCAAGGGCACCAAACACATCTGCAAGACAGAGGCCAGCTGGGATCTAGGGACCAGCCTAGTCCACAGGTGTTTGGGCCCCTCAGGTGGGCACTGTAAGGACACTTCCACGGAGACATCCAGCCCCTGCCCTCCTCCTGGCATGGCCTCTTGCCGGGCTGCCTGCAGCAGGCTCCCTACTCACGCCTTCTAGCCTTCCATGTGGCCCCTCCCATCTGCCGCCTCAGGTGATCAGGTTGCTTGGTGTGAAGTAAGGGCCCTTGTGACAGGTACCGAGCACCTGGATTCTCCTCACCCCTTATCCACCTCTATCCATACTTAGGTCATCTGCCTGAGGCTTTCTAAAACGTGTCCTCAGGTTTCTGGCTTGCGGCAAAAAGAAGTTTTAGCCAACACCTAATCCATCTAGACTGGCTCTGATGCCCCTACTGAGTCTTCTTGCACTTTCCCACTGCAAAGAAGCTTTCCGTGCTGGGCTCCTACAGTAGGCAGTGCCTGTCAGCATCCATCCTGGCACAAGTGCTGCATGTTCCCACAGGGGCCTTTGCATCCAGGGGCACAACACCTGGACACAGCAGGGCTGCACTCAGACTTTATCATGAATGAATGAATGAGTGAGTGAATGAATGGATGGATGGTAAGTGATTGAATTAATGAATGTGTAAGTGAATGAATAGATGGATGAGAATAGATGGATGGGTGAATGAATGTATTGGCGAATGAATGGATGAATGAGTTAATGAATGAGCGAGTAGATGAGTAAATGAATGAGTGAATAAATGGATTAGTGAGTGGATGAATGGTTGATTGAGTGAATGAGTGAATAGATGGATGGATGAATGAATGAGTGAGTGAGTGAATGAATGAACAAATGACTAGCAATCTGACTTTTGCAAGCAGAAACTTTATTGATGCAGAGGAAGAACAGAAGCACAAGGAGCTGGGGGTCAGAGATGAGGTCAATCTCCAGACTGCCAAAGTGTTGACCCTATGCCACATCTTCCTTGGGCTCTTTGTTTTCCTCCTTCTTTTCGAGCTCCTTCTGCCTGTGCAGCGGCCCACACAGATCCTAAGAGACAATGGGGAAGAAAGCCCAGTGATGGGGAAAGGCAGAGATCTTTAGAACCAGGCTCCAGCCCCTGCTCTATCAGTCCTGCCAAGAGGTCTAGAGCAAGTCATTTTCCCTCTCTGACCCTAGAATGGAGCTTCAACCCTGCCACAAGGGCTGGCATTTTCTGAACAGATGTGACAGGCCATGCCCCCACGCTGGGTCTAATGGCACCACCATTTGCAAAAGAAACAACTTAGCTCAGGGTGGCCAGGCAACCTGTCTGAGGTCCCCAGCCAGGCAGTAAGATGGCAGACTATGGAGCAGGGGACCCAACTCCATCGATCATGTCCCTGGGCCCTTTTCCAGGAAGTTTGGGGCTGATGGTTACTGGAGAGGAGCCCAGGTAGTGGGTAGAGGGAGAGATTTGATTCTGACAGTCGGGAGAATGTCAAATGTGTCTCAAGTCATGGCTAGGAATCAGCAGGTGAGGCCTTTCAGATAACACAGGCTTAAAGTAGAGTCATCACAGGTCACCTTATTATTACAAAACTAGGACTGTGTCCGTAGCTTGCGGAATTGAGTGAGACTGAAGAGCACAACCTCAACTTCCTGTCCCATGGTCAGCAAAAGCAAGAAGAGTGGGGAAAGGCCTGGGATGTGGGAGGTGAAGAAGAGGTTCCTTCCTGTGTGTGTCTCTTCCTGGGTTCCTGCCACCACCTGGCTCAGGCTGTCCCCTCCTGTTGGACTTTCCAGTCCTCACACCTTCTGCAGTGTCCTCCCTGATCTTGCATGGACTGTCCTTCTGGGGCTCCCATCTCCCACCTACGGAGTCTCTGAATTTTAGCTGTCCCTCTAGGCGTGTTCTTAAAAGCAAGAGAACTGCCTTGCTGTGCAGTCTTGCCCAGCAGCTTTCCCTCTCTGGACCTTTGGGGTTACCCAGAATGGAAACACTCCCAGGGTGGCACTACAGGGTCCCTCATGGTTACCTTCGTCCAGTCAACGTATGTGATTTCTGACTTGAGCATGCCCGCGCTGATGATAGCCTCTTCAAACTCTTCCTGCTGCTTCAGGGTGACCTTCGGCCTAACAGCTATAAGGGGGACAAGAGCCTGGGTGAGGACACCGCAGCCCTGGGCAGGGCTGAGGCTCTGGGATGGACGGAGGGGGAGGCTGGCAGGGCAGGGATCTGAGACCTACCATAGAAAGACAGCCCCCGGTTCTGCTTGTCTTCCAGAGAGAAGGCCAGCATGAAGATTTTGGGGTCCTTGGGCAGCAGCAGAAGTGCGAAATGCTCTCTGTCCCCCTCTGCAGGAAGAAGGGCTTCAGGGTGAGACCGTGTCCTGGCACAGTCCCCGTCCTCGTCCTCAGGTAGGAAGCCACACAGCCATTAGCAAAGACCAGGCTCACTGGGGCGGCCCTGCTGGGCACCAGACCCCATGCTCAAAGCCTCTGGCCCTATTTCACAGATGTGGGAGGTGAAGTCCAGAGAGGAGTCTCGGGCAGCTAACTGGTGTCAATTGAGTTCCATCAGTATGTACCCTTACTGTGTGCTGTCCCCAGTGATAGTGGCGACATGGGTGAAGTTACCACTTGCCCAATATGTGGACTCCCACCCTTAGCTTCCAGAGGGTGGTTAGAGAGAGAGCAGATCTGGACTGGATTTGGGTTTGAATTCTAGTTCTAATGACAAGCTGTGTGACCTCAGGAAACTACCAGGACATCTCTGTTCTTCCACTTTGTCAACTGATCCTTGCAATACCCTCTCAGGGTTGATTGCGAGTAGGAAGTGAGTTAGTTCATGTGAAGCACATAGTGAGATCAAAATGTTGGCAGGCATTGCTATGTTTTGGCAGGCAGGAGACAAGGAAGGTAAGGGATCAGGCTTGCTGGGTGCTTTCTATGCATGCACAAAGCCTGAGGCTTAGTCTGGCCTTCTTTCCTAGGCTGCCCCACCCCCTCCACACAGCAGACCCTCCCACCTGAGGGCTGGCCCTCACCGAGTTTGGAGAAGGTCCCATTCTCTCGTTGAACCCTCAGATGGCTGGAGGTATAGATGCACTTGTCCTCTCTAAAGCAAGACAGAAGATAGGCAACAAACAGGAAGTCAAGAAGTGACTATTGCCCACCAGGGCACAGGAACGAGAGTGGGTAGAGATTACAGTCAGTGGTCCCCACTGCTCAGGTGGGAAGGATGAGGCCAGGAGGAGACAGGGGCTTGCTTAAGGTCTTTGAGCATCTAGAAGGGGTGTCCATAGTTGGCTCAGGGGACTCACATGGTCTGGTACTCTTGGACCAGCATAGTGTCTTCTGTCAGGTTGGGAACAAAGTCAAAGAAATCCGCCTGGATCTTTTGAGCTTCCAGCTTGTACTCAGGGTTGCGAAAGGCTGAGCCAATGAAGAACCACCTGCCAGAGAGCTGGGAAGAGGCATGCACAGATGGTGGGGGCTTGGAGCCAAACTTTGGCAGTCAGCAGTGACAAGCCACTGGCAGATCTCTCCTTCCATTCTGCAAACAGGGAGACTGAAGTCCCAAGTGGATGGAGCGTGGACATTCAGGAACTCACCCTGAGGATCAGACATCCTCCCTGGTCAGCCCTGTGTGCCCAGGATAGAACCATCCTCTGCTAAGGGACCTGGCAGTAGGGTTTCTGAGTTTGGAGACAGGGGGAAGCCACCAGACATCCCAGGCTGGTCAGAATTTCACCTTACCACCCAGAAGAGGAAAGGGCAGAGTTAAAGGGCTGACCACAGCCATCAGGGGACAGAAAAGCCCAGAGGGGCACAGTTGCCTATAGCAATCAGGGTCAACAGGACCCAGGCACTCACCTGCTCCAGGGTGGCATTGGTGATAGGTATGACTGTAAGGTTGACAAGTGCTGGGTTCAAGGCGGTGAGGTTGACAAGTCCTGGGTTCTGGGCCTCTAGCAGTGGCAGGAGGCTCAGGACTGCAAGAGCCCAAGACAGTGCCATGCTGACAGTAGGACAGTAGGAAGCACCCAAAGCCAGGCAGAGCTGGTTGACTGCAGGAGACAGTGACCTTTATAGCAAGATGTGAGTGGGGCACCAGAGCCCAGCAAGAGTCTTCTCAGAACCATGACACAATCCTGCCAGAGCTTGGGAAATGGTTTGCACAAAACCTTCCCGTCTGATACGGGTCTCTGCCCAGGGTCACAAAAATCTGAGAGTCAGGTTTATTCAAGGCCAAGGTGAGTGTGGGACTGAAGTGCTGTTTAACACCTGTAAGTCAACAGATTTCAATATCAGATTTCCACACAACTCCTGTTCCACGGAACTGCCAGACTTGAGGGAAACCCAGCCATCGATCAAAAACCCAGCGCATCATGGAGTTCCCAGGCCAGAGTGAGGTGTATTGTCAACTGAGTGTAGAAAGAACTGTGAAAGAGCAAACACTGAGGCTCCCACCCGGCCCTGGAGGCAGCAATAGATGAGACATCCAATGTCTAGTTCAGGAAATGTGTGACCTGAATCATCTCCTCAGATCTAAGCTGAGAATTGTTCTCCCTATTGTCTCTGATTCCCGTCACTAGGACAGGGAACTTCCCACCAACACATCCCCAATCCAATCCTGGAACAGTTCCCTGCACTCAGTGAACAGTGTGTAATGAAAGATCCCGTTGGCCATTTGCATTTCTCCCCAATGGAGCCAAATCTAAACCCATCTGAATAAACACTTTCTAGCATTTTTATGGTAGGCTTACAATTTTGTATTCTTCATTTCATATACTGTTCAGTAATTTTTCAGTGTAGTCTGTAGTTAGAATTTTAATGGCTGCATAACTTCCTATTCTCTTGCTATATTCTAACTGCACGGTGCCCTGTCTTTACATCTACAGTGTTTTTTTGTAATTTTTTTCTTCTGATGATAAGGATCAGAGTGACAAATTATCTTCTAAAATTACTATACTATCGAGGGAAAGAAAAGGAAGTCATGAAGAATAGCTTGCATATCGATGTTCCTGGCAGCATTATTTGAAGTAGCCTAAAGCTATAACCAATTTAATATCTACCAACAGGAAAATGGAAAAACAAATTGTGCCAGTGTAGCAATGAAATGAGATGAACTACTGATACGTGTAACAGTGTGCTGAGCAAGAGGCCAGACATAGCCGAGCAGGCACCGGATGGTCCCGTCTATATGAAGTTTAGAATAGCCCAGACTCATCTGTAATGACAGAAGTCACATCGGTGGTTGCCAAGGGCAAAAACATGACTGCAAAATGACCTTCCCAGTGTAGAGGGTGTGTGTGCTGGTGGTCACTGTGATGGAGGGACACACAGATGTACAAACTAGAAACCTAAAAGCTTAATTTAACTTTATTTATTCTAACTCAACAAATTGATCTCCTCCCAAGCAAAGGAAATAAAAGCATGACAAATTCAAAACTCTAATGATTTTAATACTGTCCCAATTTGGTAATGCACAAGCGAGCTTCTTCATGTCCTTGCTAAAATTGGAAAATCTCTTCTCTCTCTTGCTTCCTACTTTTCTTTTGGTGGTACTGGGGTTTTGAACTCAGGTCCTAGTGCTTGTTAGATAGGCGCTCTACCACTTGAACCACACCCCAGCTCTTTTTGCTTTAGGTTGTTTTTTTTTTTTCTCCAATAAGGTCTAACGCTTATTCCCCAGGCCATCTGGACCTGGATTCTCCTGTTTACACTTCCCACATAGTTGGGATGACAAGCATACACCACCATGCCCAGCTCTTCATTGGTTGAGGTGGAGTTTTGAGAACATTTTGCTTCCTAAGGAGCAAGGATTATAGGCATGAGCCACTCTACCTGGCTTGAGTTTGTTTTTTGACTCTGCATTGCTCTAATTTGGGACTTAGGAAAATGCATGGAGTTGATGAGCACCTCGTACACGTGAGAAAGAGCATGGTACCCAGCTGGAGCCAGGGGTAGGCTTGGAGGGTCTAGAACAGATGCTGGAGAGGTTGACAGGAGTCCCACCTGCTGGTATAGAAGCCAGGCAGAGGTATTTGCTGGCCCCTTGGAAGCACTGAGAAGACTCAGGTAGATTTGAACTGGAGTGGGGTCATACTCAGACTGGCTCTTAGAAAGATCCCTCTGTATTTCTGCAAGGGGAAGGAAGGGAAGAGGAGACTTGGGTATCCAGGGAAGGCTGGCGAGGGGTCCAGGGCTGAGACAATGGAGAGAGTCAAGATACTGCTCACTTCAAGGAGAGGCTGACCATTGCACAGGAAAAGCACCACCCTTAAACCAGGACAGTTGGGGCTGCTGATCATAGCCCAGAGATGTCGAGGCCCCTGTATCACACACTGTCTCTTGGAGACTGGTGCCTGGTTCTGGCACTGAGTTCCCCTTAGCCTAAATATTCTCTTTCAGAGCTAGCACTGTTCAGGCCCCAGAAAAACAATTCTGTGTATCTGACTCTTTTCTCTTTTTCCCACAGACCACCATATCCCCATGCTTTGTGGGTGTTGCTGCTGCTGACATAGGAACCGATGCTTCAGGGCGTGGGGAGGATTGGTGTGAACTTTAGAGGTGGGAGAAAAGTCAAGATCTAATATTCCAATTCCTCCCACTCAGCATGAATGCAACAAACTCTTATGTTACCAACTCTCGCTCTCCCTGCCTTGCTGACCGTCTGTGTTCCAGCAGCACGAGGTGGAGGAGTCTTCCTGAGTTGGAAACAGGCAGTCTCTACTACAGGTGCTCAAGGTAGCCACACATGTTGCCGTGTGAAAGCAACTCCCCTGGCTCCTCGGTGTGGGGCTCAGCAGATGAAACCAAGTAAGGACGTGATTCTTGACATTGGCAACAAAAAGTTGACACCAGCCTGGTGGGTCATTTTCAGTGATACAAAACTTCAGGACAAGGTTTAATTAATTAATTAAATGCCCCAAACATACATTTAAAAATTTCAGCCTTATTTACGTGCTTTTGCTTTTAAACATTGAGATGTTTAGAACAGCGCTCTGTGAGCCTCCAATTTTTCATGGCTAGGAGTCCAAGAGGTGGACTTCATGAGAGAAGGGTGAATCCCCAAACCTCAGACTTCAAGGAAACACAGTGCCTCTCCTCCGAAAGAGTGCATGGTCCCCATTGTCCTCACAGGGCTGTCCCTTGGGGGGTGTCTCACGTTCCACCCAAGAGGATGACCAAGGAGTTCCTCCAAGTGCACCCAGCACCCACCTGGACATGGTACAGCCCTCCACTCCCCGCTCAAGCACCTCCACAGATTGAAGTTTCTACCCCGTCTCTCTCTCTGGCCCTGGCATAGTATTAAAGTTTGTCAGAAAGAAAGACAGAAACATCCCGACTAGAGTCAATGGTGGTGGTAAAGCAGTCTCCTGACTTTACCACTTGTTAGTTGTGTGACCTTGGGCAAAATACTTAACTTCTCTGTGCCTCGATTAGCTCTCTCCTTGTAAAAGAGAGAGAATAATCGTACTGACTTCATCGGGTTCTCCCTAGGATCAATCAGTTCCTACTTGTAATATGAAACAAACTTCCTTCTAAGGTCCCCTGGTACAGTAACCAGCATCATGTTCAGTGCATGCTTGATGCTTGCACTTAGGCACTTTGATGATGGCAAGTGATACTCCACTTTTTTGTTTACTTGGTGATACTGGGGTTTGAACTCAGGGTCTCACACTTGCTAAGCAAGTGCTCTACCACTTGAGCCACTCCACCAGCCTGAAATCCCACTTCTAAGGCATCAGAATGCAAAAACATGCCTATTGTAGGTTCAGAAAAATAAGATATTTCCCCATTGTATAGTGGCAACATGACTCAGAGAGGTGAGGTAACTCGGAAAGGCCACACAGGAGGTGAGTTTAGGTAATTGGGAAAACGCACCCACTTGAACTGCTTTCTTTCCTGAGAAAACCACTTTATATCTCTCTCCAGTGAGGCCCGTGCTGCGCTCTGGGTCTGGAGACTACATTAGCAGCCATGAGGGTTATGTTGGCAGAACTTTGTGTCTAAACAAACAAAAAGAGGATTTGCTCAAGTTCAAATCCCGTCTTGTGATTTGGGGCAGCACATGATGCAACCTCTTTGGACTTCAGTTTCCGTGTCTGAAAGCCAGAATTGCAGCACGTGTGCACCTCACAAGTTCACGCATGGCATGAAAGAGCAGCACGCTAAGCACAGTACCAAGTTCATGGTGAATGTATGAGAAATTATAGCCATTACTATTTTGGATTGGATTTCATAGCTCAAAAAAGCAGCTCACACGTTGCTCTGGTATTATGGAACAGTCACCCCCTCTGAGGCTGGCAGGGTGGACAAGGGCATATGGTCCTCAGTTTGCAGAGGGAGAAACTGAGCCTCAGATAGAGAGAACAACCCACCTGCCTAAGGTCCTGCCCCAAGAAGGAAGCTCGGCAAACCCACCTACTAGCCCCCTCCTTGTTCTCTTTTCCCTGACTTCCAGATACAGTGCTGCTGGGCATTGTGGGGTGGGACTAACCACTGTGGACAGAGCAAACACAGGTGAGCCTGGGTTTTCCCCCAGAACTGGCCCAGTGGGGGCATCTGCTCTGGCTGCTTCCTGACGTTCATTGTGCAACAGGAGATTGGGAAATGCAGGCGCTGCCAGGTTAGGAAGAGCTACCTTCTGTCCCAAATAACCTGCCACCTACCCATGCCAGGAATGAACTGGCCAAGCTCCAGAATCCTCACCGGCCAAGTCACAAGAGGCAAAGGTTCAGGGACCAGGTGAAGAGTCGTGAGTACCCCAGTTTTAACACAGCCCCTCTGACCTATGTGCTCTGGCCCTTTTTTGCTGGCTCTCTTGCTCCCTCCTGTGTCTTCAAAGTTGCAGAGACATAAATACAGCTCATGCCTCCAGAGCCCTGACTGCAGGGCAGACCTCTGTCCTGTCCTCCAAGTTCCGCCAGCTACCACCTGTGCAGTTCTGCTTCAGGGCCCCATCTCAGTGAGACCCACCTGGCCAGCCCCAGTGCTGCTCTTCTGTGCACAAACCCCATAGCTTGTTCTGCTCCCTGCCCTGTGCCCTGGGACTACCAGACCCGGCCCTGCCCACAGCCCAGGATAGCCTTTCCCAGGACAGAGGTTTGCCTCATCATCTGCATCCTCCAGACTCAGAGTCGTGTACACGCACAGTTGTTCCATCCATAGCCTTTTGTCCCCACACAGCTCGACATGAAGATGCCAGATAAACCGGTGTCATGGAAATGAAGACAAGACACCAGTGAGCAATCTTTGGGCAAATCTGCATGCCTTCTGCCTCATTCTGAGAACCAGGTATGTCCCCCGGACCAGAGAGCTTGCTTTGGGGAAGACAGTCATCACAACAGATGTAACTTTCCTATCCACAAAATGAGAAGCCACTCAAATAGCTGGACACACTCTTTGGGGGAACCAGAATAAGGCAGATGTCAGGAAATAGGCTTGTCCAGCTCAATTTATTTCTGATTATCAAAGAGATGAAAAGAATATTCTTATCCCTCACTGTCAATTTGGTTTTTCACTTTTCCCACTCCATTTTCCAGTCTTAGGAATTAGTGCAGTGCCATGGTTCTTGGGACCACAGAGGGAGAAGGGGTTTGTCAAACACAGACTGCTAGTCCCTACCTTCTGGGTTTGTGGTTCCTTGGGTTAAAAGTGAGACTGGGATTTTGTCTTTCTAACAAAATCCATGTGCTGTTCCTGCTGGCCTCAGGTCTGCATTGGTCTCTGCCAGGAACTCAGGCTCTTCTTTGGGCTCTTCGGGCCTCTGCAGGGTGTCTCTAGGGCTCACGGTGAGGGAGAACAGCCTGAGCTGTACATGGACTGATAGCCAGAAAACTTGGTGCCGACTTCCCTCCCCTCCTCTTGCCACCCTCATGCTGGGGATTGAACCCAGGGCTTCGTGCATGCTAGACAAGTACTGTACCACTGAGCTACACTCAAGCTTTTAAAACATAAAAACATAACTGCTTGTGATTTGATTTTCCTACATGAAGGGACAGAAAAGTTCTGATACATTCAGCTTCCTGGGGAAGGAGGAGCAAGTTAAGGAAGATAAGAGATCTAAACCAAGGTTCAGGAGACATGGGTTCCTGACACCCAGATAAATTTAAATTTCAGACAAACCACACTTTTTTTTTTAGTTTAAGTATTACAGGGAGCAGACTTACACTAAGAAAGTATTTATTGTCTAAAATTAAAATTGGTCCTGTATTTTATTTGCCTATTCTGGCAACTCAGATTTTCTCACAGATTTTTGTTTGTGTGCTTCTTCCATGGCAGGTGTTACTATGACTTCTCTCAAAAATCTTACAGGCAAGGGCTGGGGTGGTTGCACACAGCTATAATTCCAGTTACTTGGGGGGAAGAGGTAGGAGGATGGCATTGTAAGGCCCACCCATGGAAAGTTAGTGGAAGACTTTATCTGAAAAGGAAATTAAAAAGGCTGGAGGCAGGGCTTAAGTGGAAGAGTGCTGTCTAGCAAGCACCAGGCTCTGAGTTCAACCCCCAGCACCACAAGAAAAACAATCTCACAGAAAAGAATTATTAATATCAAAGCATTACAATAGCTTGAAGGTGGACCAGCCTGGATGTCATCAACTGATGAATGGATAAACAAAATGCTGTCTATCTACACTCTATGGATTCAGCTGGAAGTGACTGCCGCCATCCTGAGTTGTAACTGCCATGATTGCCATTGGGTAACCTAGCCAGTTTTTCCTGCAGTTGCTCAACAAACTATAAATAGACAAAAACAATAGAGTAGTGTGGAGAACTTTAAAACCAGAACCTTGTGCAGGAATGTGCCCAACGCTTTGATATTAGCTTAAGATAAGCCAGAGATCTTGTGGCTTGGATGTTGTCACTTTTGTACTAACCAATATATGTGCCCCTCCTTCTGACCCAAACTGCAGGGATCCACTTGGTCTTGTAGCACCCAGGACCATACTCTTTCAATAAGTCCCACTTTGTGTAATCCTGGATCTGTATTCCTCTCTTTGGTCTCACGACACCATGTGGCCAATTCTGGCACACTGGGCCTTGGGTTGTTCCTGAACAATACAATGGACTATTGTTCATCCATAAAAATGAAGTATTGATACATGACACAACCTTGATGAAGTTAAAAACATTATGCTTAGCAAAAGAACAATATGTCACAAAAAACGCATATTGTATGATTCTATTTGTACAAAATATCCAGTATAAGCAAAGCCATAGAGACAGGAAGCTGATTGGTGTTTTTCAGGGCTAGTGGGAGAGGGAGAGTTGGAAGTGACTGGTAAATGGGTATAGGGTTTCCTTTTGGGGTAAAGATAATGTTATGAAATGGTTATGCCACACTGTGAATGAACTAAATGTCGTCAATGATAAACCTTATGTCACTGTATATTTTAGCATAATAATTATTATTTGTGTTAACATCACTATCATTAGGGTGTAACCCTATCAAGTACGACTGGTGTCCTTATAAAAAAGATGTGAATACAGAGACACAGAGAGGACACCATGTGCTCTCTGCAGGAAAGATTGACTGCTGCAGCTGGAAGCCAAGGACCTTGGGGCTACCAAACACTGGAGGAGAGAACTGGGGTGTGGCTGGTGGAGAAGCATTTGTTTAGCATGTGTGAGGCCCTGGGTTTCATTTGTAAGGATCTTCAGAAGGAGAACAGTCCTGCTACACTTCCACTTCTTACTCTTTTTTTCTCCAGAATCATGTGGGGAAAAATAATCCTTATTGTTTTAGGCCCATGAGATTTGTCCTGGTGGAGCAGGGCAGCCTCTGCCCATCTTCCCTCCACCGCGCCCTATCATAAACTGCACTTGAGCTTTGCAAAGAAGCAGAGGACCACAGACGTGTCAATTCCATTGCCTCAGTTTTAAATATTTATTTAAAATCCAGGAGGAAAAAGGAGAAATGGAACCCACTGGGGTTTGAACACAGACATTTAGACAGAGACGAACAAGGACAGAGGAGAAACCCAAAAACAAGGGAGGCAGGGTGGAGACTGGCAGTGGAAGAAATAGCACTGAGATAAGGCTAACAAAAATGCATCTCCCTGGGGAATGCCCAGGTTGGGGTGGCAGGTGGGGGATGCCGGCAGGAGGTGTGGGGTGGGCAGACCAGGGTGAGGTATTAAATAATGAAAATCAAATCCCATTCCAAAGAGACACAACTTTAGATAAAAATACACAAATAGAGACTTTCACATACACTTCCCCCTCCTATAAAAATAATCCCATAGCTAAAATAACTTCAAAATCCAATTTTGAACCATATGGCTGGCATATGGTTCAGGTGACACTGAAAATCATTGTCCCAAAATACTAAGATGCCTGGGATCATTCCTTGCCCCTCAGCCCAAAGTGACACTCGGGCTAATGACAGTGGGTTTGTACAGAGTAGGATGATGATGAAAAAGCAAGAAAGACGACTGTGTTTAGAAGGGTTCCTGAAGGGAGGACCTTGCCGGATGTGATGCAGCACCCTGAAGTGGTTCAGAATTTACCTCCAAGGTTGGTCCTGATCCAACTCTGCTTTTGGAACTGGATTCTTCAAGATTAAAGCTTCTCTCAGGACATCTCTAGGTCCTGCCCTCCAAGACCTCACAAGGCTAAGTCAAAATGCCTCACAAAAAGACATTTTAAAGTCCATAAGTTAACTCTCTACTTCCAGTTTCTGATTGAACTTTTGGTTTGGTTTGGATTTTTTTTTTTTTTTTTTTTTTTGGTTTTGCCTTTTTTTTCTTTTTTCTTTTTTCTGCTCTTGTTTTTCCTCCTTAGCAGATTACCTGATGAGCACAAGGGCGATGCTAGGTGAATTAAAAACGTCTCCAAACCTTGCCATTTGGTGGAGAAAGATGTGGAGGACACCCCACGACCAGAAAGTTTCTTCAAAGCCTGTGGCAAACATAGTAGCACCTTAGAATCTTAAATAGGATTGGTTTTTTTTTTCCTTAAAAAAAAAATCACATACACTACAAGAGACAATTGTGAGCACCAGCGATTTCACAGTGGGAGGTAGTGAACGTGGGGACCCCCAGTCCCAAGGGTCTTGTCTCTTCCCACCCCCGGCTGCTCTTCCTCTTCCTCACCTTTCTCCCAGGTGAAAAAAAATAGTAACACACCTTCTTTTTTGTTTGTTTAAATAATAATAATATATATATATACTTCTTTCTTTCCTTTTCTCCTTTTTTCATGTCTCCTTTCTAATATTGCACATCAAAACCTCCCCGGCAGGGACCAGCTGACAAGATGCCCCCTTCCCTCAAGTCGGCTTCAATGTGGGGCTCTTTGGGCAGGAAGCCAGGGAGGGAAAGGGTGGCGCAGATCTGGGAGACAGGCCACAGGGCTCAGGTGGGTTGCAGGCCCAGCTTGCTCTGTTTGGCTCTTTGGTTGGTCTCTGGGGCTAAGCTGGGATCGGTTGTTCCCAAGGACAGCCTGTGCCCTACTACTCCCCACCCATTCCTACTGAGCAGATGACAGCTGGGGCCTGCCCAAGAGTCCTTGGGCAGAGGGGCTGCCTCTCCTGGGGCCACCGGCTTCTCGGTACTCTCCTCTTGCCTTCTCTTCCTCTTTCCTCTCCCATGAGGCCTAGAGGAGCCCAGAGGTCAGAGGTCAAAGGAAGCATGCAGGTCCAACTTCAAGGCGATACTGCTTCCCTGATGAGGCAGGAGGGAGGTTGTCCACACTGACAATGGGCAGCTGCTGGGGGTCCTGGGTTCGGAAGGTAAAGAGTGTCTGGTGCCAACGGCCATCGTGGACCTGTGGGTAGAAGGCAAAGAGTGGAATGCACACATGGGAATTGCGTGCATTTCCCCATCACTCTCCCTCCCGGTTTTTAATGGATGCATGGTATTCCACTGTAGCAATGACCTGTAGTACACACTAAGTTTGCGCTATATTTTTCTTTTTGTGAGTAATGTAGAATGAATATCACGGTAATTAGACTTTTGGGGACACTCTTAATTATTTCCCTAGAACAAATTCTAGAAGTAGAATTGCTAAACCCAAGTAAGGTACATTTTTAAGGTTTTGGATATACATTGGATCTATATTTGTACATAGCTGCTCTCCACGAAGCCTCTGCCAACTTATTTCTTACAGTGGTTTAGTATAGGGCTGTTAGTCTCCCCACATCCTCAGTAACACCGGGTATTATTAGTTTTTAATTTTGTAAAAGTGTTTTTTTAACTATTGATAACTTTCTGTCTCCCCTGCTCCCAAACCCCACTCTGTTAGGGCATTTAAAAATGATTAAAAATATCAAGAGGAGAAATTAGCCTGATTAAGGTGGGGCCAAAAAGAAGAAATAAGAACTGTATCTATGAGCCTTAAGAACTTAAAAAAAAAAAAATGGAGATAAGGGCAGGGGTATGCTTCAAGTTGTACAGCATCTGCTTAGCAAGAGTGAGGCCCTGAGTTCAAACCCCAGAACTGACAGGAAAAAAATGTAGATAGAAATAATTTTATTAAACTGTTCTAATAAGATTACATGACGATAAACATTATATCATGCTAATATATTACAGTATAAAACTTTTAGATACAGTAGTATGTAAAAATATCACAAAACAAAGTTTTTCCAAACAAGTTTTTCCATTGTTCCTGAGTGAAGGGACAATGAGGGAATCCAACAGTTACCTTGCAGCCATCCACAGACACCTCTGGTCTGAACTGACCCCCGGCTTCGAAGATCTGCCCGTTCCAGGCCCGGAAGCGTACAGCCTGCCTGGCGGGGGTGTGCCCTGAGGCCTCCTGCCACACGGTCATGTTAAGGCAGTGGATGGTGATGTGCTGTGTCACCTCGGAGCTGAGCAGATGCAGAAAATTCATCTGGACTCTGCTGACGGCGAACTCCACCTGTGTAGGAGACACAGGTGAGGTGGGCAGGGTGTGGTGGCCTCAGCCCCCTGAATTCCCCACCTCTCTCTGGAATGGACATGGGTTGAGCCCTTTCCTGGTCAGTTTTCCCAACTTTGCACACAGATGTTTGTCCTCCTTCACAGGCAGGGAAACTGAGTCTGGGAGCTGCTCCCACAGTCCCTTGGCTGTCTAGATCCCAGAGCCAGAGCTTCAGGGGTCCCGCCATGACCTGCTCCATCCTCCTGTGTGGGTGGTCTAGGTGCTGAACCAGGGTGCAAGAGACCCTGACAGGAAGAGGATCTTGCCCAAGCAGAGGGGAAGCAGGAGGTGCTTTGCTTGTGTTTCAGATTCCCCACAGGCTGGGGACTGCTGGCAATGGTGGAGCTAGGAACAAACAACGGGACGGGCTATTGGGAGGTGGCGAAACCTTTAAGAGGCAGGGCCTAGTGGAAGGAAGTAAAGTCACTGGGGACACGCCCTTGAAGGGGATATTGGGGCCCCATCCCCTTCTTTTGCTTCCCAGCTGCTATGAAGTAAGTTGCTTTGCTAAGACCACTTACTCCCCACCATGAAGTCCTGCCTCATCACAGGCCCCAAGACAACTTGGAACCAACCAACCATGGACTGAAATCATGAGCCAAAATAAACCTTTCCTCCTTACAAGCTGTTTCTCTCAGTTACTTTGCTACAGTAACCCAAAGCTGACTTACAAACCCTGCCAAGGTTCTAGATGGGGATGGCAAGTCCATGTTGCCAACTCCATCTTCTGCCAGGCAGGGGTGCAATGTGGTCCCTGAACCTTGCAGAGGTCACTATGTCCCTCCTGGGCTGTGGGCTCTGGCCTCAGGGACAGTGGCCAGCCTGACCTCCCCACACTTGGATGAGGATCTAGAACATGCTAGGAACCCAACAAAGACTTGTTTACCAGCTTACACCAGCTGGCAAGGTCAGCACAAGGCAACTCCTGGAGCCCTACTCCTGGAGCCTGATGGAGTGGCCAAACACCCCTAGCCACTGCCTGGCTGTGGGTTTGCTGTTGAGTTGCCTGGCACCAACCAAATACTCAGGGACTGGCTTAGCAAGCAGGCATTGCATGGGTGTTAATAATTGCACGTGCAATTGCATGGACGTTAATAATTGCACGTGCAATTGCATACTGCAGGCACATGACTTCGTGCTGATGACTATGCATCTCTAAGCCTCCCCCCCTTGGCTAACTACTCTGCTTTAGTTAGGTGGCAGAAGATTCTATTTGAAGCAAGAATCCTCAGCATTGTGCAACCTGAAAGGGTTTGGAAACCACAACCTGTCCCCAATTTATAGATGAAGAAACTGAATCTTAGAATGAAGAGGCGATTTTTTCCAAGGCCCAGAAGTAAGACAGGCAGGGCTCAGGACAGAACTGGGTTGGGTGTGGCCCAGGGCAGGGTGAGGACAGACAGGGCCAGCCTGGTGAGCAGTGGGGAGCTAGCAGTACCTTGGAGGCGGTGATGGGCTTCAGGCATGTCTGTCCACCGTGTGTGAAGTTGCAAGAGACTTCGATGGTGTCCGAGGAGCAGCCGAGGTTCGGGTCCACCCAGTAGGTACCTGCACAGTGTGGGATGGGGCAATGTGTACATCTGGGAGGAGTCCAGACTTGGTTCTGGAGATGGGCCTGCACCTGTGACACGCTGAGGCCCCCCCTTGGGCATGAAGCTGGAGGTGGGGCAGGAAGACAAGGAATGCCTCAGGCCACAGAGGAGAAGGATGCCTCTGGGCAGAGTTCATGGGGCTGATGGAGTCCTCGGCAGAGCACCCCTGTGCTGCCACTGGGATGTATCCACTTCACAGAGGAGACACTGAGGCTGAGCCCATTGTCTGAGGGAGTGAGGGATCAGCTCACTGAACAGTGTCCCCAAGGCCTAGGGCTTCTCCCGTGGTGGGGATAGGGCTCAGGGGATTCACCCAGTGACAGCCAGGCACTTTGGACTGGGTCCAGCTTTGCTACTGGTTCTCAGGCCAGCCAAGGCTCAGTGCAGGAGGGGTCTACTAGCTATTTGGTCCTAGCCATCTTAGTCCAGCTCTGTGTGCAAAGAAGAGGGGCTCGGGCAGGCTGTGTCCCAGCTTACAGAGGTATAGACAGAAAGTACAGACAGGAAGCCCCTAGCTTGGGCTTACCTGGTCCTTGGGGGCTTTTTCTACAAAGCTCATCTCATTGACTCCAACTTGCGGGTCTGTGGGCTACTGTGGAAGGTGGTTCCCACAATATCCTCACAGCCCAGAAAGCCCAAGTTCTGGTGTAATAGGAGGTTCAGTGATGTTTGTTGAGTGAATAAATGACTGCTCATGTGTCTGTCTCCCTCAGGACAGAAACTAGGCCAACATGCACTGAGAATCCAGTACTCTTACTTCCCCCCAAGCTGCTTGCTAGGACTCCCCCATGCAGTGCCACTCCAGGCAGGAAGCCCCCTCCTCAGCCCTACAGATGGTCTTACCATCCACCATCTTCTGCTCACAGTCCATGAGGTCCCGGCAGACCCGGGCCGGGTTCTCTTTGGTGCCCAGGGGCGTCTTAATGCTCTGAATGAGGTTGCTGAGGTAGTGTAAGGTTTTGAAGATCTCCCCTCCCTGGTCCAGCACCAGCTGATCCGGATAGCTGTACCCCTGTCACAGGAGAGCAGTGGCCATTGGCCCCTTTGGCCCTGGCCTGGTCCAAGTTCCCAGCCCCCTACTACCCCAAGTTCTTACCACCTGGGAGGTACCTGTGGGCCTCCAGACTCACAGCTGGTGGGCTGGGTTCCTCCCCATTTCACAGATAAAGAAACCGGGGGTCAAAGACAAGATGCAAGGGTGGGCTGTGGGATGCCCAGGCTGAGGAGAGTCAGCCAGCCCAGGCTCTCTGGTACAGGAAGGGCCAGACAGTGTGCACAGGGTCCTGGGGAGTGCCCCTAAATCCCTATTAGTGGAGGAGGAGGAGAAGTGTAGAGAGGAAACAACTTGGGAGGCCCACAGGGGCTGCCTGGCTCCCTAGGGTGGCACCACACAGAAGTGGACCAGCAGACACAAGCCCTGGGAGGAGGACAGCTCCAGAAAGGAGCAGGTCTCCAGCAGGAGGGAGGGGTGCAGAGAGCTGAGTGGGGTCTTTAGGGATCCCAGACCTGCTGGGACTGGTGTGTGACATCAGCTGGGTTCCAGAGCTACAAACTGGCAGAGACAAGCCCTGCTCCCTCTGGAGGTAGCAGAGGTCCTGTGTGTTTGTGTGCACACATGCAAGCGTGCACATGTGCCTGTAGGCCGTGGATATGCGTGTGCATGGGGGCCAGAACCCTGCAGCCGCTCACCGACCTGCTTTGTCTGTCTGGACACACATTCAATTCCTCCAGCCTCCTATGCAGTGGGGAGGGGGGTTGTCATGTGACTACTCCAACTCACAGAAGGGGAGCAAAGCAATGCCCACCCCCTGCCACCGAAGGTCCAGCCTTAAGGACTCTTCTGTGTGATTCCCACACTCTTTTCCCTGCTGGGATCTCCCCCCACTGGGGGTCCGTGTGTGGGAGAGGAAGAGGGCTGAGTTTCTGGCAGGCAGCCTTGAAGTGTGTAAGAAATCACTTCTCCTGAATTCTATGGCCACTGGTCTGTCACCATGGGCAGAGCTGGAAGTGGGCTCCATCACTGGAGCTGTTTCCAGTGGCAACTGTTAGGACTGTGGCACAACAACAGCAGGGGCTCCTCCCCAGGCTGCCTCTCAGGTGTCCCTGTCTCTTTCCACTGACTGACTCCCTGGACAGAGGGCCTCTTTCCCCCTGTGCTGTCAGCCTCAGCACCGAGCACAAGGAGCACCCAGAAGCCTTGGCAGGAGGTCTGAGCTGGAGGGCAGTGAGCTCCCTATAGTGGGAAGTAGGCAGGGCTGCAAAGGGGGCTCTGGGAGGGTCTGGGCTAAGATGCACTGAGGTCCCTCTCTGCCAAGGGTCCTTGGGGCAGAGCCCTGGGGGCTGACCACACTCCTGCAGGATCTCTGAGTGACCAATAGGGGCTCCTACAGGTTCTAGGCCTGGTAACTATCTCCCCGTGTCTCAGGCCCGTTGAAATCCTGAGACATGAGAGGCCTGGGAGGCTCACTTGGGCACAGGGCCTGATTGTGACCTGGCACTGACCCTGCTCTAGCCCTGGGACCTTGGACTTGCTGCTCTCTGGTTCTGAGCCCCATCTGTGACCAGGGCCCTGTGACTCTGTGAGCCCTCTGGGTAGCATTGACCTCCCGTGGCCAGTGTATGTTTCTCCCAGGAATGGATACCATGTGGGCACAGCTCCTGGCGGTACCTCTGGTCTGAGTGCTCCGTTAGTGTCCATCCACGTCTGGAAAGCGGCACCAAGGTCATCTTGTTGCTGGTGCAGAAAGGATACAAGGTGCATATCCTGGCCCCCAGAAACCCCAGGACACAGAAAGTGGGAGCCCCAGGGCCTGTGCACCTCTCTCACCCCACCTTCTCTGGCAGGATCTTGATCAAGACACAGCTTTCTACAGAACTCCTGCCTCCCCTTGCAGACAGAGCCAAAGCTGACCCTGCCACTCCTTTCCTCTAAGTACTTCAGTAACTCCCCAGTGCCCTCAGGATTAAGTTCAAACTCCTCAACATAGTTACAAGACCCAGTCCTGAGGTCTCCAGCCCCATCTCCCTTCTCTCCCTCCCTACATACTTTAGCACCGTGCTGACTCAATGCACTGGGAAAGTGCAGCGCTCTGTGTAGCCACAGGGCCTTTACATATGCTGCTCCCATTGCCTGACAAATTCTTCTTTTCCTTCAAGCCACTATCTCCTACAGCAGTGGCTCTCAGCTGGGGGTGATAATGTCCCCAGGGGATGTACAGTACTATTTAGAAACATTTTTAATTGCTACAACTAGGCAAGGAGGCATCTTGTGGTTAGAGGCCGGGAATGTTGCTAAACATTTAAATGTGCAGGACGGTCCCTCACAGCAAAGTGTGTGGCCCCATGGGTGTCAGCTGTGAGGCAGGCCTCTCCCCATGCTCTTGCCCCAGGCTGGTGAGACCCCCTTTCTAGTCCCCACAGTCCCCACGCATCTCTGGTTGTTCTCACATGCGCTTGACCTCCAACCCTTGCACTGGACTTGGTAGAGGCCCAGCTGGAGCCTTTCCATAACCTCAATAAGGAATCCAGGATTTAGGGTGCGGGGTGGGACTCTGGAGGAACTAGGCAAATCCCAGCCCTGCTGCTTTCTAACCGACTGCCCTAGCTGCCTCAATTTTCTTGTCTGGAAAATGGGCCCCCAAATAAAAATCCTTCCCTGAAAGAACACGTGAGTTCACTCATGAAAAGCTCCTCCAATGGCATCTGGCATATAAGGAGCACTCAGTAAATTTAGCATTTCAGCTACTTCTTCCAGCTGCTATCGCTCCAGCCTAACCCCAAGGAGGCCAAAGAGAATATTCTCCAACTTACAAATGGGACGACACGCCCTGGAGGGCCCTGTAAAAGAAGGCAGTGGGTCAGAGTTTGACAGGGATGGATGCTGGAGTCCAGGGCATTAGGGGATGAGAGGAGCTAATGGGAATAATTGATTGACCCCACCAAGCTGGTCTTGGCTCCTCCAGAGGCCTGGCTGATCCCTTACTCCAGATTGGTCTACACTTTTCTAGAAGTCTGTGGGCTACAAGGAGCACGTGAGTCCATGGGACCAAGGCTGCCTTTGGTCTAATTTGGAGGAACCCACTTCCTGCCCCGGGAGCCCAGGGTACCCAGCACGCCATTACCTACCGGCGGGCCAGGCTGCCCTCTTGGGCCAGGAGGACCCTGGAGAGAAAGGAGAACATTAAGCCCTAAGAAAGATGCCGTCTATCCCCAGACCTCCCTACCCTAGGCCCCCCTCAGGCCGACCGACCTGAGACCCAGGACAATGGGCCCCTGGCATGGACAAGTATGGATGGAACAAATGAGGTCCAGAGGGAAGGAACAACTCAGACATCATACCCCACGAGAAGAAGAGCCTAGAGTGCCACCCGTTCCAGTGCCAGGACCCCAGCCCTCACATGCAGCCCACTCACCCTTGGACCTTGCAGTCCCTAGAGAGAGACAGAAGTGGGGGAGAGAGTCAGGGGACCCAGGCTGAGCCGAGGCCCATCCCAAGGCTCGTCTTCCCTCACCCCGTAGCACTACCCCCCAAACCAGTTCACTCACCCAGTCCCCTTGGCTGCCTTTGTCACCCTTCGGACCCTGCAATAAACCACAGCCCCGTGAGGCAAGGCTCAAAGGGGAAATCCCACTTCCCAGCTAGGGAAGCTGAGGCTCAGACTAGCTCTGGGCTACAGAGACACTCCTGCTATGAAGGCCAGGGGACCCAGCTGACTTCCCCTTGCACATACCGGGAGTCCTGAAGGTCCCAGGATTCCGAGGGGCCCAACAATGCCTTCCTTTCCCTAAAGGAGAAAGAGGCTGTGAGTCCTTGTTCCAGGCCTGGGGGACAGATCATGGAGACAGGCAGAGGGCAGCTGAGTCCCAGGGGATGGAAGCAGGGCAGGCATGCATCTCCAAGCCCCTCCTATGAGCTGGGGAGGGCTTCAAGGCTAGGGTGAGGGGAGGAAAGGGAAAAAAAGGATGATGGTAGCCCAGCTACAAGGATGGCACAAGCAAGGGCATGGAGGTGGCAATGACTATGGGCAGACGAGGCCCCAAAAGTAGAGGAGCAGAAGTAAGAGGACGAGTATCCAACCAGCTAATGGCTGGCTGGACTTGGGGTCTGGGGTGACTGGGACAGGGAAGGACTCACCATCAAGCCAGGAGGCCCCCGAGGGCCTTGGATGCCTTTGAAGCCAATGTCTCCAGGGGGGCCCTGTGGGAAGCAGGGGTGCTGTCTGTGCCTGGGTGACTGTTGGGCAAGGACCCAGCAGCCCCCTCACCCCTGGCCTCTGGAGACCTGCCAAGAGAGGCCTTACCTGAGAGGCCCCAGGAAGAATAACAAAAGCCCCCAGATCTTTAGCAGGTACCAGCTAGGTGCCGGCTGGATGGCATTGTCCCCTGGCCCTTATTTCCCCAATGATCCTCAACTATTGTCCTTCAGAAACCAAGGCTTACAGGAACTAAGTGACATGGGCAAGGCACAGAGCAGGTAAACATGGGGCTGGGGATAGAACGCAGGTGTGCTGGGGTAAGTACCACAAGTGAGCCTAGCACGCCTGCTTTCAGCTGCGTTCCAGACCACACTGCGAGGGCTCAATTAAGATTTGCAGAATGGGTAAGTAAATGAATGAGGGGTGATGGATGGAATCCCACAGGAGCAGGAGGGGAGGATTGGTACCTTGGGGCCGAAGAGGCCAGCCACTCCTGGGAAGCCCATCTCGCCAGAGTCGCCCTGTAAGGAGAACAGGACAAGATGGGATGAATGGAGCCAGGACAAGGGTGCTGGCCAGTCACCCAGGCCCCAAGGTCTATTTCTCCCACCATGAGGCCATCAGATGAGCATAAACAGCTTGCATGCTAGACGGCAGTAAGTCTGGGTGCCAAGCAGATGGGAGCCGGTGCTCTCTGCTAGGTGAACAGGCAGAGCCCAGCTCAGGGATGCCACAAGGTGCTCTGTACTCCAGAGCTCCAAGCCCAGGTCCTCACAGACCTTGTCAACTTTAGCAGATTTTGATAGGGATTACATTGAATCTGTAGAGCAGTTTGTGGAAAGTATTACCACTGTAGCAATGTTCTGATCCATGAACATGGGTTATCTTGTCACTAATTCAGGTTTCCTTTAATTTCTTTCAACAGTGTTTTGAAGTTTTCATTGTACATCTCTTCCACTTTTTTTTGTTAAATTTATTCCTAGTTTATTCTTTTTGTTACTATTCTGAATGGAATTGTTTACTTAATTTCAGTTTTGGATTGTTCGGTACTAGTTTATAGAAATACAATTGATTGTTGTGTATTGTATATATGAACAATATTTTTGTATATTGATTTTGGATCCTCCAACTTTATCAGTTCTAATAATTTTGTTTTGTGGGTTCTCTTTAGTAGTCTATATTGGGATAGTGTTACTTTTTCCCTTTTAGCACAATGTTGGACAGAGTGGGAAAAGTGGTTTTATATGTTGGTGAACTTCGGTTTATCAAATTTCCACTTATGAATCAGGCTTTTAGTGTCTTCTGGAAGAAATCCTTCCAGAAGGTCTCAAAGATTTCCATCCATGCTTTGTTGTAGAAGTACTGTCATTTTAAGTTTTACATTTAGTTGTGCGATCTGGCTTGAGTTACTTGTTACTTTTTGTACATGGTTTCCAATAGTCTAGCAGTATTTTTTTTAGATTTTAGATTTTTTTTTTTTTTTTTGGTTTGAACTCAGGGAACTCATCTTGCTTAGCAAACACTCTGCCACTTGAGCCATGCTCTCAGCCCTTTCTGCTTTAGCTTACTTTTCAGATAGGGTCTCACACTTTTGCCCAGGGCTTCTGTTAGACCATGATCGTCCTATATGCTCCTCCCGAGCAGCTGAGGTTACAGTGTGTACCACCAGGCCTAGACTGAAAAGATTATTTTGTAGTCACTGAACTGCTGTTGTACTTTGTTTAAAAATCAGTTGCTGGTCCGGGTTTGTGGCTCAAGTGGTAGAGCACCTGCCTGGCAAGCACAAAGCCTTGAGTTCAATCCCGAGTTCCACCAAAAAAAAAAAAAACCAAACCAAAAAAAAAAAAAACCCAAAAACCAGTTGTCCATGCATATATGTTCTATATCCATACAACAGAACTGGGCCTCTATTCTGTCCCTTTGATCTGCCTGTATATTTATGACAATACCACACTTTCTTGATTACTGTGAATTGATAAGGAGTCTTGAAATCATCTCAGGTGTATCTCTAGGTGTTTCATATTTTTGTGCTGTTGTGAACAGTATTGCTTTTGAAATTTCAATCACTAATTGCTCCATGCTGGCTTACAGAAATCAAACACTTGCATGTTTATCACCATTCTGCAGTCTTGTTAAACTCACTTATTCTAGTAGCTCTGTTGTAGATTTCATGTGATTTTCTGCATGGATAATCATTTATTCTACAATGAAGTTTTACCTGTTCCCTTTAGGAAGGTCTTTCATTTATTTTTCTTGCCTTACTACAATGGCTACAACTGCCAATACAATGTTGAATAGAAGTAGTGATTTGTTTCTGTTCTTCTCACTATTATATATGATGTGAACTGTCAGATTTTCATGGATGTCCTTTATCAAGGTGAGGAGTTCCCGCCTATAAATTAGTTTGTTGAGTTTTTTTTTAAGATCGATCAGAAGTTAGATTTTTGTCAAAGGCTTTTCCTGCATCTACTGAGATGATCAAATGGCTTCTTTTTTTAGTTTATTAATAGCTGCAAATGTTATACCATCCTTACATTCCTGGGATAAAGTCTACTAGGTCTTGATGCATTATCTTTTTCATATAGCCTTTAATTCATTTTGCTATCATTTTATTTAGAGTTCTTCTATCTACATTTATGTGGAATATTGGTCTGTAGTTTTCTTTTTTTGTAATGCCTTGGACTAGTTTTAACATCGGGATAATAATGAATTGGGAAGTATTCACTCTTCTTCAATTTTCTGGAAGAGCTTATGTAGAACTAGCATTATTTCTTTCATAAATGCTTAGTAGAACTCACCAGGGAAACCACCTGGGTGCAGAGGTTTCTTCACAAGAAACTTGAACACTACAGATTCAATTTTTTTAAAGAGAAACAAGACTATGTATACTATCAATTTCTTACATTGGCTTTGGTAGTCTTGTCTTTGACAGAATTTGTCCATTTCATCTAAGTTTTTTAGTTTCTTGGCATGAAGTTGTTTATAATATTCCCTTATTATCCTTTTAACATTTGTCACATCTTTAGTGATAGATGACTCTCAATTACTGATATTAGTAATTTCTGCATTCTCTTTTTCCTGAGAAGTGTGGTTAGAGGTTTATTATCAGTTTTATTAATCTTCTTAAAAATCCTTTTTCATTTTTCTAATCACTTTCCTGGTTTTTAAAATTATTTCTGATCTTCACTATTCTGCTTACTTCATTTCTATTTTTTCCTAATTTCCTAAGATGGAATCTGATGTCACACTGATGTGAGATATTCTTAATTTCGAATATGTTTATTGCTATAAGCTCCCCCCTTGAAACTGTCTTGGCAGCATTCCACCAATTTTGATACACTGTGTCTTTAAAGAAAATAACATTTATTTACATAACATTTTATTTTATTTATTTTGGGGGCAGCACTGGGGTTTGAACTCAGGGCTTCATGCTTGCTAAGCAGGTGCTCTTCCTACTTGAGCCACTCCACCAGCCTGACACACTGTGTCTTCATTTTCATTCAATTCAAAATATGAATCTGTCTTTGGGTCACTTCTTTGACCCATGGGTCATTTAAACATCTGTTAGTTAGCAAATAGTTCAGGATTTTTCAGTTATCTGTTGATTTTCATTTTTTTCCATTGTGGTAAGAGAACATCCTTTCTGTGACTTGAGTCTTTTAAACTTATTAAGACTGCTTCCAAAATACGGCCAACTTGGTGAATGTTCTTTATGAACACCTGATGATATCAGAGGCAGGGTGCCATAAATGTCGATTTAGTCCCAATGGTTGAGAATTCTATATCCTTACTGATTTTCTGTCTGTTGAAATCTTTAACTGTAGTTGGAGATTTATCTATTTCTCCTTGTAGTTCTATCAGTTTTTGCTTCATGCATTTTGAAGATCTTTATCTCTAGGAAATGACCTTCTTTCTTACTTTAATGGTCTTTTCTCCCAAATCCATTTTTTTCTGGCATTAAAATAACTTCTCTGGCTTTCTTCTGATGAGTGTTAGCACAGTAGATCTTCATCCATATCTTCATTTGATCTTATTTGCATCGTTATATTATGGTGAGTTTCTTGAGGCAATATATAGTTGGGTCATGCTTGCTCATCTAATTAAAATGTTTTAAACTGGGGCATTGAAGCTAATTACTGTTTGTTTTATATTTTCTCCAGTCTATTTTTTATTCCTGCTTTTTCCAGGTGGGTTAAGATGAATGGGGGCCCCAGGACAGAAGGAGGGACAAAGGCAGTGTGTACAGAAACTGCACTGTCCTGGAAGTCCACAGAGCCCTGGTTCTGGTTATGATCCTCTTCTTCTGTTCCGAAGGCTCTGCTCAGATCTCTTTCCTCAGCTTCCTTCCACCATCCTGCTCAAGGGAGGCTGAATGACTGCTGGTGCCCAGAGATATGAGAGTATATTCTTCTGTCCTTGTCACCAAATGGACAGGTGGCTTCTTAGCCTATGTGTGCATGTGTGAACATGACTATTTGTGTGTTTGAGTGCATGTGCATGAGAGAGAGAGAGAGAGAGAGAGAGAGAGAATATAAGTATGACTATGTAAATCTGTATGGTCATGAGTATGCCCTTGAACTCACTTACCGGCTGGCCTTTGGATCCTGGCTCCCCCTGATTCCCAGGAAGCCCTGTTCCGCCTTCTGTCCCTCGCTTGCCAGGGGGGCCTAGTTGCCCAGGTAACCCACTTTCACCCTTAAAGAAACACATCAAAGTTACCAATTAAGGTGGGAAATAGTCTGTGTGGAGGAAGAAGGGGTTCAAGGAGCAGCAGGACAATGATTTCACGGAGTCCCTTGAGAGCTCAGAATGATGGGGCAACAGGAGGACACTGGGGGTAGGGTGGTCAAGACTGAGCACCAAGGAAGCCCCCACCTTACTCCGGTATCTCCTCTGCTCTCCCACACGGCCTTCCTCTCACTGCTTTTCCCTAACACAAGGTATAGGCTGCACCTCCAAACCTCTCTTCACACTACTCCTCCTGCCTTCTTCTCCCCGTTCTTTTCTCTGCCAAATCCCCATTGGGACAAGGCCATGTGTCCTTCTTCCTGCAATACTCAAGGGGATTCCAACCTTTCCCCGACTGATCTTAAGCTCAGGGCAGGCAAGAACTACATCTGGGTCCTTCGCTTACATCTTCCCTTCATGGTCTGGCTCTGGGCTCCCACAGGTTCAAAGCAGCCTTTCTCTGCTATGGTTCAAAGAAGCTTTCTAAAAGGATGCTGGGAGTATCCCAGCAGCAAGCAATCTGCTGTTCCACAAATGCCCGGAAGAGGGCGCCCTCGAACAACTCAGCAACAGAGACCGCTTTCCAAGGCCTTGGAGGGAGGCAGTACAGCTACCTGGATAAACCATCCTTTGTGTCCGGGTCAAAATTGTGACATGGACCCCAGAGAAAAGTTAGTAACATGGGTTCCATTTTCACACGGGCCCGGGATGTGGGTGCTCGAGGAATCAATACCATTATATTCAGTACTATTATAGTCCACGAGGCCAAAAGGGTGACAGTTGGTAAAATGATTAAGCAGGGTCTGACCTTGAATCCTGGGGGACCCTGTGCTCCAGGCAAGCCAGCCACACCAGGGTTTCCTCTCCTCCCAGCAGGGCCTATAGGGCCAGGGTTCCCATCAGCTCCCTGCTCTCCCTGTAAAGAAAATAGTCAAAGGGTGTCTCTTGTATTTTAGCAACAGGTTCCTAAGGAGGTGGTTTCTTGGACCTGGGTGAATGGTAAGAGCAAGAGAGAAGGTCGTATCTGTGTGTGAGGTGGCTGGACTAGGGGCCAGGAGCAGCTGAGGATTTGTGAGTGGGGACAGGGAGGATATTAAACACTAGGAGCCCCATCTGCCTACCAGGCAGGGGATGGGCTCAGTGACCTGGGTGCTGGCATTAAGATGAAACTGTGAGTCCACACTTCCAGGTCCCAAGGGATGAGGTGATCTTCCAGCCCACAGCACCCCAGGAACCTTCTGCCTACATTGGTTGTGCCCCATCCAGTTTTCCAACCAGCCCATAGCCCATGGAAGACCCCCACACCTTGTCTCAAATGGAGACCCCGTTTACTAACCAAGTTCTACTCACCTGCTGTCCTGTTCGGCCATCCCTGCCAGGGAGCCCATCTGGTCCAGAGATGCCCTCGGGGCCCTGTCTCCCCACCACGCCCCGTGGCCCGGGCATCCCCTGCAGTCCCTGGAGGTACAGAAGAAGCCCGTGAGCTCTCTCAATAGGCAGAAGGCAGGTGGGAATATAGTAGCTGCAAGCCACTCACCTGTATCCCCCTCCGGCCTGGTGCCCCGGCCTTGCCTGACTTTCCCTTTGGGCCCTGAAAAAGTAAAAGCAAGGCCCACGTGTCAGAGGCTGCCTGGAGGAGAAGCAGGACAGAGAAGCCCTGGAGGATTGCAGGCCCTGGGTGAGCGTCTGACCCACAAAAGGGCAGAGCAAGCTGGCCTGGAAACCCACAGCTGTTCCTGTGCTGCTCTGACCCTGCATCCCCTCAATAGCTCCCTCCCATTGAGGCTGTAAGCATTATCCACCTCCTAGTCGAAGATGGAGCCTAGGACCAGGCCACTGAATCCTCAGAGTGTGGGTATCCCTAAGGGGCATGGGTGGAGGGCATCTATCTGGCCTAGCCTTAGTGGAGGGAGATTCAGGGGACCTGGGTCCAAGGCAGAAAGTTCCTCCTCTGTGAGCATCCCAGCCCCTCTCCTCTTTTTCCAGACTCCTCACTTTCCTTCTCCCCAGTCTGTCTACAATGCAGCATAGCATGCAGCTTGTCTTTGGCTCCTGCCTGCCCTGGGTTCAAAGCCCATGGCTGAGGTCAGGCAGGTGGTCCCCTTCCCGGAGCCCCTGTAAGAAGGGTTGCAGGGACCATGGTGGAGCTTGGGTTCTCCCAGCCCTGCCTCAGGCCTATTGGGTGACCTTAGGCCAGTCTTTCTCCTCCCAGGGCCTCAGCATCCCTGTTGAATACCCAGTCCTCTCACCTCTTCACCTTTTGATCCTTTGGGTCCCGGCCGTCCCCGGGGTCCCGGATGCCCCTGCAAACCAAGGTGAGATGACGCAAGGCAGCCCCAGGATTCTCCCGGGGAGGGTGGCCAGTCTCCGCCTGGAGGGGGAGGGGTGGGGAGGGGTTTGGGGTGCAGGCTCTGGGGATGCCCCCAGGGTCAGAGCAGGAGAAACCAGAAGGGGCTACCTCCCCAGGTCCTCCTGCAAAGCAGGTCCCTTTAAGTTTTAAAGGGCCCAGTTCCTTAATTTCCACTGCTCCACCCACCTCAGGGCGGGAGGGGACATGGGACAGGAAGCTACACTCACGGGTTGGCCCTGTTGGCCTGGCTTTCCACGGAGACCTTGAACACCCTCCTGTCCCTGAAAGCCAAGGAGAAACAGGTATGTGTGTGGGGGGTGCGCATCTTGGAGGAGCCTGGGAGCCAGATCAGGAGCCCAGGAAGCCCTGGCTCTTTCTGGCCATGTATCACTGACCCTTTGAGTCTCTACTTCCTTATCTGCAGAATGGGTGAAACAAGACCCACCAGTATGAACAGAGGGGGAGGTAAGAGCCTGGTGGGGTTCAGTGGCTTGTCACTGCTTCTGCAGGAGGATGATTCCCAGCTACAAATGGGGAAACTGTTCCCTCAGATGGGAGGGAGCAACTCAGGATCATGGCAGAAGGAAACTGCCAGCAGATGCAAGGTGCAGATGATCTCTTGCCCTCCATCCCTCAGGAAAGGTCTCAGCTTTCCCCTTGCAGTGTGAATGGAAGCCCTTGCTTCCTAAGGGGGATGTTATTGGGGCCCCTGCACCAGTGGCACAGAGAGGAGGGTGCAGGTTGGCTGCCCTTTCTCTTATGTCATGCCCCATCCTGCTCTGATACTTACAGGATATCCAGGGTCCCCGGTCTCTCCACGGTCTCCTCGATCACCTACAGGGCCCTGAATGACAAGGACAACACCAAAATATGGGCCATACTTTGCGAGACTCTCTGCAGCCTCACTACTGTTCATCTGCCCCTGCCCTCAAACAGGAGGCCTGGACGCTACCTGAGACCTCACACAGCCCAGGAGGTGTAAGGAGCCTTACCCGATCTCCAGGTGGCCCAGGGGGACCCTCAGCCTTGCCATCCTCGCCCTGTTCCCCCTGTGGATACAGAACCAGCTTTAGGCAAACAGCCCATCCTGGGGAGCTGGGGGAATCCAGGCTGGAAAGGGCTTTCATCAGAGATGGAGTCCTTCACCAGGGCCTCAGCAGTTGGAGACCAAGACCAGAGAGGGAAGACATAGGGGTGGGGTTGGGTCAGCACTGAGGAGCACTGACAGTACTCTTTGCCCTGCACTGCTGGGCACCCTAACCCAGCCCCTGCAGTAAGGCCTGACAGCCAGGCAGCAGGGGGTCAGAGATCTTGGACCCCATCATGCTCTGCACAGGACCCTTCAGAGTGTTCCCCCCAGACTCTGATCTTCTCTCAGTTGGCTGTAGGGGTGTGGTGACAAGCCTGTGCATGGTGCCTGGCCACTAGCATGCGTGGGCAGTACACAGCTGGACACAGAGGCTCACGGGATGTCCACAACAGGCCCAGGGAGGCCACAAGAGCTACCTCCACAAAAGAACCCCTTTCTTTGATCCTGGCTGGGAGAAAGTGGATGCCTAAGGACATGTGACTCTCATTCGCCACACTGGGAGCCCCAGAGAAGACCTGGAGCTGCCCCTGTGTCCCTCAGCTACCAACCAACGGGAGGTCTTATCTACATGATTGTTTCCTCCATGCCCAGCAGGAGGGAACACCAAGCAACACTCCTCCTCACTGAGGACTCCGAGGAAGGGTGTGTGGAGTCTTCAGCCCACTGCCACCCACTCGCAGGGCTCATTAGATGACAATTGACATTGCTATTGTTGATAATAGTGACAGCAGTGATCATGTGTATCATGCATGTGACAGGACAAGCTGAGGAGGAGCAGAGTCTAGCATAAGATCCTTGGGCCACAGCAGGCCACCCCTAGGCCCTGGTCCAGCTACAGGGTAGGTGACTAGATGCCTCTTGCCAGCAACAATGTACAAACAGGACAGAATCTCAGGACTCCAGCCCCAGAAAACTGATGTCACCTCCCCTGAGAGCCATTCTGAGCCATTCTGTGCTCTAGCATGAGCACACTGAACCCCCTTGTTGCCCTCAGGGATTAGATGGAGGCTTGGCAGACAGGAAAGAGTGAACTACCTGGGTCTGGAGCACAGGTCTGGCCAGGAGTCCAGGGGCTGGTCCTGCACCACCTTGGCCAGGTTCTGTTGGCCCCTGCAGTCAGTGGCTCAGGACAGGTAGGACTCAGCCCAAAGAGTCCTGGTACCAGCTGTACCCAGGGAGTAGCACTCCCTCTCTTTCCTGCCCACCTGGCTCGTTGACTCAATGCTCAGTTCCACTGTGGAGTGGCAGGGGCTGGGGACTTTGGGGCCAGAGACCAGGGTTTATCCAGCATGTTCTTTGTGTCAGGCACTTCGTGAGATTTGTTTTACACTTTGTCTCCTAGACTCTACAGATGTCCCCACTTAACAGATGGAGCTCCTGAGGCCCAGGGAAGGCAAGGTCTTAGCCAAGGCCACTTAGGAATCAAGGGCCCAAACCTGCCTCCAGATCTCCCCCCAGCACATACTCTGCCCATCTACATGACCCCATTTGTCCCAGAGAGTGACAGCAGCCTGAGTGAGGCCTGGGGGAGGTCCCAGCTATGTGCTTCCCCACAGCCAGCTCACTCCCTCCCTGCACCATCCAGTCTGTGGTTGGCGGCTGTTTATTATGGGACAGTCATGAGCCACAGAGGAACGTTCCATTGGTAATGGACCGCATACATGATGGTGCTCTCATAAGATTATGTCACCTAGTAACGTCATAGCTGCTTTGGTTTGTGTCAGTATGCTATAGGCTGTTCCCACAAGGATGAAATCACCTAACTCAGCAGTTCTCACAATCCCTGTCACTAAGCAATATATGACTGTGTGTCTATTCTGGGCACCCATTCCAGGCCGGGAACACACTAGGCTGGAGAGCCAGAAGAATGAACTAGAATAACACGTTGTAAGTCAGAGTGTAGGATACTCATGTGTGGACCACCCACTCACCCACTCAACAGGTGGGCAGTCAAGGCCCAGGGAGTCCTAGGGACCCACCCAAAGCCCTGGCAGACTTTGGGTAGATGTGGTGGTGGGGTCCATTCTTCCAGCCACAGGGACTGCTCCTGGGGCTGCCGATGGGCCAGAGTGGAGGCATTGGGTTTTGTTGGCTCCCCCTGGCTTCAGGGTCTGTGAAAACACTTGTGTCAGCCCTGGAAGGCTGAGGGCTTTGGAGGTCCTCCGGGACTGAGTGGCAGTTCCTGCAAGCCTCCTGCAGACTAGGCTAGAGCCTGGACCACAGGCTACACATCTGGACTCCTCCAAGCAGGAGGAGGGGCCACAGGACAGTGACTCACCCACAGTGGGAGTCAGTGGGGAGCTGACTCAGCAAAAGAACAGTGGCCTGGGGAGGTCAGGGACAAGGAGCCAGTGGCGGCAGCCTGCTAGAGGGTGTTCCAGCTGAGGGATGGTGGGGAGGAGGGAGCGGACGCCAGACTCAGAGACCTGCCCCAGGGCCACTGGGCTCTGCCTGGGGATTTGATCCAGGGCCCATGCCTTGTATCCTTGTACCTTCTGGCTCTCACATGCCCCATGCACTGGGCAGGGTCCAGGACCAGCATGGCTCCTTTCAGAAATTTCCCTTCTTTCCTGAGCCTGGAGCCCACGTGGGATGGACACTGTTCCTCACTGCCGGGCTTCCCACCTCTTTCCCAAGCCCTCTCCTCGTCCATGTCCTCCTCTCTGGCAAAGAGAGGCAAGGATTCGATGCCCACGTTCGTGCAGAAGAGGGATGACATGGTCTTGGTCATTACATGATTGACATTTGTTTTTTCTGTGTGACCCTGAGCCCACAATGGAAGGAATTAGGTCTGTTTGCTCCAGTGCCAGGCAGAGATCACACACAGGCCCCAGAAGTAAACATGCATCCCATAGCTCCTGCCTGCCAGGCATGGCCTCAGTGACACTGGCCTCAGGGCTGCCTCCTACAGTCGCAGTGTGTGTAGGGGGAGAGCCACCATGGGCCTCCCATGCTACCTCCAAAGACCTCAGATACAACAGATGGATCGCTGCTTCTCTGAGACCCACTCACTCACCTTCTCACCCTTGGGTCCAGGAGGCCCAATGGGCCCTGCAACACCTTTGTGCCCCTGCAGGAAAACAAGATGGAGAGAGGTAAGGGGGGTGAGGACTTAAGAGGAACAAATGACAGGGAGTACAGCTCTACCACGACTTGCAGCATGGCTCTGAGCAAGCCCTGTGCCTCTCTGGACCCTGACCTTTCAGACACACCCTGTGGGTCCCAGACACACCTCCAAGGGGTGTGCCTGCTAGGATGATCAGGGCCCTGCTTTCCCACTGTGGGACAGAAGGACAGAAGCTACCTCAGCAGATCCCTGGGCTTTGGCCAAGTTGCAGGTACAGGAACCTCCCATACCTGGCACTCTCCAACCAGCCCCCTCCCCCATCATGATGGGTCTCCTTCAGACCCCGGACCTACCTAGGGCCACAAGGGTCTGGGCGAGGATCCCATTCCTGAATGTAGCCAGCTGCCAGGTCTCTCCACACTCCATGCTTCCTAACTTCTCCCAGCCTCTGTTTCCCTGTTTGACCCAGCCCAGCCTCTCTAAGCCCTAGTCTCCCTGCTGTGTAACAAGAGTCTGGCTCTGCCTCTTCTAAGGAGAGGACACCTTGGGTGCAACCCATGGGCCAAGGCTGGTCCCTCCTCTAGGGGACACTATGACATTCTGGATGAGGCATACAGAACACTCACCAGTGCAGGGAGGACTCAGGAGACTCTAGGGTGTGGTTGGTACTGTCTGCTCCACTGCCACCCTTCCATCCATGGCCCCCTTCCCAGGCATGCCCATCTATGGACCCAGAGGTCATCTAGAGCAGGGAGACCCCATATCTCCAGTGGCCCAGGGGTGACCCTTAGCTGGGATGGGGCTGAGTTGAGACTCCAGAGAGGGGCAGGGGGTAGGGAGGAAGGACTTACATCATAGCCAGCCAGTCCGGGTTCTCCCTGGGCCCCCATCCTTCCTGGAGCACCCTAGGAGAGGAGGAGACCCTCGTTGGTGTGCCCTGTGGCTCTTATAGAGCAGACACGGTGGGGATGCTCTTCCCCAGAAGCTTGGCAAGTTCACTCTTCCCAGAACTGAGGGGACCTAGGCGGAAAGCAAGTGGACCACCCTCCTCTGTAGGGTTCCCCCATCCCGCCCAGTCCTTCCTTCCAGCTGTGGTGGCTCATGGAGCTGAGTGGGACATTTCTAGGACTTTTATGAGCCACTTAAACAGAGCCGCTATTATATTTAAATTTTATGAACTTACAGTTAAGTCAATGTTATTAAAAACAAGGTAATAGACACCCTAAACACATCCCTTCCTAACTCTTACTCCATCTCACTGTTACCTGCGCTTGTGAAGTATTTGTGTCAAGAATCAGGGGATGAAACACTGTCAAATGGGTCTCTGCTCCCAGGTCCCATCGATGACATCACATAGGTTGTGGAAGTGGGCCGGGGTGTGAGCATTTACATCACAGAAATGGGTAAAGGCCACAAATAGGCATGGCTGCCCATCACTGCTACTGCCAGCACAGAGATGCCACATGAACTTCTTCCACACCTGCTTCCCTGGGGTCTATGTGTTCCAGCCGGTGTCACACCTCTCTGGGCTTGCTCTAGCGGCTCAGCCAGGGCCTGTGGCACTTCACTCGATCCTCACAGATCTATTTCCAGTGGGAAAACTCCTTACTGGAGAAAAATGCACTCCCAATACCAGGGCTATAGAAATGTGGATCCATAGGAAGCTCCTGGAGATCCATGGACCCCTCAAATTGCAAGAACTCTTTTGTCCATGTGTACAGAGAGCTGTTTTTGTAGTTCCCAAGGAGACTCATGATTGCAATGAGGTGGCTGGGACAGTGAACACAAGGGCCTCAGTTGATAGCTGAAGTGGGGATGGCCTCACAGAGGTGCCTGGTGCCTCCCTTCCCACTCTGGGTCCCCTCTATTGCATGCCTGACTCCCCACCTAGCCAGAGTCCTCACCGTTGGTCCTAAGCTGCCTCGGGACCCTTTAGGGCCTGGGGTGCCCGGAGGTCCAGGATCTCCAGGGACGCCCATCTCACCCAGCTGTCCTTGGTAGCCCTTGGCACCCTGCAGTGGGAGAGAGACAAGCTGTCATGGCCCAGCAGGCGTGTGGTGGACTGGGTCATCATGGCAGGACAGAGGACCTACCTTGGCTCCTGTCCAGCCCTTCTCACCCTGCTTCCCTGGTTTTCCTTCTGGACCCTAAAGGGAGATGAGGAAAAAGAACAAGATGAGAATGGAGAGAATCCAGCAGATCCATGAAGCAGTTCGACATGACCTCTGGAGGCTGACCACCTGGTTCAGGACTGGGTTTGCCATTCGGTCTCCATGTGACCTTGGGCGTGACCTGACTCCCGGGGCTCGATGCCCTTGTCTGTGTAGAGGGGCAGTGTCATAAATGCCTCGCAGAGCTTAAGGATGCCATTCAATAACACAGGGGCTGGCCAAATAAGTGCTCTGACCAATGATGGAGGTGATTGCAATGCCAGGCTCCACTGTTGTCATGGTTACCATCAGACGCCCACCCAGGATGTCTCTACTGAGCTCTCCACGTGCTAAGCCCTGTTCCATTTTCTTGGTGATACTTCCACAGGGGAAGTACCTTGCCTGGACCCAGCTGGCCCACAGATGGCCAAGATGCAGCCTGGGTCCATGTCCGGGCACTTTCCACCTCTCACTAAGGATCCCCCACCCATTTCTGAGATGTCATTCACCACTCCTATGTAATGCCTGTGGGGGGGGTCACACTTCAGGCACTCTCTCAGGGACTGGGCATGGTGCCGGGACAGCAGCTTCCCCTGCCACCATGTTAGATTTCCCCGCCACCTGTTAGATTCCCTCTAACAGGCTCCTCCTTCAAGGGCATCCCAAAATACAGCCCTGGTCCCCCAAGCCTCAGACTGGCAATCTGGCTTTGTCTCCACAGCTGCTGAGGAAACTCTGCTGAGTGGTATGCCTGCTGAGGGTTCATGTATGCATGTAAGAAACAGAGACAGCAAAAACAGAGAGTACCATCCTTGTGCCCCTCTAGGTTGGGATGTATTGGTAGGAAGGGACTTTCTGTCTAGTAGCTGAAAAGACACCTATGCTCTTGGTAAGCACCAAAGCACTAGTTTGATTCAATCCCTCTGACTACATTAACAGAGGCACAAGCTGTAGGATGAGGGAGGTGATGGTCACTTCATCTGACTAACTGTGATGAATGGGCAGGAAGGGAGGTCTCAGAGGAACAAGGAAACACCTAGACCAACCCTGTCTGCGCAATTCTGCAGCTGTTTTTGGGCCGGGGAAACCATGTTCTCTGAGGTGCACAGAACTTAAGGAGGCCAGTTTTGGATTAGGACAAGGGAAAAATGTCTGCTTATAAGACAAACCTGGCACTAGTGATTGGACTGTGGCTCTAGAGAGACCAAGCACAGATGGTCACGTTCTGATTCTTGAGTTCTCCTGTGACCATGGGCTAGTTCCACCCCTTCTTTGGGCCTGTTTCTCCACCTGCCATCTGTCCCAACTTGTGGCTTCAGCCAATGTGGCTATTGCAACCGAGGAACCCACGCCTTCATTTTATTCAATTTTAATTCAAATTTACAGGGAAACGTTTAAATGGGTTTACGGATCTACATTTTTAGATGTACACTTTATGAACCTAAAAACAGACTTGGTATTTCTGGTGAGAATTTTCATCTCAACTGGGGTGCTTGAGTTCTGATTCTACCACACGTGATCAGAAAGAGTACAAAAGAGAAAGCAGAAATCTCACTAGTGATTTTTAATATCGGTTACAGGCTCAAATAATATTTTGGATCTACTGGCTAAATAAAATATGCTATTAAAATTAATTTTACCTGATTTTTGTTGGTGGCACTGGGATTTGAACTCAGGGTCTTACGCTTGCTAGGCAGGTGCTCTACCACTTGAGCCAGCCCTACTTGATTATTTTAACCTTTTTAAAATGTGACTACTAGAAACATTTAAAATCACATAGATTCTGTTTCTGGTGGCCAGCGGTGGGCTGATCAGGCCTAAGTTCTCTTGCTTCTCCTGTAATAAAACAACGATCCTCACAACCTTCACCTTGGACCAGGTACTGTGTCCCCTGCTACATAAATCCTCATTCCACGCTCAGTAGTGTTGGGAGGAGGGGCTTATCCACCCCATTGCAGAGCTAAAGAAACTGAGGCTTGCTGGTGGTTGTGGGCTGTCCAGCTGGGCAATGGTGACATCACGTCAGGTGGCTGGTGGGACTTGTCAGGGCTGAGGGGACGGCAGCAGGTGACAGATCCCTTGTCAGGAAAAGCGAGTCAGTGCTGACACACTGGGCACAGGGCTGGGGGATGGGACTCGCATCTCCCCCAGGACAGGACACCCCTTGTCCTGATGGTTACTCCCCAGCTAAGGGCAGCACCCCATAGTGGCTGAGGCTGTAGGGCTGGGATGGAGACTAATGCTAGGCCCCATCTGTATACAGTTGTCATCACTTCATGACAGCAATGGAGCTGAGAGATGCGGCTTTGTGACTGTGTAAGCATCACAGACTGACTGCATACGCTAACTGAGCCAGCTATGGCGTCACTATGCAGTGTGACCTTATAGGACCACCAGTAACTGTGAGGTGCCCTTACAGTGGACCAAAACAGCATCCTGTGGCACGTGACAGGACACATTCTGGCAAGGTCCCCAGGGCTCGTAAAGTTCTACTCTTAAATAACTGACTATTTCCATGTCTGAGGCCAAAGAAACTCAAAGCACCCTTGGTGCCTCCACCATGTGACATACACACAGCCGGGCAGAGGCTCTCCTTACGACCTTGATGCATGAGGTTGGAAGTGACGGCAACATGGTGACAATATTAACAGTCCACCATTTCCTTCATAGTCATCACCATCACCATTGTCATGACCAGCAGTTGCCAGGCATTTCCTCCTCCAACTCACGAAGACAATCTTTCAAATTCCTGCTATAGCCTATGTAGCACTTTCTTGTCCGAAGTTTCAATCGCTCTTTATAGATGGGAAAACTGAGGCTCAGAGATGGGCAGCAGTTTGCCTAAAGTCACCCAGGACGTGGGTTGCTCAAGCCAGGAACCTTAATTCAACCTTTGTGTCTGATTCCAGTGCTCATTCTATCATGGTTGCTGCCTGCTCCATGGTAGTGATACACAAAACTCACAAAGAAAAGAGAGTTGGAACTCAAAGTGCTCTTAGCATACATTCCTTCCAAATCTTTTACCATAACAAGGGTGAGAACAGAGAGGGCAGGAGGCAAGAGAAAAGCCACTCAGCAAGGGACTGAAGGGGCCAGCACTTTGCTGACCTTCCCCTGGCTCTCTTCCCCAGGACTGAGTGAAGTGAGGGGAAGCCTCTGGCAGGGAGAGCCTGACCATGTGTCCCGTCTCCTTCTCCTTCTGTGTGAGGAGGTCACCGTCGCAGCTGCTGAGGGGACTTAGCACTTAGGTTCTATTTTTAGGAAACAAATATTTTCCCACAGTCAGTTTATTGCAGGCTAATTTGGCTTTGTCCCAGATTAGTCATTTTGGCACTCCAGGAGGGAAAAAGACTGTCAAGAGCAGTCCCAAGTGGAAGTGCACTGCTGGACGAGGTATGTACATAAATCTTTCTGCCTGGGGTGGGGAGGGGGGTGGCAGAAGAAACAGACTCCTGTGCTGGCTGGCTCAGGGGGACACCTGCAGGACTGTCATTTGGGAGGCTCGTCTGCAAGGAAGCCTGATCCTCTGGCACCAGCAGTTCCAGGCCACACACATTGTGGTCCTGCACCAGTATGGAACCCACCCTGGCTCCATTTCAGAGTCCAGTTCCAAGACATCAGCTATATATCTGATCCATTCTACTGTCCAGCTGCAACCTCACGGTCCCAAACACAGGCCCTGGGTTCCCAAGCAGGACACAGTTCAAATCCCAGCTCTGCTATTTCTTACCGTATGACCCTGGGCAAATTTCTTTGCCTCTGATTCCCCAGGGCCTCAGGAGTCGCTTTCAGTATCAAGGAGGGAACATTTTGGAATGTCGGCATGTCAGCAATGTCGGGCAGGGACCTGATTCACCCTTCAATCTTAGGGGACCCAGCACAGGGAAGACTGTCACAGAGTCTTGGATAGACAACTCAGCTAGGATTGAAGGACAGAGCTTCTCTGAACGTCTTTTCAATCAACAAAGCCAGGTCACCTACTTGGTGCCAGTGGTGCCAGGTGCTAGGCTGGGTGTGAGAGACATAAATGTAAACTAGACAAGGTCTTGACTTCCTTGGGAGCTCAATATGGCCCTGGAGGTTCATGGTATGGCCTGAGGTCAGGGACAGTTTTCTGGGATGATAGCCGAAAGTGAGTGGAAGTGTGTTAGGTGATGGGGAAGCAAGGAAGTGATGATGTCTTAGAGAGAAAAGCATGTGCAAAGGCCCAGGGGTGGGAGGGTGGGAGCCATGGCTTGTCCAGCAGGTGTGGTTGGGTGTGGCTGGATGTGTGGATGGGATGAGGTTACAGGGGCCAGGTTCATGTAGGCACATGAGGATCAGAGGTTGTCCTGAGTGTACTGTGGGAGACCAAAGGGAGGCTGGGAAGGGGAGGGACAAGATTGGCTCTGTGTCAAACTCCCAGATGGAGGAAGATCTACCAACTGAGGACCGCTTAGGTGGCCTGGGCAGGTGTGAGGGTCTATGGAGCCCAGAGTCCCAGTGTGGGCTGGTGGCAGCTTGTAAACTCACCCGTATGCCAGTGATGCCTGGGGGCCCCGGGGGCCCATCTTCACCCTTCAGCCCCTCCTGGCCTTTCTCACCATGTTCACCATCAGGCCCTGGGTCACCCCTGTCCCCCTGGGTTGGGAGAGCAGAAGGAGGAGGAGGAGGAGAGAGAGCGAGAGAGGAAACATTAGTCACCAGGCCCACGAAAGCCCCAAACCTCAGGCTGCATGTAGAGGCCCCCAGCCAGCAGCCTTGGGATCACCCACAGCTCCCAGAGCTGCCAAAAGGGTAGGAGTTGGCATGCCTGACCAGCAAGGGGCAAGCACTGGCGGTCTCCACTGTCCTTGCCTGGCTGGGGCCGGGCCAGGGAGTGTCTTGGAGACAAGCCGGGATGTTGACCACAGTCACCCAGGGAGAGGCTCTGGGACAGAACCAGTTTGGGGGACCATGGCTCTCTCTTCCAACTTAGACAACCAAGAGGACAGAACTAAAGGGAAGTTTTGAGCAGAAGGAAGCTTGCCCCTGCCAGCCTCTTAGAACCCACTTTGGGTTGCATTTTTCTGAGTTGTGTTTTCAACCTTTGCTTGCACAAGGACAGTTTTCATCACCACGTGGCCAGCCCAGAACAGTGAAGAAGCGTCCCAAGGCCATGGCGCCAGTCGGCCATTAAGTGAGGTTTCCAAGGTACAGCGCACTGGGACAGCACACTTTCTGAGATCAGTATCATCTGTTCCCACTGCCGCCTGCCCTCATCCTCTGTTGAGCAGATGGGACCTAACACAAGCTCCTTCCCCACTTGGGACTGCATTCTGGGTTCTTTATGTGTGCCAATTGACCTTGTCCTCATGAAAGTCTTTCATCGAAGCTACTCTTTTGGTCCCATTTTACTGATAAGGAAACCGAAGCAGCTGTTCATTTGGCCCAAAGTCACGCTGGAATCGCAGAAAGCACTTGGACACAGGCCAGTGCCTGACAGGCAGGAGGCCAAGAGACACTCACTTCAGAGCCACTGTGAGTGCAGCAAGAAGCCCTGAGGCTCTGTCCACTCAAAGGGACCTTGGGTGTGGCCTTTGGGGGCCACAGGCACGGACCTCTGGGGTTCTCTGTGAGTGCTGGCTTTGCAAATGGCTTAGAAACAAGCCACAACTGCATCTCTGTGCTTAGCCCAGCTCCTCACTGCCCTCTTCATGAGGTACAGCAGGGCAGCCTGAGCAACCCTGCCCTGAGCTCTTCCAAGGCAGGCGGGGACTGCTGTCCTGGGTTCTGGGCCAGAGCAGGTGGAGCTGGAGCAGTCCTGCCATGGGCGGGGCAGCATCCATCACAAGGCCATCTCAGTGGGGCCTGTGGCAAGTCTGCTCAGCACTGGCAACTCAAAGAGGCCCAAAGAGGGAGAGGGCACAAGGTCACATGAACAAGGAAGGGAGGGGTAGGGAGCAAGCTGGAAAAGCAGAATGCAGGGGTCGTACTTAACAAGGGACCCTGACCGCTACTGTGCCTGCAGAGCAGAGAGCAGGGCATGGAGCTGGAGCCGGAATTGGAGAGCGGACTTCCCACTGGACCACAGAGCAGGAGGCTGGCATGGGGAGCTGTCAGGCAGCTTCCAGCTCAGCCTGGAACAACTTTCTAAGCAGCGTCCACAGACCACACATGAAGCCTGATCATCAGGCTGGTCTCTGAGACCCCTTCCAACTGTGATTGTCTCTGGCATAGAGACTGGGGTCTAGCCCCAGTGATCTCTCACAGACTTCCACAGTTCTAGTACTCCACTCCTGGCTTGTCATCCCTGGCTGCCTGCTGGCCTAGCTCTCAGTGGCAGACAGCCTGATCCAGGTTGGCTGGGCTGGTTTTCAGCAAAGGGTGGAAGCTTGGGCCCTACATAGGACCCAGCTCTGCTCCCCATGGCCTGGCATCTACCCAGCTGGGATGAATGTGCTTGTGGGTCCTGCACACAATGGGATCTGGGGGTCCCTGGAGACCCTAAGAATCCTTGGATGTCTGCTAATGCTTAGAAGAGCCTTCCAAGTGGCCTGGTCAATTGTCTCAATCTACAGATGGGAAAACTGAGGTCAGGAGAGGTGGAGCCGCCCAATGCTATCCAAGAAATCAACGGCAGAGCCCAAGCAAAAACTCAGGGTTCTGACTCCTCCATCTCCAAGGACTTGTGCTCAAGTTGTCAACAATGCCTCCTCATCCCTGTGGTGTGCTCCCAAAGCACACTCGATTGTCATGTGACCCTCAGCAAGCTTCCTCAGTTATAAAATAATGACCAAAAGGCTACTGTGTGGGTTGGCCAGAGAAACCTTGTAGATCACTCAGCAGAGCCTGTAGAGTGCCTGGCAGAGGATCTGTTGCTGGTTATTGTCACCGTTGTTACCATCAGCAAAGAGACAGTGGGCATAGAAATGCTATGCATGCCCAACAGGTAATTAGCACCATCAAGGTGATCCCTGGACAGACACCATAGAAAACAGCCTCCCAGCATTCATGAGAGGACCAGGGAAGGTGCTGTGCATCTGAGCAGCGACTCCTGTCCACAGTCAAGGGCAGAATTGGCTTCAGAGCTTCAGAGGATGAAGCCAGGGTCAAGGAGCCATGCAAAGTAGAGGAAGAAAGACTACTGGAGGTGGTCAAGCCTGGAAGACCTTCCGTCCCACCTCAGCAAAGACTCCAAGAGAAGAAAAGTGGCTGCCCAGAAGGGGTGAGGAGACCATGGCATCATGCCTCAGTTTCCTCAGGCCTCCCGTGGGGACACTGATGCCTTTAGCTAGGGGATGGATTGAGTTAATACACACCAAGCCCTTAAAGTGGGTGGTGCTCAGTACACAGCAGGTACACGTAACATTTGGGCCACAAGGTTTATTGGCAGCACCACCCTGAGCGGTGGTGCCAGCCACAGGTGAAGGGCAAAGACTCCAGGGATCTTCCCAGGCCCCACCTGTACCCTGGGAAGAGGCAAAGCTGAGGGCAGAGAGTAGCTAGACAGATGGCCAACGGGGGGGCACTCACCATTGTAAGAAAGCACCAAGAGCCAACAGGGGACCATCATCCAGGCACCCTAGGAGACAGGGTCCCTGAATCCAGGGCAACTGTGGGGAGGGCAGGTGGTGGCGAAATCAAGACACAGAGAAGGGGCTGCTTGTCTAAGGTCAGGTGGAAAGTAGATGGAGAGGATTTAGCTGTGGGGAACCTACTGGGACAGTGTGACAGGCCCTGGAGAAAGCCCACCTGTGGGGCCTGGACCACAGGTGGGGCTGGAAGTCAAAAATGGTTTCCACCCACCTGCCCACCTGTAGTTCAGGTGGGAGCAACAGGGCTGAGTGAAGCCAAAGGGCTTTGGAACCTGCAGGTCATGAGTTTAAATTTCAGACCCTCCACTTTATAACCACAGGCTCTGAACGGATACTTCCCTGCTTCCCTCTGAGCCTCAGTCTTCTCAGCTGTAGAATGGGTGCACCGTGCAGCAGAGTGAGCTGGGCTTTGGATCCATGCAGGCCAAGATTAGTGCCAATACTAGCTGTGTGTTGTTGGGCAGATCTCAGCTTCCTTGTTTAAAGACAGAGCCCTACCTGGTAGCATTGATGGAAGTGATACATACAAAGGGTTTACCAAGCCCATGTGACTTGTCCTCCCTAAATAGTGGCTTACAAACCACAGGTGGTGATTGCTACTTTCTTGATCTTGGAGGATGTTTGGAAGGCAAAGTCCCTGCTGTAGGCCCAGCACAGAGCCCGTGCTCAGGAGCTACCCTTAGCCAGAAGAAGCTGATGTTTTCAGAAGAGGAGTGCAAGGAAGCCAGGAAGGTGGTACCAGCTCAGGTTGCTAGAGTCAGCATCTGGGGGAACAGGGTATGACAGCTGCTGGACACTGATGAGCCCCCCACCTGCTCTGCATTGGAGCCAGAGCCGCACTCCGGAGCCTTACAGGAATTCCACACTCAGGAGGACACTTAGGTCTTGCACGGCACCCACCAAGCTCCTCCCCACAGGACCCTGGGTGCTTACCTTTAGACCGTCCGGCCCCGTGGGGCCAAGGTCGCCCTCCAGGCCTGGCTCTCCCTGGAAAGGTAGTAGGGAAAGATGAAGAGACATCACTGGGAAGGGGTTTCACATGCTTTCTCTCCCCCTCACTGGATAGGACCCCAACTCTGGCTCTTCAGGCAGTGGAACTTGGGGGCCCAGCACACAGTAGGTGCACAGTCCCAGGGTGGAGATGATATGAGATCACAGGTTAGATGTGCTGCTGGTCACAGGGTTGCTCTGGATGTGGCAACTGCTTTCACTGCTGGACTGGGGAGAGGGGGTGACCTAGTGGGTTGGAGCAGCCTTTGACATGAAGCAGACCTCATGTCACCTTTGGGCTGTTTGATCACGCAATTTACTGTAAGGGGGGTTAAGAAATGACATCACTTCCTTCAATGGCTGCCAGAAGACTGACTGTGCCATCCTAAAACAGCAGCCACCCAACACATTGCTCCTGGAACTGGAGTAAGCCCTCAGGGAACTCCTTGAGGGATGCTATTTTTCAAATGAGGAAAGTTAAGGACAGCCTTTTGACTTCTGTAAGCAAGTTTGGGATGATGTCCAGATGAGCCCCTGTCCACCCTCACCAGACTCCCTCCCTGCCTGTCCCTCCAGCAAGGATGCCTCAGTTCTCCAAATGTTTGACTCTCTCTTTGGTTTTAGAATTCAGAGCTCATCAGAGTTGGAACTGAGAGGGGGCTTGAGTCACAAGATACAGGGATGGCAAAGGTGTGACAGACAGGCAGATGCTACTCCTCTTATACCCATGGCAGACATCACTAATCAATCCACTGGACCATAAACTTCCTAAGATAGGCCTTCTGCTACTCACTGCGATGCTCCCAGGGTGGGAGACACAGTGGGCATCAGAGGAACTGAGCCCCAGGATCTCTCTTAACACAGCCCTCTAAGAACACTGGACTGGTCAAGCTTGGTGGACACACAAGAACTGCCACATCAGGCTCCAGGCTCCAGGATTCATGCCTATCCTCTCTTGCCCTTGGCCTTCCCCTCTCACCCTGCCTTGATGTAATTTGTGGATCCTCTATCAACTTGGGCATGGGTAGCCTGAGGCATCAGAAAGAAGAAAAGATGAGAAATGAGGAGACTTAGTTTGGGAACTGGTGTCTCTGTGACCTGTGACCCACACCAACTCCTTCTCACCCTTGGCCCCAGCTGCCTTCAAGTCAGGTCCTGAGAATGCCTGCTGTGTCCTCAAGCTACCCAGGAGCCCACATTCAGGCATGGACCTAATAAACTGATACAGGGCATAGGGAGATGGACACGGGGGCCTTTTAGGGCTTCCTAGAGCAAGACAAGCTTTGTGGGCTTCTTTCAGAAAATGGGAGGAAGAGTTTTTGAGGATAATGTGTTTTTCAATGAAAGCACTTGGTGGTTAAATATATCTGGAGGCCCCACGTTAACCCAAAAAAGCTAAGTTCTTGATTGCAGGCCTTCTCAAAGCCTTGAAAATGCTATTGCTAGTGTGTAAGAGGAAAGCCAAGCATACAGCGGGTCCCAAGCATGTTCACTACAGAATGCTTTCCTCTATGTTAGGGAAATGTTGGCTAGGTGAGGAAGACTGGGCAGGGCTGTAGAGATTCCTGGTCTATTTCCATAACTGAAAACACAGACTCAGTAAAGTTGAGTAAAGCCCTTCTTTTCCCCCACTAAGCCCACACAGCCTAAGGCTTCCCAGAAAGAAAGAATATGCTTCAACTCACCCGCTGCCCAATGAGGCCCTGCTCCCCAGGTGTGCCCAGAGGTCCAAGATCACCCTAGGAGAAACCAAACACAGGTCCATGGGGGTTGGTACGGTCAGCTCCAGCCCTCACTACCCTTTACGGTTTTTAGCTCTAATTTGGGGTGGGAAAGATCTGGAGAAGGTCCTTCTTTCCAGGGACCAAAGAGAAATTGTAAAACATCAATCAGAGCCCCTATTCCAAGTAAGCTCTAGCCACGGTCTTCTCCTGTGCCAGGGAGGAGGGCTACCACCACCAGCACCACTGTCATCACCCTCACCACCATCACCACCATAATCATCACCATCACAACTGTCACCATCAGTTCCAGTGACGTGCTGTTCCACGCCCTTTGTCATATGAATACATTCAACTTTCACAAAACCTGAGGGAAAGGTCTTATTTGGGAGAGGAAAAAGCTGAGGCTGGAGCATTGGTGGTTAGCCCAAACTCTCATTTGTCTCATTGTCTGGTGATGCAGCAACTCTGTACTCTTCACTCTCCCTTGCAACGTGGCAAGAAACCAAACGAAAAGGAAATCTGAATAAATGTCCCCTGTCTCCTGAAAAGCCCCGAAAGTTTCTTTTTCACCTGGGGACTTCCAGGCTATGCTCCCTGCTGGTGTCTAGAGCACAAAAAGGCAGAGCTTAGAGCCCCCAGCTCTGCTCTAATTCGAACAATCCACTTCTATCTGGTTTACATGTGGGGTGGTTTTCTTCATTGATTGAACAAAGGATCCTGGAACTGAGCCAAGCCTGCCAGCTCCAGGGGCAGCCCCCTCAGAGTGGCAGGGAGACTGGGGCATAGAGGCCAGCTCTCCTGGACCCAGTCTCAGCAATGTCCTCCACCAGCCAGCACCACTCATTGGCCCGCAGGCCTGCATGGAGCACAGGGTTCTCTTCCAACAGCAGAACTGGGAGGGGTTTCCCCTACCCAGGGGCCCAGGTATCAATGGGCGCCTGTTTCTCAGCAGGTAATGAGAGGTACCAGCACTGAGATGCAGATGGTATCATACCGGCTGAGAGGGGCAGTTGCCCCAGTAGGGAGGCTGGGCAGGTGCCAGAGAAAACACTGCTGGGCAGGGGTGCAGGGCAGGGACTCTAGGCTGGCTGGGCACTCCTGTGGCCAAGCCAGGCTCCGCTGTCCAGTCAGGAGCACAGAGACCCCATTATCCCAGGCACAAGAAAGGCCCGTTTCTCCTCCATGAGAGGACGTAGCTGCCAGCTGGGAGCTGGTTTCAACAAGACATTTTTCTCGTCTTTCATCCCGCCTCACCTTCATCCCGGCTTCCCCAGGAAGGCCTGGTTCCCCAACAGCACCTGGCGGTCCCTGCAAAAAGAATGCCATCGGTCTCTCCTACAGCAAAGGCCTGCCCCTGACTGAGGCGGAGAGAGGACAGGGATATGCTCAGGACACACAGCAGAGAGACAGTAGTGGGAGCAACTGCTGTCTCTAAGAGCCCGGAGCTGGCACTAGGAGGCTGGGCCCAGGCTGGTGAAACCTCAAGGCGACCCAGTGGCTGCTGGACCCTCTCCTTCCCCACAAGTGTGGTTTACCACACAGGGGCCCCTTGGCAAGCACGAGAGGAAAATTCATGATTCACATAAGGATGGGGAGGAGGCCAATGGATGTTTGGGACCTTCCTCTTTGCAGCTGAGCCAGGGTGATGAAGGCGGGAGGGGTCCTGAGTTATCTCAGGGCATGGCTATAGCTTGTATAAACTGCAAGGCCCAGGTGTCTCCTCTGCATAAGGCCCAGTTGTCTGAGGCCCCTTCCAAGTTCCCAGCTGCAGGATCCTTAGTGGGCTGGGTCCTTGGTCACACCTCTGTGCTAGGGTGGGAAGTCACAGCAAGGCCTCTTTTGAGGCACCACAGACCCCTAAGAGGGTCCTGGCACTGCTGTGTCCCACCAGTGCCCCAGGACTGGGAGGCAGCCCCTCATTCTGTGCCCCCTCATTCTGTGACCCACCCTCTCTTCCAGGTCTCTATCCTCCAGTCTACAGCACACCAGACTCAGCCATCTCCCTGGGTCAGGGTGGGGACCAGCAGCCAGGATCCCTGAACAAGAAAGGCTGGGAAGGCCAGCAGGTATGTCCCCAACAATAGCAAGGGAAAGACAAGTGTCACTTGGCACTCACCTTGGGTCCCATTTCTCCCGGTGGGCCAACTGGTCCCTGGGGTCCCTGGGGTCCCTGGAGACAGACAGACAGACACACAGACAGTTCAGAGGAGCCAAGGTTTAATAATGTAGTCTGGAGCAGTTGAGAGTGGGGAGGACCACAGATCCTGGGATGGTGTGACTACCCCCAGTTGTCTGTAGCTCCCCCTCACCCAGGCTCCTGTGGACCCAAACCACTCTACTATGCATCAACCCAAAAGCCAGCAGGGCCCCCATGCAGAAAGCTTAACCTGAGTCCTCTTTTTGTACCTTCTGCCTGGATTGCCCTCCCCCTCAGAGTCACCCTGGCTGATAGGTGTTCAAAGGACCACTCCCACAGCCTCCCCAGGGCTCCCTGCACCTGATACCTGGGTTCCCCAGACCCATCTTTCCATAGTATCTGCCAAAGAGCAAACTGATCAGCCCTTGGGATAGAGCAGACTCTGTGGCCATGGCCTACTCCCTTCTCCCCACCCCCTGCCCAGGACTGCTCTCTCCTTGGTTCTCAGGAAGCTCCCAATTTATTCCTGTCTATGCAAGAAAACAGGCTGAAGAGTAAGCCAGCTGAGACTCACCTTGGAGCTCCTGACCAGTGCTCTCTCCACCACCAAGGCCTGGCCCATTGGTGACAGAGCCCAGCATGTCCCTTTCCATTCCCTCTACTTGTCTGACCACCTGGCCCACACCTGGAGTGGAGGTCCAGCTGAGACCAGCCTGCCAGGGGCAGAGATGCTACAGCAGCAGGAAATGACTCTTACCGGTTCTCCTGGGAGGCCCTTGGCACCTGGAGGGCCTGAGGGACCTGGGATGCCCTGCAAGAAACAGGTGACTTTAGTCCCTCATGGCCTTCTCCAACTTGAACTGTCCCCCGGGTCTCAGGCAAATCATTGTGGTGTATTAGGATTCCCCCGACCATGTGACAGATGGGGATGCTGAGAGCAGGGCAGAAGATGTACTGAGGGGCTTGGGTGAACAGGAAGGCACCTAGCACCATGGGGTTTCATGGCAGATTAAGAACAGAAACTATGGCTTCTCTACCCAATCCTGCCTGCAAAGCCCTGAGTTGTGGATTTCAGGACCTGGCAGTACTTACGAGGAAGCCTCGTGGACCCAAGTGGCCTTGCTCCCCGGCAGAGCCCTGGAAACACATAGGGGGTCATTAGAGGTACACGTTACAATGTAGGGAGAGGGTGGGGGCCTAGTGGCCAGCTAGTGTGGCCGTGACCTGACATACCTGTTGTCCGGGCTGGCCCGGTCTGCCCCGAGGTCCTGCAGGGCCCTGTGTGGAGTATGAAGGTGGGAGGGTGCTCTGAAGGACCCTTCATAGAGAATGAACCCACCCAGTGGCAAAGGACCCTCTGAGACCAGGTGTCCTCCCTGTCCCCACTCTGCAGGTGAGAAAGCTCAGGTTCAGAAAGAGAGCAGATGCCCACAGTCACCAGTCACCAGGTGCCCTGAGTCAAGAACAAAGGACAGGACTCCTTCCCACTGATGCAGAGGCATCCTTGGCTATGATGACCCTTGTGGGCTTCTATCCTGGCGGTCAGAGGGCACATGTGATCCCCCACATCGCACTGCCCCTTCCTGGCTTTCTCTTGTCCTGGGCTTACAGCAGGCAGGAGGGTGACAGCATGAGTTATTGGGGATGCACCCTGAAGCCTCTCTAGGGCTCACTGTCCTGAGGGACCTGGAGCTGGAAAGGGCCCTGGCCCTGTGGGGAAAGATAAGGAAAGGCAGAGTCTGGGGTCTGTACCTTTAGGCCCTTGGACCCCTGCTCTCCAGCCGGTCCATCTGGTCCTCGGGGGCCCTGGAATAGGAAGAAGGTCTAGCACAGTGGACAGCAGGGGTCTCTCTTGGGCTGAGAACCAGGAAGGCAGGGTTGCCCAAAGCTTTGGGCTTTCACAAGCCTAGGTTCCCACCTCTTCCCCTTCCCAGCACACAGAAGCCTAACACAGGTCCCCTTGTGCAGAGCCTTCCTGAGATAGCTCCACAAAGGCCATAGCACAGGGGACTCAGCCAGAGACTCTGCCCTTCAAGAATGGAGCTAGTACATGAATCAACCGGTCTAAAGAGACCTCGGGGAAGGGGGTCACTCAGTCCACCCATTTCACAGAGGAGACTGATGAGCAGAGCTGAGAAACACCCAGTCATGTCCCCACAGTTGGGTCTGCACACTGTGCTGTGCCTGCTCCTCCCAGAGTGCACGTGTGGAAGACACAGGCACATGGACCACAGCTCACGGGAGACACTGACAGATGGACCTGGGGAGAGTCTGCATGTGAGATCTGCAGAGCAGTCTGCTCTCCAGTCAGGTGTGCTGGCTAACCTGGCCCAGATCACGGAGGAAGGACTGACATTGAGGAGGGGCAGGAAAATGGCAGGGTGTGCACAAGTCATGCAACTGCACACTGTGCTGGAGCTCTGGGTTTGGGTAGGATCCGTGAGACAGGAGACTCTGTCCCTGGAGAGCCAGAAGGTCCTAGGGGCAGCTGGAGCCCACCTCCTCCCCTCAGTGCCCATATGGGAACACTGAGGCCCAGCCAAAGGAAGTGACTTGTGCAAGGTCCCTAGCATGTCTGCAGTCAGCATACACCCTGGGACAGACAGGACAGGGTCTCCTGCAGATGCTCCTGGAAAACAGCATGGTGCCTGTTTGGCAGGGGTGGGTAGAGACCTATGCTGGGGGACGAAGAGCATTCTGGGACTAGCCTGTGATATCCCTCAGACCAAAGAAGCTGGGAATGTCTGGGGGTTAGGGGAGGAAGAGGCTAATGAATGAGAAACTAAAGGAGAAAAAAAATCATTTAAAAATCAAATGAGGACATTCTCAATTAACAATAGAGCCATAAAAAGTGGCAATTCCACTTGTCAGCTCTCGTCCAAGCTGCCTAAGGCAGAAGCTCAAGCTCAGGCCGTGTGGACACTGTCAGACCGGACACATGGACACGGTCCCAGGGCAGATGAGCCAGACTGACATGGGGCGGGCCAATAGGCACCAAGAAATACTCTGAGGCTGTCACAGAGACTCATGCCTCCCCAGAAATGGAGTGAAGTGGAGGCTCAGAGGTGACTCAAGCAGCACCCTGCTCACCCCAGGGATCAAAGCCTTCCTGGGAGAAAGATGTGACATTGTTGTGTCACAGCAATGGCAGCAATGACAGAGGACGCTATCATCCTGGTTTTACAAATAAGAAGACGGGCTCAGATGGAAGTGAACTTGAGTGTGGCTATGTGGCTGGCTAGTAAGGGGAGAGCCAGAATTTGAAGCTGAGTCAGCCGATGCCCATGTATTTCAGCACTGTGACTTGTCTGATTATCGGTGGGTGGTCAAGTGAAGTCCCCGCCACAGGGGGTATGCAAGCAGAGCCTAGAGGAACCTACTGGGAAAGCTGCATGCAGGACAGAGGTTAGAGAAGACAAGGTCTCAAACTTGTCTTTTCTGGGTGATGCCCTGTCCTTGGTGAGGTCAGGAAGAAGCTGTGGCCTGGCCACATTTTCCTGTCTGGAAGGAGGACAAGGCAATTGGCCACCAGTAGCCCTGTGTCCCTAGCCTGCTCTGCCAACAGCAGCCCTCATGAGAAAGGGTTACGGGAAGGAGAGAGAAAAACAGGGACTCTGTCCACTGCCTAGGAGGTGCCCAGCAGGCTGGAGGCTCTAGTGAAGTCATTGAATCCTCACAGCCATCAAGCTGGTTCATTTGTTGCTGGTCCATTTTACAAAGAGAGAACCAGAGGCTGGAGAGGGGAAGTCAATTGCCTGATCTCCAAGAGGAAGAGACTGGAGGCAAGTCTCCCGAGCTCTATCCAGCTCACAGAGTGGGGCTTAGCCTTGGCATGCAACTCTCAGAGTTCCTGCAGCCCGTGGGAAGAAAGAATTAAAGCTTCATGTCTGGGAGATGGAAAATGCCTCAGAGAAGTCAAGAGACCAGCCTGAGGCCCCACAGCTGAGAACAAGGGAGGCTGAGACTTGCCCCTCCACTTGTCTGACCCAGAGCCCTTGTTCTTTCAATGGCAGACCAGAACTGACTCAGCAGCCCTCCCAAGGCAAAGCTTTCCCCTGGCCTCAATCCCTTAGGATGCATTCTTCCCAAGGTGGAAGCTGGGCTGGGCAGTAGGGCCCACCAGAAAGCTGCAGGGCTTTGCAGACCTCACAAGTCCATTCCTATGGCACCTATAGGTAAACTGAGGCTCAGAGAGCAGCTAGACCTTGCTGAGGTCACAAGGCCAGCCGCGAGCTGAGCAGACTTACCCATAACTGAGTTCTTTCACAGCCCAGTGGGTGCTAATCTAGGTTTCCATCATCAGTGACCCCATCTGGGATGTGGCTGAGGAGGGCTGTTAGTGGGAGTCTGGGGCCCACCCTATAGGTTTTGTATTCCTGCCAAACCTGGCTGGGAGAGGGGCTTGGGTCCCCACATTCCTCTCCCAGTTCTGGATACTTTGATGTGGGTGGGTTTCCCCAAGTGGAGGAGACATTCTTCAAGTCACTGCTGGAAGAGGTGGTGGGGACAGCGGGGTGAGAGGGGTGGGGCTAAGCCTCGTTCTGGGGCAAGGCTAGGGCCAACTTGGCCCACCCTCCAGTTAATCCAGCTCCCGGGACAGAGGGAACCCACGGCTCTTGGGACTTGTCCCACTTGAAGAGACCCAGAGGACACAGGCCCTGGGAGGGGCCCTGGTGGCCAGAGAAATGCGTCCTTATCTCCCTCTCTCAGGCAGGCTGCTCAGGCCATCTGGTTCAAGAGAAATTTTAAATCTAGTTGACATCCAGCCAAGTGGAGAATAATATCAGATTCCCCGATGAAGCTTGGATATCAGGACTGAGCTGCCTGTACATCTCGTTTCCTCTTTACAATGAGGCCGTATGCCCTGGCATACACGCACCAGTTGACAGAAGACCATTCCCTTCACCCTCCCTGCATAATTAAAAAGGAGGCTAAATTCACTATGTAATAGAGCCAAATTCCCTCGGTTCAAATCTCAGCTCTGCCACTTTCTAGCTGTGCAACCTCAGGCAAAACTTAACTTCTCTGTGCCTCTATTTTCTCATCTGAAAAATAAGAACAGCACTTCCCTGGGCTGGAGGTGTGGTTCAAGCAGTAGAATACCTGCTTTGCAAGCACAGAGTCCTGAGTTCAAACCCCAGTCCCATCAAAAAAAAAAAAACCCTCCCTGGCAGGGTAATGCTAAAGACTAAGTGAGTTAATGCATACCTCAGGGTACTGTGCACAGACCAGGTCTTGTCTTAAACCCTCCGTAGCTCCCCCACTACCCTTAGAGTATAGCTGTAGTTGTTGAAGCCCTGCCTGGCATGATGCCTGCTAAGTCTTGGCCCCACTCCTCTGCCCATCCCTCTGTTGACCGGGAATCCCTAAGCCTACCACACTTTCTCTACCCTAGGTCTTCCCCGCTGCCGGTCCCTCTGAGCTCCCACCATCTCTGAGCTGATGATTGTGCCCCATCCCCTGCATCTGCTAATCCATGCGTTTGACCTGTTGACTGGTCCCGAGGCCAGGTGGGGAAATGAGTGTCATGCTCGCCCAGGTATCTACAGAGCCTCCAATGGGGGCTGGGACACAGCAGATGCTAAGTACATGGTGGCTGGATGAATGAGTGGATGTATGACTGAGCAAAGCCCAGGATCAGAGCGTCCCAGGGGCTGGGACACAGCAGATGCTAAGTACATGGTGGCTGGATGAATGAGTGGATGTATGACTGAGCAAAGCCCAGGATCAGAGCGTCCACCTGTGGCCACTGGACAGCAAGGCCTGAGGCTCAAACATGAGCTGGAAGGAGGCACCAGGCCCAAAGCAAGCCTGGAGCCTTGGCTGCGCTGTGAGAGCCATGAGTCTCAGAGCTGGGCGGGGGACAGGACTAGGAGGTGATCCCTGGCAGATGTGGTTCCAAGTTGACACTGAGGAATGAGGCTGACTTACCCGGCGGCCTTTAGTCCCCCTGGTGCCTGGTGGCCCTCGAGATCCTGGAGGACCCTGTGGGAGGAAAATGAATGTGGAGGAGCCCTTTTTAGGGGGTAAGAACAACACAGGGTAGGAGTGTGGGGGGCCAAGCTTGGAAGCCAAAGCCTCAGGTGAGTGCTGCTCAGGGATGCCCCCACCCCCTGCCCCCTGGCCCAGCAGCCTCATGCTGGTCCATTGGAAAAAGCAGCCAACAAGCCGAGACCTTGGGCATGGCCAGTGCCCTGTGTTAAAGGCCAGGCTTTCCCAGGGATCCTGGTGGTGGGCATATGCCTGTCTGAGTGAAACACTGCCTTCTTTATCTCAAACTCAACAAAGACTATGTGACATGCCTGACAGTCTCCTCAAATCTCCATGTTCCTCTGTCTCCCCAGCAGGGACCCAAGTTCTGTCCCTCATGCCCACCATGACACCAAATGTTACCATGAAAAGGCAGCAGCAGAGGAGGAAGAAGAGCCTAGAATGCCCCTGTGGAGGGGCTGGGAAGACAGAAGTAGGGGGCAGGGAAATGGGGGGAGCAAAGAGAAAGGAACTGGACCTGACCTCAGGAAGATGTCTGTTAGCTCCATGTGAAGAGCTGACAAGAAGAGAAGCAAGGGACAAGTGGGAGCGGGTGCAAGAAAAACTGGGCAGATTTGGCTCTCTGACTTCTCAGCACCTGCCAGGCATTGGGTATCTGCCCAGTGCTTGGGGGTCTGATGAGCAATGGGGCCATGGAGAGGGCAGACACCACCAAGCAGCAAAAGGCTTGGCCAGAGCCTGGGACAACTTGGGGCCTCCCAACTAGCAGTGATTCAGGGGTGCTGGCACAGCCACCGTCACCCCACAGACCATCTGCCAGCTGCTACTGGGGCTGACGTGAGGGGCTATGTTCCAGCTGCCCCCTTGTCAGCGGAGGTAGCAGGTGTAGGCTCTGGCTTGGCCCAGTAAAAAGGCAGATCTGGCAGTGGCTGGTGCAGAACACAAAGACTGGGTGAGATGGGCCACTTTATAGAGAGAGTCAAGCATTGTGCCACCAGGAAGTCCCTAGAGCCTGGTCTCCACACAAAGGGCTGAACTGTGTGCTCAGAAGCCCAGGCTCAACACCAGAGAGCCAGGGTCCAAACTCTGCCTCTGCCATTTACTGACTGTCATCTCAGGCAAGTGCTTAGACACTGGGCCTGTGTTGTCATCTGTAACATGAGAGTGAGAAGAGTCCCAGCTTGGGTCACTGGGTGACCCTGGCATGTCCCAGGCCCTTCCCACCTGACCCCCCCACCAATAATGGGGATAACAATCTTAACTGACTTCAGTGGGCTGCAGCAGAGCGAAGATCTAAGAGTAACTGGAAATGTGGGCACGCTATCAGCAGAAATGTTGCTTCAATGGCAATTGTTCGACAAACCCCATTTGCAACGATCGCTTCTAACAGAGTTACTGCCATGTAGTTAGCACTTAGGAAAGCAGGGTCCACTGAGCACTGTCATGCAGTCCCCCATCCATTCTCCGTCTCCTAGCAACAGTAGTCGATGCTGACCTACAGATGAGGAAGCTGAGGCTCAGGGAGCCAACAAGCCGACGTGAGGAAATGGGGGCTAGGGTTTGACCTCCATGCGTCTGATTCTAAAGTAGGTTTTCTGTGCATTCAGGCTGCAGTGCTTGCCCACCAGGTGAGGACCAAGACACTGTGGCAATACAGAGTCAAAGGCACATTGGGGCCTGAAAGCAGCAAGCAATGGCCTGACTGAGCCAACCTACTAAACAAACAAGATCCAGAGAAAAGGGATAGGTGGAGACTTGAGTGGACCTAAGAGATACTCAGAAGAGGCCTGGATGTCCCCACTGCTTTCCTGCCCCTACCCTGGCCTTTCATTTTGTCCCAGGAATTCCTTCCCTCCTCATGCTGGACAAATAGGGAGAAAGAGCCCCAGGGACACAGAAGGTAGAACTGAGCATCCCTGTGCTCTGGTTGTCACTCCATCTCTGACACAGGGGAGGGAAACTAGAGGCCTCTGGACTGGGGATACTGGACCCTGAGAGCCAGGTGCCTTGGCCACCAGACCAGCCTCACCCAGCAGCATGCTGGTCCTCTGATTTCCTGCTTCTTTCCCCCACAGTCCCACTTCTGTGTCCCCAGCTCACCTAGCCCCAGGTCAGATGTGGCTTTTCCTTTTCCTCATGAGCAGGACATAAAAGCATGTCACTGGGAGCCCGGAGTCCTCCAGATGTGCAGGGAGAACTTTTCACCTCAACTAGAGGACTGCAGGGCTGGCAAATCCGCCTGCCACCTGGCACCTTCTGCCTTGGACGATCGTTATTTCTGTCCAGCTTTCTCACCCTTGGACAAGTCCTTTCGTATCCCTCCTCAGTGCCTAGCATTGCCTGGTACACAGTAGGTGCTTAATAAGAGTCTGTAATGACTAAGAATGTGTTTACTGGCACTCCCACAGGACAGTGAAAATCTCCACCCACTTCTGCACCTCCAAGACTAAGCATATGCCCGGCACACAGCTGGGGAACGGAGTTGGCCTTGCTTTCCCAATGACACAGAGAACTGCTGTGTGCACAGTTCCCCTGGTTCAGAGCATCAGAGGCTGGGGCTCCTCCTTGTCTGGCCCCAGGGACCTCCTTGGTCTGGACTCTGCAGAAACCTGGCAACCAGAGCCCATAGTTCCCAGCTCTGTGAATGCAATGTGGCCTGGGCTGGTCCATCCCACACCCCCGTCCACATGCCTGAGCTCCACCCTGCGCAGCTTCCAGACCTGAGTCCTGGCCTTGGCTGAGGTGTCTCCTTCCCAAGGTTCCACACCCATGAGCAAAAGCAGAGGTACCCCAAGCAAGCGCTACCTCCCCAATCTCCTTTGGGGGAATTGGGATGCTCCTGGTCACACCCCACCCACAGCCTTCCCTGCCTCTCCCAGTGGGATCCTCAGGACTATCCCTGTGTCCTGTCATTACAGGAAACCTGGGGCTCTCTACAGCAGGCATCCCTTGTTTATTGGATTCTCTCTGCCCTAACCCCTCTAAAGGGCAGGGCTGCTTTCTGCCCTGCTGACAATGCTCCAGCATCTGGACCTGCACAGTACATCCCGAGTGACAGGACACAGTCAAGATGTCACTCTGCAATAAACATTGGTCCACAATTTCATCTCACCCATCAATTAACATTATCATGACCACAGTTATCTTCTGTTTCAGATGAGCAAAACATGGGCTCGGAGAAGTTTCAGGATCGACCCCAGGAACACAGCCAGGAACCATGGGGTTGGGTTTCCACCTAGGTTTGTGTGGTTCTGAACTCCACACCCTCACTTGACCATGGGTTTTGTGCTCAGGGACCACGAGGGCTTTGCTTACCGGGGGCCCAGGCTCTCCAGGGGTCCCGACACCACCTGGCATCCCAAGATGACCCTGCCAAGAAAGGGAAAGGACAAGGTCAGCTGAGGAAGAAGCCTCTTCCTCCTCCAGCCCCACATCAGCTGCTCAGCCCCAGCTCAGTCTTGAAGGCAAAGCCAAGCCTCCCTGAGATCTCCAGAGGACGTCTGGTTCTCTGGTCATGCCGGCTGCCTGGGGCATGTGGCAGGTGGAAGAAGCAGGACTGTCACCTGAGGCTGTGATGGGAAGGGGCAAGAGGATGCAGACTTACTCCTTACCATCAACCCCTTGGGTCCAGGTGCACCTGGGGGCCCCATTATGCCACGGTCACCCTGGAATGGAGACAGCAATGCAGACGGGTTATGACTGGACTGTGTGGCTCTGTGGGGGCAGGGACAGAGGCCTTTCCAGGGGGCAGGGACTTGTCCAAGGTCTACAGACCATGGCCACATCATCCAGGTCGGGGTGTGGGATTTCATTTGCTGGAAAGCAAGACCTCAGGCAAGCCCTGGGAGGCCTCAGTGTCCCCTGCAGTGCCACACAGTCGGTTTCCCTTAGGGCAGGGTTCTGGTTAAGAATGCACTAATCATGTTACTCCTTTGATCCTGGCACACATTACATGGTCCTCATTAGGCCTGGCATTCCCTGGGCCGGTCTTGCTAAGGCCATCAGGCCCATTCCTTCACACTCCTCTCCCCCCAGGCCCAACCCAGATGGGATGCTGGAGGATTAGATGTTAGTCTTTCCCTCTGGACCACTCGGATTGGGCTGAGAGAGCAAGGAAGGCTGACAGAGCTATGGCCAGAAGGAAGGCAGGGGCTCTGAGTTTCCATCCTGCCTCTGTTTTCTTCAAGTTTCATTATTCTATCCATTCAGGCAGCAAAAATTGATTGAGTACCTACTGTGTGCCTGACACTATGTGCCAGGCCCTGAATCTTCAATAAAGAGCAGAAACAGAGAGATCCACTCCTATGAGGCAAGACAGTTGGTATGGCAGGAAGATGACAGAGACTTCAGAAGAGAAGTGACCTAGAGCAGGGAGGCAGGAGTCACAGTGCCAAACACTGTCACAGGGGACACCTGTGGGCAGGACAGTGAGGAAGGCTCCTCTCAGGAAGAATCACTTGCACTAAAAGCTGAAGAAGCATTAGGAAGGAGCCAGGCAAAAAGGTAGGGCAGGCAGGAGGGGGAAAGGAAAGGGACACAGGACAACTGAGCAACAAAAGAAGGGCAGAGAAGCCAGGTGCTATGGCTCACGTCTATAATCCCAGCTACTCAGGAGGATTGAGGTTCGAGACCAGGCCAGGCAAAATGTTAGTAAGACCCCATCTCAACCAACAGCTGGGTGTAGTGATACACTCCTGTCATCCCAGCTATTCAGGAAACCTAAATAGGAAGATTGCAGTCCAGAATAAATGCCAGACTCTGCAGCAAAAATAACTAAAGCAAAAAGGGCTGGGGGTATGGCTGACGTGATAGCATGAGGCACCAAGAGCAGAGTTGGCTTTGATATGGCACGGTGCTCATGTAAGCTGGTGGTGGCACTGGGGAAGTTACAGTGAAGGGCACATGGGACCCTCTGTACTACTTTTTTGTATCTTTTTGTGACTCTGTAATTATTTCAAAATACAGAGTTAAATTTGAAGGAAGAGGAAGAAGAAGGTAGAAATCAGAGTCTGGAACCAAGTGAAGAATGAGGTACTTTGTGAGCCTAGAAAGTTAGGTGGGGCAGACAAAGCTGGACCTCAGTTTCTCTAGCTGTTCACTGGGAATAATATTGGCCCTTCCAGAGGGCCTGCCCTGGGGACCAGACAAGCTCAGACAAAGGAAGGGAGGTGCCTTCCACAGCCCTTGGTGGCACATGGGGAGCCACAGGCTGCTTTTGAGCTGGACGCCAACCTGACACCAAGTGGCTCGGTGGGCAAAGGGTGCCTTTGGTAACGAACCTGGCTCAATCCCAGCTCTGCCACCTACTGTCTGGGTGACCCTGAGCTACCTCTGTGCTGTAGCCCTATTGACTGTCTGCAAGACAGAGCTGCTGGGGATACTGAGGCACCTACGGCAATGTCCACCTCGCCTCTTTTTAGAAGATGGGTCTTTCACTCCCTTCTGTTGCCCACATGTGACATGCCAGTGGACAGCTGTGAAGGGCCCGAGTCACAGGCCCTGCTAGTTGTCACACAAAAGTCTAACGATGCTGTGGTTAATGACAGGAGGGCAGGGGAGGAGCCCCTGCGGATGCCAGGACCGAGGACACAGGCTCTTAGAAGACAATGGTCTAAAATCCCCACATCCACCAACTCTTTGCCTTTTCAAATGTCAAAACACAAGCCCTACTTGTTTATCTTTTTTCCCCAACACACCTTACCTTTTCTCCCACGATTCCTGGCTCCCCGACCAGACCAACAAATCCCAGGAGCCCCTAGAGGACACATTTGGGACAAGAGGAAACAATATGAATTTGGGAACATGCTGAATTTTCAAGGCGACTGGTCTGTGGTCCCCCTCCTTGGGCTCAGTCTCCAGGCCTCCTGTCCTGTGCCTGGTGATCCAGCTGGCCCAAGCTGCCACCGAGGACCACGCTGCCTGTCTCTGGGCATTGTCCTGACATCCTTCACTCCACCAGATGGTTCTGATTTGGGAGCCGAGTGGTGGGGCCGCTGCCAGCATCCCTGGGAGTTGCACATTCTTCCCGAGCCAGAAGCAGGCTGGGAGGTGGCCACGTTTGGAGGCTGGGGGTGGGGGGAGGGCTTAAGTGTGCTGGGAAGAAAGAGGCCATCTGTCTCCATCTTTTGGGGCTCTGGGGCTGTTTCAAAGAGAGACACAAACCCACTGGCTGGGACAGAAATACCATAGCACCCTCCGCCAAAAGACCTGATTGGAATTTGGGAAGTGGAGGCCTCTTTACTGTCCACTGAAAGGCTTCCTCCCTGCTGGATGAAAGGACACACTTGCGCTTGTACTTGCACGCACACACAAACACACAGTGGCTCCTCTGGGTGACGACGTGCCTCTGTGTTCCAGAACGCTCTTCCAGGTGGCCCTGGGCCTTGCTGTCACCCTGAGCAGGTAAGCGCACATGTGGATAGGAAAGGTGAATAGCCTAGCAACCTCCCCTGCCCCCTGCCCCCCTGCCCCAGGAAGGCAGATCAAGTTCATGTTCCAGCCCACCCCTCTCGCTGCTAAGGAAACCAGCTCTTATGAGGATCAGGAGCGTGAAAGTAGCTTTGGAAGAACCCAGATGTGCACTGAGAGTTTCCAGGAGAATTCGGAAACCCTGGAATGGGTGGATTTGTCCCATTAGATCTGTTCCCTGTCCCCCAAAGACTGGCCAGAGTGGGGCGAGACCCAGTGCTGGTAACAAATCAGAGGTCGTGTGCTCAGGCAGGAAAGCCAGGTGACTGCCAGTGAGCTAGGGTGACAGGGCATGCCCAGTTCCAAAGGGTGAACTTGGAGGCCCACACTTCCTTCTCCAAAGATGTTTTAGCTTGGCCTTCAGCAGGGCTGTGTAAGTCTTACTGCTGTTGCCTGGGGTCTCAGCCCTGGTCAGTGTGGCTCCAAATACATGCACCGTTCTCCCCACCCCAGGGCCCTCAGAGCGTGTGAACGTGAGGAGGACCTGGGTCTTCCATACATGCCAACACCAGTCACCACACGTGCAAAGGGGGTTCCTGGTCTGCCCCAGGTTCCCAGAGACCCTTCAGAGTGACGTACAAATGAGAGGGATGAGGTCATGGTAAGATGACACAGGGTAAGATGTCACAGACAACAACCAAGTATATACATGACTTGTGCCACCGCTTGTGCCTACTGTGCACCGAGATTTGGCATTTCATCTATGTCACTGTCATGAATCTTCATGTTGAGGACCCTGGGCAAATCAGAGTCTCTGTACCTCCTCTGTGAAGTAGGGGACAATAAAGGTTCTTCCCAACCTCCTGGGGCTGCTGATTATCCCAGATAATACATGCACTCAATAAATGTTAGTTCACTCCCACTCCATCCTGATTTCTTTTAAAAGGACACAGAGTGAAGACTGTGGCCTAAGTTACCAACAAAGGCACAGCCAGACATGTAGAAGATGCCGAATGGATGGAATAAAACCTGCTTTGTTAGGCGCCCAGCTGGCCCAGAGAAAGAAAAATTTCATAACTACTTTAAATTTATGAGTTATCGGGTCCTGGAAAGCAGGTGGTCATAAACCTCACACAAGAAGCCACACAGGATCCCCATGAATAAGAGCCACAGAGCAAGTGCCTGGTTCTGCAACTTCACCCCAAGTCCCCCCGGCTCCAGGTCCCAGGACATCCTGGCAGGATGTCATCCTGGATAGATCTGAAACTGGCCCAGGGAAGCAGCCTCAGAGGCCCAGGGCTTCCACCTGGCAGGTCGGGTGGAGAAGCAGCTCTGAAAGCCTGGCATAGCTCAGGGCAGGTGCTGGCATGCTTGATGTCCCTGGACAGAGCTCCTTGAAGGCAAGGCTCATGCCTTGTCCCCAGCACCGAGGACAGGGCCTGCAAATAGTGCTTGCTCACTGGTAAATATGCAAGGATTCAGGAGGTCAGTCTTCCAGCCCCTCTGGGCAGCACTGGGGAATCCAGTGGCCCTAAGCATCTGTCTGAGCTCTGACTTCCCATGAGATCTCAGGCAAGCTATTTCTCAGAGCCTCAGTTTCCGCATTCACAAAATGAGATAGTAACTCCTCCTGCCCTAGGACTGTTGGGGTACCTGCAGCATTAGTGCAGTGTCTCACACACAGTCCAGTGCTAACAGTAACTAGTAAATGTAGCTGTTAGTGTGATTGTAAGGAGGGCCTGAGCTCCAGGACTCTTGCCTCACATCTTCTCATTCTGCCACAAACAGGAAACACCTGCCTCCTTACAATGGCCATACAGGGAGTGGGCCATGGTACCCCAGCAAGCCTCACAGCAAGAGGGGTTCAGCTCTGCCTCCCAGCTTAGACAGCTCTCTCTCCTTCCATAGTCTGAGATGCGGGCTCTGCTGCCCAAGTAAGCCACAGCCATCCCAGCCAGATGCCCACCCCTCCTGGTCCCAGCTCTGCCGCTGTCTGTCAGAGTCATCTTAGTTGAACCTGTTTCTCTTCCACGAACTTTGGCTTTCCAATGTGAACCAAATCCAGGGGTTCTTAACCTGGGGTCTCTGGAAGGTTCTATGCATGGAGTTCAGAGGGTCCATGAACTTGCAATTTTTACAACTTTCATTTTCATAATCTCTAATCAAAATTTAGCATTTCCTTTAAATATGAGTATAGGCAACAAGCTCCAGTAGTATCTCTGGTACCTGTGACTGTCATTATCACATGTCACCTGAGAGTCTTTGCTGCAAAAATATCGAAAAGCATCACTAGGGCCTGTCAGCACTTCAAAATTGAGGTCATTGTTGAAGCCACTGCTAGATCTCATTATTACGCATTAATCAAGAAGCACAGATATGAGCATATCACATCTGAGCAGATTTTCCTAACTACATTTCAATATAATTGGTTCCCTTCGAATCCTTTGTTCTTTATTTTATGCATTTAGAAACTACTCCGAGAAGGGGGTCTGTGGCTTCATCCACCTGGCAAAGGAATCCAAGCCACAAAAAAAAAAAAAAAAAAGATTGGGGCCCTGGATAAAGTGATTTCCAAGGACCCCTCGTGTCCTCACATTCTAGGATTCCGGGTATCTAGTTCCCCGAGGGCCCTACCATTAACATAACTATGAGCTCGAGTTTGCTGATCATATTGCCTTTTCTTTTCCAATCAGGAAATGTATCCAGGCTGCGGCAGCCTTTCCAAACTCCTGGGCTTCCCACAGAATGTGCTCGAATGACACTGGAAAGATTTCAAAAATCCAGGCCTCCCCCAGCTTTAATTCCTTTCTTCCTCAACAGATGTTGCAGGCCTGGTGAAGAAGCCGTGATACGCAACTCTCACGCCATTGATGGTGCATCTCAGACACCCCCAGCATCCCTCTTCCTTCCCGCTTGACGAAGCCCCTTCTGGGGCTCTTATTTAAAGATGCAGAGGAGACCACCTTTCACCTCAGGGGCCAGTAGAGGCCTCAGAGGACGCGCCAGGGCTGGGCAAGACGGACCACAGCTGCTGTCCATGGAGCTCTCCACGCTGCTTCTCTGGGCTTCCATAATTGAAGGTGGAGATCCTCAGACCTTTTAATGACCAGTTGCAACTGTCTCCCTTCTGTAAACCTTGGCCTTGCTTCCCAGCTAGCCAGAACCACTGATGTGACTTTTATCTGCTTTATAATTTAGGGATGCCGGACCCACAAACCCTGGCAAATGGCTCAGCTTTTCTGGATAAGAGGAGCATCGTAGTGATTGCTAAGGATCCCTCTGGTTTAGCTCCAGTTCTGGGGGTGAAGTCATGTGACACTTCAGACAAATGCACCAAAAACATGTGCACAGAATCAGGCCACAGGGAGAGACATCATTCAGTTCTCCGCTCTCTGAGTGTCACCATCCACATCGGTGAAAGGGAGAGGTGGGAACCTGGTGCTGGTGCCAGCTGAGGATTATATGGGATCCTACACAGGGCTGCTTAGCGAGGGGCTTCACACAGGTACATGCTCCATAAATAAAACACTGTGTTCAGAGACTAACTTACCTGCTCGCCCACGGGCCCCGGCCGTCCAGGATCACCTGACTCCCCCTGCAAGAAACAAAGAGGAGGATGCGTCGGACTGGCGGATGACAGTCCAGGCCTCCTGGGGACTCTCCAGGCCCACTGGCCTTAGTTGTCACTGGTGGCAACAAATCAGGAGCTTCATCTATAGACTGCAGCTGTGGAGAACCCTCAGGGTTATGGTTTGGTGGGGACAAAAGGGCACTGAGACGGACAGAACCCTGTGCCTGACATGACTCTAGTCATCCACTGGCCAACTACTCAGCACCCTGATGTGTATGTCTCACTTGTGTCCCTCAGTACCCCACTGCACTTTGCACAGATGGAAACTGAGGCCCAGAGAGGTGGAATGACTGGTTGAGGTCACACAGCAAGCTAGAGGGAGGGATAAAATGGGGACCTTATTCTGCATGATTAAGATGCCTACCACATCAGGCTGCCCACTGCAGGCAGAGCAGGAGCCAGAGGTTAGAGCATGGTGGTCCTGGACCTCAAGACTACCAGAGCTCTAACAACAGGTCATGGGTAAACTTGGAGAGCCTTGTCTCTGCTGGGCTCAGCCTCCGTACCTACAGTCAGGGAAACCAGACTCATTTGTCTCCTAAGCTCTTTCCAGCTTGGTGGCCCATCACAGCCTTGCCTGGCAGCTTCTGCCCACGCTAGGGTGGGTCCTGCTCTGTAGGTGACCACAGCTGCCCTGGTCAGAAGTGAGCAGACCCATGGGACAAATCCGCTGAGATAATGTCACAGTCTCCCACCACAGAAACCCAACTGGTATCTGAGAACCAGCAGCAAAACCTCAGAGGGAGGCAGGACATGGGCTCAGGGTGGCCAGGAGTCTGGCTCAGAAATGTGTGTGGCTCACTGCATCCTGGGGAGAGGCTCATCCTTGTCCTGGACCTCATGTTCACAAAAACCAGAAAGATATGTGGACCAGTCACTCACCAGGAAGGAGGAAGTTGAGGACAGCTGGGGCTTCCCCTAGCTTTTCCCTACCCTCCTTGGGTTTCCCTATCTGTAAATCTGGTCCAAGAGTCTCTTTCCAGAATGGCTAAGAGCTTCCAACCTCCCCACCACACACACATACATACACACATTCTCCCCTTTCCAAGGGGTGTTCTTTGGCACTCACTAAGTGAATTGCCCATGAGTTGGGAATCATTACTTTCCCACTCTGGCCCAGTTCTCTTTTTTTTTGATAATTTTTTGAAGTCCTGTTAACAAATGTAATACAAATTTATTGCACACACTAGGAACATACAGAAGCACAGAGGGGAAAATGAAAATCTATCATCCCATCACTCAAAGATGAGCCCTGTTCATATCCCAGCCTCTGCTCCATGCAGGAAGGAGGGGCCACTCAGCCCTGCAACAGACTTGCACTTAGCATCTCATTTATAACCCGCTCTCCCCACCTCTACCCCACCCTAGACATGTTCCCATCCTGTGAAATATTCTACGATTCCATTTTGGGTGGCTGCACTATATCCCATTACTTGAATAATCCCCCTCAGTTGGACATTTAGGTTATGTCCACTTTTTTTCTGTTATCATTTTTTTTCTCCTTTTCACAACTGGCCATGGGATTCAGGGCTTGTCCTGGGATTGTCATATGTTGGACTCATCCCCTCTCCTTTCATCCACAGACATCCCTAGGTGACCTCACCTTCAAGCCATCTGGACCAGGCCTCCCAGGAAATCCCTTCCTGCCAGGCTGACCCTGCAACAGAAAAAGAGGCAAGTGAAAGAGAGATGGGAGCAGTTCTGAGGGGTCCTGTGGAACTCTGGGAACCTAAACAGAGTCTCCAGGGCCTGAGGAGGACCACAATGCCCTGACAGGACAGAAAGGAGAGCCCTGATGCCACCAGGTAGCCAGCTGCCCTGGAACACAGGGCCAGTCTTCAGCTATGTGGCCTCAGGGAGGTCTCCCTGCTCCCTGGGCTGTCTCCTGGCTACAGACACAGACAGTGACAACCGCTTTCAAAAGTGAGAACAGGATGGGGGTGGGCAGAGCATCAGGGCACAGGGCAACAGAGTTTATGTTGGTGGCCCTCAAAGCATGGCCAGGGAATCCTGGGGATCCCCAAGAGCCTTTCAGGAGGGTCAGGAGGTCAAGACTACTTGCACAGTAACACCAAGGGGCATCTGTCTTTGTCACTCCTGTGCTCACAAGGGCATGTGGAGTTTTAGAGGCTGCACATGTGTGGTGTCATTGACAATGAACATAGAAGCACGGCTGAGAGTCCAACTAACTTTGTTTAAGGCAGGCATTTGAGAGACTTGCAAAAACAGTAAAACAGCTTTTCCTTCTCTTGACTGTTTTTACTTTGGAAAATATAGTGACTTTTGGTAAAAATTCCAATGAATTAATAAATGCATTTAAAGTGTGTCACCTTTAATTATTAATATCAGTAGATGGAACCCACACAACCAAAAGCTTTTAAGGTTTTTGTTTTTTAGGAGTGGAAAGAGATCCCAAGACCAAAACACTCATGGCCCCTGGCCTGGGCAACTGAGAATGGAGGTGGGGGGTCAGATGAGTGGCTGCTGGAAAGCTGCTCAGAGCTGTGGAGGGAATGTGCACTTGGACCCTCGACAGGGTGTCCCCATGTCCTGCTCAACCTCCTAGTCTTCCAATCTCAACTGCTCCTCTGATGATGAGCAGGGCTTATCTTCTTAATCAGGAAGAAACAGAGCCTCAGCAGGGAGTCCTGCTCCTCTCCCTCCCTTGGCCTAGCCCAAGGTCCTCGCTGCTGGCTGCTCTGGGGCCCTGGCCTGATGTTGCCCTGCCTGCTCACAATGGGCACAGCTCCAAGCAATCCCACCTCCCCCAGCCAGCAATGAGATACTCACCTCCAAGCCAGGGACCCCTGGAGGCCCCATGGGACCCTCATCTCCCTAGAGTGAGTTGGGAGACACAAGAGAAGAAAAAGGGAGGAAATTAATCTGGTGGATTTCTTGGAGAACTTGGAGTGGCCAGAGGAGCCCCCATGGAGACAGAAAATAGGAGTACCTGGCTACTCCTGACCCCACCTCCAGGCACAGCCCGGAGGTCAGGCCCTGTGAGGTCCTGTGAGGAACAGGGCCTCAGAATGCAGCTCACACATAGGGGCTTGGTTCTGAGCTCTGCCAGACTTTAGCCTTGCTATGCCTCAGTTTCCCCAGAGTGGAGAAGATCCTCCCAAAAGCCAGCACCTGGCTTCAGTTGGGTCCCTGGAGGACAGCAATGAGGCCTCACTCTTTTTCAAAGCTTCTGCCCAGCCTGAGCAAAAGCTGCCAGGCAAGGCTGTTAATGGGCCACCAAGCTTCCGAGGCTCATGAGTGTCCTCCCCACACATCCCTCAGGATGGCACAGCATCTCGGGGATGTTTGGTGATTGAATGAAGGAGCATGCGTCAGTCATAAGCAAGTGGTGGTCTCGGTTTTCCTGGGTAGCTATGTGAGTGCAGACAGAGGCCCGTGGCTGGCGCCATCCCTCCCTCTCCTTTCCTCCCTTCCCACTTCAGGCCCCAGGGCTCGCCAGGCCTCCCACGGGCCCACATAGCCTCCAGCCTGGCCCTTCTGGCAGACCAGGCCTGACCGAGGCTCCCTCCAAAGCTGCCCCCAGCTCTTCTTCCCAGCTTCCAGGAAAGGAGCCCCACGTGGTGGCTCCCAGAGCCAGTGCTGGGACCCTGCCAGACCCAGAACCGGCCCTGAGAAGGGACCGTGTCAGCCAGGCCTGCCTGTGGTCACAGTGATTGAGCCTACTGCTCACTGTCTCAGGCTGGTGCCATGGATCTGGGGGGAGCCTGACTAAGGTTTTGCCATGGGTGCCCACAGGCCCTCAGAGACCTGCTGGATACGCTTCACTGAGTGAGGGTGGCCTGCCATTTACTGACTGCACTAATCATGTCATTCTCACAGACGTAAGTCCAGGACTTACGCCATGGACTCAAGACCCTGCCTACTAACCATAGGACCTGCAGAGCCCCTTTGCCTCCCTAGGGCTCAGTGGCTCCTCTGTACAATTGGGCTGATTCCTGCCCTCACATATAGATGCCCCGATAGATAAGCTGTGTTCCTTTGAGCCTGGCCAGGAACAGGATGTCTGGAAAGAAAAGTCTCAGAGCAAAGATGGAGCAGTACCGGGAGAAACCCACCTGCCAGGCCAGGACAGAGAAGATCCCTAGAAGGGTCACAGGGGTGGGGCTGAAAGGAGGAGCTGGTGGGTGAGTCTGAGGCAGCCCTAGGCTATGTCCTGAGGGGCACTGGCCCCCCAGCTAAGGCCTCTGGTACCCTGGACAGAGCAGGCTGGGGCTGCAGACAGGCCAGGTGGGCAGTATTGGGTGGAAGGGGAAGAGGCCAGTCTCACCTCGGGCCCCAGCTGCCCACGGGGTCCTGGCAGGCCTCGAGCTCCAGGTGCACCCTGGGGAAAAGGAATAAAGGGAACTTAGACACCACCCCTCCTTCTCCATCACAGATGGGTAAGACTCCCACCTTCAAACCAGGCAGCCAGCTTGGGGCCTCTGCAGAGCTGGCTGCTTCTGCTTCTTCTGCCCACTGGGACTGCCCTGGGCAGGGACTCACCTTTGTGCCTTCAGGGCCGTTGTCCCCAGGGGGGCCAATGTCTCCTGGGAATCCCTGAGGGGGAAGCAGAGGGCGGGGGCAGGGTCAGGGCCAGTGAAGACTACAGGAAAAATGCTAGGAGCATGGGTCCTGGAAGAGGCTAAGCCAGGTTTCCTCCCATCCTGCTGCCAGCCTATGACCTGGGCAGGTCAGCAATCTACTTGCTCCCCTCTCCTTGGTCCCCAAATGAGGACAGAGGTACCAGCCTGATATCTAGAGAGTAGCCGGAAAAATAGATGAGGAAAGCGCTGGGGTCATCACACCAGGTCACATACAGCTTCCCAAGTCCCTCAGAGCAAGGGTGATGGAGTTACGGATGTCCTGGGGCAGAACTCCCAAGCTGGCTGTCTTGCCTGAGAAGCCTTGCCACTAACTGCAGTGATCCCACAGGCAAGGGTTCATTTGCCAAGGCTGTAGTGACACTGAGGGAGCTAGAAACCTCTGAAGTCATCAACCGCAGCTCCTCCTATCACAAGTTGACATCCTGGCCAGACATGCGAGACTCCGCCCAGCACCACCAGCTCTGGCCCACCACTCCGTGAGGCCTGTCCCCACAGGTGACTGACCGTACAACAGATGGTGCCAGCTTGGAGTCATCACCTCCTTCCTCCCTCAGCATCCTGTGCTGCAGCTCAGGGCTCCCCATGGTGGGCCTTGCACAGTTTGGACCCAGTTACGGCATCCCAAGGACCTGGCCTACTCTGTCCCTTCCATGGCCACTAGCCAAGGCCCTTCAGCCTGGCTATCTCCAGTTGGCCTTTTCCCTTGTTGGGGAATCACCAGGACACCCATGTTTCTCTGGGTGTGGTTAAAGCAGCATGAGCCTATGCAGGTACATCCCCTTCCTTGTTTTAGGTACAATACTTCTGTTCAATCAGTGTAGAACCCCATTGGCTTTTAGGGTACCCCACTACTTCAGTTTCCTGCCAACTAGAAACCAAAGCCTTGACTCTCTCTGAACAAAATGACTCCTCCCACTCTTTTTACACTGCCTTTTTCCTTTTTTCTTTTCCTTCCTCCTTTACCCTTGTAGTAAATTCTTTAAATTCTGGCTCAAACATCCTCCTCCCTCTTCTCACTGGCAAAGGCATGAATCATCCTGAATTTAAAGCCAAAGCCCCATGTTTTTTTCTTCAAAATCCCATTCTGCCGCCCACTCCGCTGTGTGATCCGGTCAAGTTCCTTAACCTCTCTGGGCTCTGACTTCCTCATCTATAAAGTGGTGACCAGAACACCCACGTCACGGACAGGGGGGCTATGGAGAGGTTCAGCTGAATAATACATGCAAAATGCTTAGCTTGGCCCCTGGTGCTCAGTGAACATTTGCACTCATAATGATTTGGGGTTCCCTGTGTTGGGAATGCCAGTCTAATTGGGGTGGTCTATCGCCAGAGCCAACACAGCAGCCATCGTGTTGTTCAGGTGCGGTGCTGACTCACGTTCGGCCCAGAAGAAGCAAAGAAGACGATTCAGCTGGGTCCAGCAAGTGGGAGCCAGGCACCAGGCCAAGGACACTGGCTGTGGAGTCAGCCAATCAAAACAGCACAAAGGCATGGCAGGCAAACCTCTAAGGGTCCCTGGAGACAGCACAGGCAGCCTGATTTGCTACTGCTTGCATCGTGGGGTGGCCCCGAGGAAGCCGCTTCCGGGCTCTGGGTCTCGGTTTCCTCATCTGCAAAGGGAGATGGGACCTCCTACCTGTTTTAAGGTGGCAATGAGGCCTGTTCGCATCCCTGCGACACTCCCAACTCCTGGCACCAGGAGGAGCCTTGTAAATATAAGGGAGCAGATCATGTTCCGCCCTCACTGGCCAGACTGCTGGGAAACCCCGGCGCAGAGTCTTTTTCCACAGTGACCAGCGGATGGAGGAGAGGCCAAGAGGATTTGTCTAAAGATAGGACCATGTGTCGGCCAAAGTCAATACAGTGGAAAGTCGGACTGTGGCCTTTAGGAAACATGGTCTTGTCCATTGGGAGAGCCTAGGAGTGATCTCTGGGAGGCTCTGGAGAACCACAGAGCCAGACTTGCCTTGGCTATGGGGAGCTCGTGAAGGAGTAAGGTCTGGTGGTCAGGGAGCCCTGGGGGAGAGGAAGGGACTCTGGCTGGGGTGGATCTGGGCACCAAGGACCCTGAGATGGACAATAGCCCTGGTCCTGGCAACATGCTGGTGTTAGAAAGCTCAGCCAGCTGGCGTCACTCCATCCAAGGTGGAAACCAAGGTCATAAGGACCACTTAGCTCCATGGTGGACTTTCACACGCATCAGCAGTGCTCCGGCTTCTCTGCATTCATTGTGAGCTATGCCACCATTGCTAAATCCTTAACTGTTTTTCCTTCTCCAGCCAAATCCCCAAAATGATCACCCACTTCTTGCTCCACATGCCTGGGACCTTCCTAGACTGGCTGGGGCAGGAGAGGTTCTGGACTCAGAAGGGCCTCCAAGGGGCCTGGGTGGTGAACAGGAGGGCTTTTCTGATGGTTGTACCAGAACCCCTGAGCCATTGCGGCCACCACCCTCGGGGAGATCTCAGGCCAGCTTTTGATCCTCCCTGCCTGTCAGTAAAATGAGAAGAGCAGTAGAAAAGCAGAGGACACCAATCTGGGATTTCTGCCCTCGGCCTCACCTTTCTCATTTCCTGTGTGACCTCAAGCAGGTTCTGCCTCATCTTTGGGCCTCAGTTTCCCAACACAACCCCAGTCCCAGCTGCAGCCAGACACAGACATGGAGCATCACATACCTCAGGTCCAGGGGGCCCAGGAAACCCAAGAGAGCCTTTGTCTCCAACTCTGCCCTGTGGAAGAGAAAGGTTTGTGGGGGAGACTGGGGTGAGAGACAGCCTCACCTTCCACCAGCAACCTGCATTATCCCTGGCTGTGGGCAATCAGAAAGTTCTGGAGTCCATGGATGAAATCTGCCTCGTTGGCCTCCTCCTGTGCGTGCCAGCCAGGGGACCCCAGGCAAGACCCTTCACCCTGCAGAATTATAGTTCCCCATGTACAAGGCACGGGCAGTAACAATCCCAACTCCTGGGGTGTTGGCAGCCCTCAAAGAAACAGTCACAAAGGGTCTGATGCACAGGACACTAGGAAGTGACGTGATGACCATGATGTGCAGCCGCACTGCTGCCCACGGGCGTCAGGAGCTGGTTCCCATCAGAGCCCATCAGTGCATGTAGCCTATGTAGGACTAGCCCCTTGGGTCTCAGTGTCCTCATCTAGAAAATGGGCAAGGGCCCTTCATGCTCTGCTCTGCAGCACCCAGGGCTGCTGCAGGAGGATGGCAAGGCCACTATCCATGACACCTGGAGAGTTACTGGCCTGTTTCCCAAGGCTATCACCCAGGTTTGGGGGTGCTTGGGAGAAAGTACTTACCAGAGGCCCTGGCTTCCCCCGTGCACCTGGGAACCCCGGTAGTCCCTGGCTCCCCTGAAAAAGACAAAGCCAGCAGGGGTCAGTGAGGGAGAGAAAGGCAAGGGCAGCTGTGACGCCCCCCCCACACACACACCACTGGCCAGAGCCTGGAAGGCCCACCATGGAGAAAGACAAGGTCCTCCATTTCCCACAGCAAGCTCCAGGTTGGCACCTGCCTTCCTGCTTGTGCCCCAAGATGGGACTCAGGACACTAAGGTATTGCAGCAACCCTGTCCTCCCAGCACCCTAGGGCCCAGGGTCAGACAGGCCCTACAGTACCCTTCAAGCTGGGGAGCTCTGGAGACCAGGACCCTGAGGGAGAAACAACCAGGCCAGGGTATCACAACCCAGGGTCACCAAAGCTGAGTCAGGACAGGAGAGCCAGGTGAAAGGGAAAGAGGGAGCACGCTAACATTTGAGCCAGCTGGGTTGGCAGGGAGAGGCCAGATGTGGCCATGTGGTATGTGACACAGGCAGAGGAACCTGAGGTCAAGGCCACTATGGTTCATCCATTGTTCAATCCTTCAGTGAGGTCAGGCCCCTTCCTTTCTCCCTCCAACTTGTCCTAAATATTCTGTGTAGTGCAGGACCCTGGGCACAGCTGCATAAAGACAGCCTAGGGCCCTATCCTCAGCGACCCGCTGGCTGGCAAAGATGAGCACAAGTCCCCAAACCAGGGGAGAACAGTGGCATCACGACTGAGCGACACACACCCACAGCCCAGGGCATCAGAGAGAAGGCAAATAGAAGGAATGGCCTCTGAGCAGGGTGGCAGAGGATATAGTGTTTCAGGTGGGGCAGGAGTGTATGCAAAGGGCCTGAGGCACAGAGGGCAGTTCAATGGGTGTGGAGCACAGAGCCATGAGGGGAAGGGGCAGGAGAGTATCAGAAAGTCCCAGTGACTGGGGTCCTGCGTGCCTAGGGGTCTAGGGGTGCAGTCAGGACTTCCCTCTGGAAGCAGCAGAGAGCCATGGATGGTGTAAGTACAGAGCTGTGCCCTCAAAATGGGGGGGGGCAGGCGACAGTGAGAAAAATAGACTGGGAGAGAAGAGGCAAGCAGCTTGAACCTAAGTTCAGAGTCCAGGGGGGAGGTGAGCAGCAGGTAGATGGGGGATGGAGCAGAAAGAATTGTCAGCAAGGGGATGGGGAGGGGGATGAGGGTGGAGGGAGCACCACATGCAGTTACCTTGTCTCCTTGGAAGCCAGGATCTCCCGACACACCTGGGACCCCTTGTTCACCCTGAGTACACACCAGCAAAGAAGATTATGAGGGAGGCCACACGCACCCCGGAAGCCACCCCAGGCCAACCCCCGAGGTGGGTGAGGTCCAGCCTGGCAGAGGCTGTTCTCAAGTAGGATCTGGCAGCAGTAGCCTTGTTAAGAGTCAAGGACAGGTAGCTGGGTGGGGAAAGCAGCCCTGGGAACAAGTGGGCTTAGCAAGGTGTGCCCTCCTGCAATTGCGCAGGGGGCTGGAAACACCTCTCGGGTCGTCCAGCCTTTCTTGGGGAACTGACACTTCAGAGCAAACAGTTTCTTCATCCTTCAGCTCTTCAGCAGCAGGGGATGTCATCCAGCAGGGAGGGCAGTCAATAGGTACAATGTCACAGAGGCTTCTGAGTGCTGATGACCCCACCTGAGTGCTTTGGCATTTACCCCCACCAGACTTGGTGCTGTCATTTCTTCCACCTGCAGCAGCAATCAGCTTTGGCGTTTCTAACGAGCTGCCTTTAGTCAGCTATGCCTAAGAAACCTGATGGCTGGACCTGCTAAGACTATGTGTAAAACAAACAGCGAGCCAGCTGGTGCTGTCTGAGGTCTGGGTGCTTTTCTAAGGCAAAGTATTGCTCAGGCTTGGTGACAGGTCTGGCCATAAGGGGGCCTCCTTGGCTCCTTCCCTGGTCCAGCCACGTTGTGGTAATGAGCTGTCACTAGCCAAAGGGACAGCTGCCTCTCCTTGGGGCAGGAACCACCTCACAGCAGGGGCCCAGCAACAAACAGCACACCGGCCCCAGGACACAGGTAAGAACACCTACAGCTCGAAACTCTAGGAGTAGGAGGAAGGGAATCACAGAAAACCACATTGCAGCAAAGGCTGTGACACAGCAGAACTTCCTTAGCAGAACAAAAGCCAGAAATGGAAAAAAAAATTTTTCTTTTTTTGCGGAACTAGGGCTTGAACTCAGGGCCTACACCTTCAGCCACTCCACCAGCACTTTTTTTTTAATGTTGGGTATTTTCGAGACAGGGTGTGGTGAATTGTTTGCCTGGGATGTCTTTAAACCACAATCCTCCTGATCTTTGCCTCTTGAGTAGCTAGGATTACAGGCATAAGCCACTGGTGCCCAGCAATTTTTAATTTAACTTACTTTGGTTTTTCCAATTTGGAAAATTCTGAATAACATGCTGGAGCTTGGGGAAGAGAGGAGTTTTTTTCTTTTTTTTTTTTTTTTTTTAATGTTGCAAAGGAGTAGTGAGGGAAGATTTAAAAAGAAAAAAAAATAGAAGAAAAGGAAAGTTTAAAATGCACCTAGGAAATCAGGCCAGTGGATCTGGAGAGAACCCCTGAGCACAAGCCATGGCTCCAGAACGTGCCTCTGGGCTGGGACAAGGGCCAGGCGGGGTCCCGGAAACCCTAGGATTCTGGTCAGAACAATCCAGGGAATATGAGGATGGCTGTGTCATTCCTAGGGAGGTGTGGGGACCAAGATCTCTCCCACATAAGAGGCAGGAAAGACTTCCCCTCTAGCCCTCCCTCTAAGATGTGCTTGATTTTCCTGAAAACTATGGACATGACAATAATTTCCTCCTTTTCTTTTTCCAGAGCTTATCCCCAGGTGGCCTGGAAGCCACCTGAACTCATCCATTTCTATGTTCCAGAGGCTGGAAGTGAGCCGGAAGTCAACTGTGCACAGGGGCCTGAGGGAAGCTCCCTGCCAACGCTCATCTTCCCTGACTTCCTTCTCCCCTGACCATGATTCTACATCCCCACAGCTCTGATGTCGCAACCCTCAGGATAAATCTGAGGTGTGGGAATCCCCTCCTCCAACAAAAGCCTCTTAATCTAGGGGAGGGCCTGGAAGAGAGGCTTAGTGGGCTGGGGTCCAGAGTGGGGGAAGAGGCAGCTGAGAGGAAGGCTTGAGGAGATGGCAGGTGGGAACAGGTAGAGAAAGGGCACAGCACTGGGGATGGGGCTCCCTAAAAATCTGGGTGTGTCCATTTTTTGCCCAGAGATCCTAATTTTCTAAGAGTCCAGGAGCCTAGATTAGCTCTTCAACATTTCTTTTGATGACTCTTGACCCATCTTTGGGGCTCAGTTTCCCCAGCTGTGACCTCTGAGAGCCTCATCCACTCTTATCTTCTGACTTCCACTCAGCTTGGTGGTGGAGCTCTCTGGAGCCAGGTGCCTGAGTTCAAGTCCTGACCCTTTACTTAGCAGCTGCGTGGCCTTGGGCAAGTTCCTTGGCTCCTGAGTTGGAGGGTGAACGGTTTGATCCACGTACAGCACTCACTGGTGGACACCTGCTCCTTCCATGTGAGAGGGAGCTGAGCCTGGGAGTGGCTGAGCAGCAGTCAGTCCCCAGATCCCTCAGGGATTCTTGGAATGCTGTCCTAAAGTACACCACACCCTGTTTGGGGTTCCTGCTCCCAGAGATGGGAGCAGAGCACTGGGAGCGCTGGCTCCTCTCCATGTGTCTTCAGATGCCGTGTGACCCAGACAGGGCCCCTTTCTGGGCCCCTAGGCCCCTCTCCCCCCTCCAACATGGTTTGGCACAGGGTAAGGCAGTGAGAGTTGAGCAGCAGGCTGTGCAGAGCAGTCACAGGGGGGCGGGTGGGGCTCAGGCCAGCCTGGGTTCCCATGGCACTTCAGTACCCAGTCATGGGGACATGTGTGTGAGCCTGTTCTCTCCTATGTCACATGTCACCTCCACCCTACACCCACACTGGCCCCACTATGCTGTCAGGATTCAGAGGCCTGCTTTGACATACCCTCCCCCGCCACCTCAACAGACCCTCCTGACCTATCTGTATCAGTCTGAAGATCCCCAGAGCTGTCCATTTGAGCCCCACCCGAGACAGACCAAAATAAGTTGGGAACACAGACACAGAGGCCAGAGGGAGGCAGCAGTGCAGGGCAAGGGGCCTGGCGGAGCTCAGCGGCAGGCTGGGGCCGAGGAGAGGCATGCGATAACCCACGGTGCAGTACGGGAGTGTTCCCATCACCTTATCACCTTTCAGTCCGGGCTCCCCCACGCCGCCCATCAGCCCCTGCAAGGCAAAGGCCAGAGGCCGCACAAGTCAGGAGCTGCAATCCCACTGAGCTGCTGGACCCTGAACTGGATTCCTGCCCAGGAATCAGGGTTCTCATGGGCAAGAGTGTAGAGTGAGGAGCTGGGTGAGGTAGCAGTGACCTTGTGAGTCTCTGTCTTGGGGACAAACCCAGAGGAGGAAGGCGCTGATGGGAAGGGGATGGGTCAAACTGGGCTATCCCAGGAAGGTGGTCTTAGCAATGCATGCCTGTCCTCTGTGCATCTCTCCCCCTGGGAGGACTGAGTTCACCATGGGCCATTATGGTTTCTACAGCCCTAGTAATGAACCCCACTAAGATTTTCAGCGGCCAGAACCACATCAGCCCCATGCTTAGCTCCAGTACTGGTGTCTAAGGAAGGCATCTGGTCTAAAGAACTTGCAGATGACATCTGGCTCTCAGGTCAGAGAAGAGCTGAGCTCCTGACCACTCGCCTTCTGTGTGGCCCCCTCCTTCGCTCCCTCCCCAGCATCATCTGAGGTACCTTCCCTCTGGGGCCGAACTCGAGGAGCCCTCATTTACCTTCATGCCCTTGGGTCCTGGGTAACCAATCGGACCCAACGCTCCCATGTCACCCTGGGAAGAGAATGAGAAGAGGACATGATGAGAGGTGGCCCCAGCGGGCAGGCCTCGGAGAGATGATCCCCAAGGGCCCAGGTGCTGGGCCTCCAAGGACGCCATGCTGGCCCTTGGAAACAGGAAAGCTCTCTGTGCTTTGCTCACTTCCTCTGGGTCTGGAAGACATCTCTCATCTTGTACAGATCCTGGCCCATCCAAGTCTCTGCTCCTCCTCCTTCCCATCCCCATCCCAGGTCCCCATGCCTCCTAAGGGACCTAGAGCCTCTCACTTGACTTCTTTGCAAATCAGTCTCCCTCTCTATAAGATGGGGACAAGGATCCTCCTCCCTAGAGCTGCTGCGAGAGACAAATCAAGCATAACCAAGAGCTGGGGCCCCTCCAGCGAAGTGACTGAGGATTGCTCCTCAGCAGAGCAGTGAGGAAGGAGTGAAGTTGATCCCAGAACCCTCCACATGGTAGCCCTGAAGGATGCTGAGATCAGCTCAGGGCCCCAACTTTGGGCCAGATCAGACCATCCAGACGGGAACTGCAGGGCTCCTGGTCTGGGCAGCCTGGCGGTCTTCACAGTGCTCTTTAATGAGGCTCTGGGCGACTGACAGGGGGTAACCTCCTAGGGAAGGACCATGCCCCGGTGCTATTTTGATGAGGGTCTGATTTGGCAGGTGCACAGACTTGGAGACATCTGGAGGCATTTTTGGTTGTCACACTCAAGCAGGGATACTGGTAGATAAAAATCAGGAAGCCACAAAATGCCCAGCAAGGTGCAGGACAGCCCCCACCACCCCTCCAATCAAGGAATTATCAGGCCATAGATTCAAATGTGCCAAGGTCAAGAAACCATGGCTTAGAGTGAAGTCAGAGGTAGCCTTGGAGAAATTTTCTCTTAACAAGCCCACCATCTTTTCCCTCAAATGTCACTCCATCCTCCTGCTCCCAGCCAAAGAGGCTGTAACCTTAAGCCCTGCCCAGAGAAAGATCCTGGAAATACACGTTTCCCTAGAGAGCTGCTGTGTGACCTCAATCAATGCGCTTGACCTCTCTGGACTTCCAATTCAGGCTCTTTGGAGGCTCCTGGCAAAGGCTCGGAGGTTGGAGCACAGCTCAGAAGCACTGAAGGCACAAAGGCTGCCCCAGATGGCCAGGCTTAAGTTCCTCTCTGTGCTACCCAGAGACCTCCTGGAGGGAGGCCAGGAAGGACATGAGAAATCACTGCCTGCCTCCTGCGGAGAGGAAAGGCCAAGGGCCTGCACAAAGCAATGCCCCAAGAAGAGAGACAGGTGCAGACTCACAGATGCAGGCTGGCCAGGCTGAGGCTAAGCCAAATACCCTCCCCCATCCCAGAACCCGGAGACTGGCCTTGACCCTGCAGGGAGCTGGTTATATGATCGTGACAAATGCTTCCCTTCTCTGGATGTCAGAACACCCACCTGGTTGGGTTCCACAACACCTCCCAACTGAGCCCCTGCTAACAAATCCTGCTTCTAGCCCCCACAAAGCCACTCTCATTAAGAAAGCAAGGCCTCAGTCTAACAGCAATCATGAATCATGACATAGTGCAAGCCACCCTCAACGTGCCTCAACTCAGTTATTTCTCCCAATAGCCCTCAGAGATCTCTTCTGCTACTGTACCCATTCTACAGAGGAAGAGACTGAGGGCCTTAGAGGTTAGGGTTTGAGCAACGTCCCAAAGCCTAGCAGTCATATCCAGGGCTTATAGGCCACCTAAAGTCATCTGTGGAGAGAAGGAAGGAAGTAGAGAAGCCGGATCACTGGTTGGGGTGGGAGGAAAAGCCAGTCCTCCAGAGAAACACATTTTAAACAACCCTGCTGCTCTCCCACCCCACCCACCCCTTTCCTGGATGAAGGTGGCCGCACAGTGTCCCCGTGATATGCAATAAACAGAGCAGGCTGGCCGCGGACAGGGGACCAGCCAGCAGCACCAGAAACACAGGCTCTCTCTCCCACTCTCTGGCCTGATGGCAGCTTGTGTGAGGCCTGGATTCAACACAGGCTAGATTACAGCCTGTGGGGCTGCGGGGAGTCACGACACAGCCCATGCTCTCCAGAAATCCTGTGACTCTCAGGAAGGACCTGTGTATAGTGGGAACTGGCCTAGACAACAACCCCAAGGGGGATGAAATCCATGACAAAGGGACCCTGGCAGCAAGGCACACAGGGAGAGGGTGGCAGCTTGCAAGTCTTTCTGATGTGGGACCTGAAGGCTGGGGATGAAGAGAGGACACACAGAGCATCTGCCTGCTGTTGGGCCAGAGACACATGAAATGTCACATCCCCACAAGATGCTGACTTGGGTCCTCAGCCACCGGACACTACACTACACACTCCACCCTTCATCTCTTGACTCCTACCAAGACTACCACTGACCACATGCGCAATCATTTAAGGGCCCCCTGCTCTGTGCCAGACTCAAAGAGACAGCTGCTAGCTGAGCCTTCCTTTGCCAGCTTATGCCTGGCCAGTGACAGCACTGGTGGCTAGGGTCCTCATGTACTGCTTACGGTGGTACCATGCAGCTAGCACCATGGTCAGACCCAGCCCATTTCACAGATGAGAAAACTGAATCTTAGAAGAAAGCAAAGTAACCTGCCCAGGATTAAGTATTCAGCAGCGGCAAAGGCAGGACCTAACGCCAGGTCTGTCTGTCTGTCTGTCTGTCCAACCCCATGAGTCCATGCTCACAAGTCCTGGGTTGGCTGTGAACTCCAACAAAGAACCCAACGCAACCAAGTCCTGTCACTTGGGCATCCAGGTGGGGATTTGCTGGGTCCCCAGGAATGTCTGGGACAATTCCAGAGCCCTGTGGCAGCAACTCTCTCACGTCTCTCTCCTGCCCTGTGGTTCCTCTTTTGCGGTGACACACTCAGCTGCTGGTGGCTCCCTGACCCTGCTTGACCTGTTTCCTAAGGTTGGAGTCATGCCCACCAGTCTTATTGACAAAGCCATTGGTCCTTCCACCCCGTGTAGCCGTCACTTCCCCGACCCCAGTGGCCCCGACATGCACTGCTGTCAGCACTACAGCCCCATGTGCCTTCTGCTCACAGCCATCCCTACACTGACCATCTCTAATGTGTGTGCCTACAGCCACCACCTGCCCACCATCACACTGAGGCAGATGCTGGGTTTAGGACCTTACCTGTGTGACCCCAGAATCCATCCCAGGGCACGGCCACCACAAAAAAGTGGCTTAATGAATGGCAGAGGAGGAACCACTTACACAGCCCCCAGGAAGCAGCCTCTGAAGGAAATATCTCCTCTTTCTAGAAACTCTGACCAGGAATTAGCAGGTTGGGGATGGGGGATATGGCCAGTCTTGACTCCTGTGTCACCTTCTCTCACATCAGCATGGCCCGGCACTGCCCAGCCCACGCCCCCAAGCATCCTGCTCAGCACAGAGGTCTTGTGGGAGGGAGAAGAGGAGCTTGAGCTGTAGACGCAGGTGGGGCCAACTGATTGGCTGTGTGACTTCAGGCAGGTGCTTTGCCCTCTCTGAGTTTAAATTTCTCTCAATGCAGTGTGATAATCCCGGCTTCCTACCCTCGCAGGGCTATTGTAACAAATCAATGCTGAGCACAGGTCAGGGACAAGAGGGTTTGGGAAATACCAACTATTCAGGTTCCTGACCTTGCTTTACAGAAAAAGAAACACTTTGCCCACATGCTGGGGTTTTGGCCAGATCTCCTGTTTGTTGGGTCTCATTAAATGAAGAAGCTAGAATTCCCTGTGTCACTCTTAAGTAAAGAAGACAGAAATTGTCTTTGTTGAGTGGATTCTGGAACCGAGCAGTTTTTTTGCAGGCTGGCCAAAGGGTTTCGATTACTCCAAGGGGCCGTTCCCAGGCCTCTCACCTCGGAGACTGCTGGAAGCCATGGTTCTTTCTGTGACTGGGGACATTCAGACCTGGGTCACAGCCCCGTACTTCCACTCCTTAGCTGGGGACTTTGGGCATCGCACAGCTTCCAGGGCCTAAGTAACGTATGCCCAAAACACCCAGAGCAGACAGAGGCTCAGTAAATGTTAGCTTGTCCTCTGTTGCCCTCCCTCCTGCTGCAGAGGCCTGGGGGACAGGGGACTGGCCACCATCAGTGTGCACACTGCCGCTGCTGACTGCACAGAGGCACGGGACAGATCTGAGCCTCCGCTCAAGCGATCATCAACACGTAGGGTTCCCACATGCTCAGCTCCAAACCCACATCCTCCGGGAGCCGAGAGGTGACCCACGATCCCTCTTCCTCTCACTCCTCAGTAGAAAGTTCTTTTCCTTTCCAGCCCCTGAAGGAGGCAAATGCTCCCCAAGCACAGAGCTGCTATTCCCAAAACTAGGGCCACTCTCTTAGGATGTGGTGGTGACTTGGCAGGCTCAGGTCCACCCCTGTGACACCCAGGCACAAGAACAAAAGGATCTCTACTTTGGCAGCAAAGAGAATCTAAAAACAGGGGAAGAGAGGCCGACAGTGGCCAGAGAAGGACACAGGGCAAGAGGAAGTCCCAGGACGAAGTGGAATAGATCAGCTCTTTGGATAGCTGCACTCCATGACAAACACTGAAGTCCCCAGCCCCTACCCCAGAAGGGGAGAGGAAGAGGAGGGCCCTGGTCGCGAAGTTGGGGGTCATGACCTCCAGTCATGCCCCCATCCTCTCCTGCCTTCCATGTGGCCTTGACCAAGAGCCTCAGTTTTCCCATCTGCCACATGGGATTTTCCTAAGAGACACTGTGAACAGGGCTCTCGGCTCCAACACAGGCAAAGACAGGATGCCCTGTTACAATTGAATTTCAGATAAACAAAGAATGCTATTTTAGGACAAACGTGTCCTAATGTGTACAGCTGACATTCAAATGTATGGTATTTTGTCTGGCAATCATAAAGACGGAGGACAGAGGTAGGAATGAGCTTTGTTGAGAATCAGGACGGCTAGGGTGGCATAGTTTGAGTTCCCAGAATCCCCATTTACTCAGCCAAGCAAGATTCTTACTCATCTTGGGACCCAGCCTAGTGGACACTGGGACAATGACAAATAAGAACATGTGCCAAAGATGACAGCCAGGATGTATAAACATCCTTTCGGAGAAGCTTTGGGGACCAGGATTGTTTCACCAGAAGAAGGAGCCTGGGGAAGGGCAGACGGTGACCATCTTACCCCCTGGAATAGCCTCACCCAGGGACCGAGAGGACGACTTGGCCTGAAGACGGGAAAACGCTGAACAATGAGGGCTCTGTTCCGATGGACTGGGTCCCAGAAAGGGAGGAAGTGCCTAACACCCAAGGTGTCCAAGTTGGAGTTCAATGACCACGTGACCCACATGCTCCACCAGGGATTTCTGCTGGGCTGAGAAGGAGCTGGATGACAAGACTTCCAGAGAATTCTCTAACTCTCATGGCACACATTGCTTTTTCCAAAACATCTAGGTCAGCACCTTGTGCCAAAGAAGGTGCCCGGCAAAGTCCTGTTGACTGGACATGAGGGAGGACAAGTGTATTACTCACGTGTTAACACTTCCCCGGTCCCGGCCAAGGCAGACTTTGCTAACCAATCACTTCACTCTCTCCCACCAAGTTCCAACGAGAACTTGAAACTTTTCTTTCTTACTTACTTTTCTTTCCTTTTTTTGACATACTGGATTTGATCTCAGATTCATGTTTGCTAGGCAGGTGCTCTACTGCTTGAGCAGAAACTTTTTTTAATTCAACAATGTAGACAGCTGCTAGCAGGTATGAAACATGGTGTGGGCACGTCCACACATGTATGCGTAAAAATTGATACTATTATAACCAATACTTCTTGCCAGCTTACAAGGTTCTGAACAGCTCACAGCAGCCCTCCAAGTACTAACTATCCCCATATTACAGATGAAGAAATCGAGGTATTGGAAGGTTAAGGAACTTGCTCAGGATAACCACTGGATGAGTGCAAGAGCTAAGCTTTGCGTCTGAGGACCTAGCACAAGTGGGGCAGTGGTCTTACTTCACAGAGGGGTCTGAGGCTCAACGAAGTGAGACCATAACTGAAGTTCACAGAGCCAGGAGGTGACAAGGCCAAGATTGGAACCCAGGTTGGCCCAAGCTCACCAACCCACCTCATCACAGCTCTGCTCCCATCTGAACAGGAATATATGCTCACCAGGGGCCTCTGGGCCTCTTCTCAGGGTGGGCCTCCCCCTGGGAATGGGGCACCTCAGCCTCCTTTTGGGGGTTCTTTAGTCTCCATCTGAACAGAATTTCTTGGCACAGTTGTTGGAAGAGCAAAGCTGATCCAACAAGCTAGGCGACAGTCTAGTTGTGTCCCCCAGGCTTTCCCAGATTCAAATCCATGAGGAATGAGCCCGAGGACAGAGAAGATGAAGCCTAGACTCTGGGGGACACTCCTAGAGTCATTTCCAGGTTCTGGACTCTGATTGACCCTTGGGATCAGTCCCAAGGTCAAGCCTTGGCCCTGTAGTCCCCGCAGTAACCTGAGGTGCTGCTGATAGAACCATCCCTGAGATCCACCCAGCCCAGATGGAGTCAGAGGCCCAATCACCCTCCTCCCTGTCTATGGGCTGCTCTCAGCCTGGGGCATTCCAGGAGGTATTGACAACTGATATAACAATACTTCCTACTAATTGAGCACTTACCACTTACCAAGTCCCAAGTCTTACATCAAGCTCTGTACGTGCAGTATTGCAGTTAATCCCCCAACTAAGAACTGAAGAGGATTCCACTTTCATTTCTACTTTACAGATGAGGAAACTAAAGCTCAAGCAGGTAAGCAACTTGGCCCAGGTCACACAGCCAGGATGTGGCAAAGCTGTGACTTCAACCCAGGCAGTCTGGCTCCAAAGTCATCAATTTGAAGAAAAGGACAAAGAAGACTGTTCAACATAGCCCAGAGTCTCAGCTCCTCTGCCACCACATCCTCCCTTGGGACCTGACGCCCTCACTGGTTGAAAAGGCATGCCATCACCAGTCCAAATCTCCTTTAAGTCGATGGACAAGCAGCAGGGGTAAAGGTAAAAGTCCCAGCACTCAATCTCAGCTAACAAATGAGAAAACAGGCTCAGAGAAGGTAAGAAATCACCTGAGGTCACATGCAGGACTTTCCTCCCTCAGTGACCTGCCCAGCCTATCTGTCCTGATCCTCTGCCCCTTCTGGGGTTTGATGACAGTGGCCTCTTTTCAGCCTCTCCTGTGGGGTCTACTGTTTGCTCCTCAGACCCTGAACCCACCTCCAATGCCCCCTCATCCCTGTCTCAGACATCTGTGTACTCACAATGAGGCCGGGCACTCCTGGGGGCCCTGGTAGGCCAAGTTCTCCCTGCAATTACAGAAACCAGTTCAGTTATTTGTCCTGCCTTCCTCCACATGGGCACCTGGTAGGATCTTTTGAAGCAGACCCCCTCCTGTTCCCGACTGCAGGCCCAACAGACTCTTCTGAGCCAGGTCAGGTGTTTGGACAAGACTTTTCCTGCCTCTGCCATCAGCTGTCCACATCTGGACAGCTGGACTTCCAGACCTGGTGCTTAAATGCTGTAGATGTGAAAATGGACCATGAAGACCTGCCCACCACCTAGGCTCCTGGTTCCCTTCTTCCAGGGCCTCTGAGATGCTACAAGAGTCTCTCTGTGTGTGTGTGACTCACCCCTAAACTCCAGACTTGAATCTTTACAAATGGAACTTATGTGGCTCAGACCAGAGAAGACAGATGGAGGAGTTTGACTCAAGTTCGAAATGCAAAGTCATGAATAAAAATAGGGGTCTTTACATCCCCCAGGGGCTGTCTTCCCTCATGGGTGTCACCCTGGGGCTACCTAGGCAGGAGGGCATCACCACAGCCATGGAGAAGTAGACAAAGGTCAGAAGCAGCCTTGGCTTTACAGTGAGGAAATTGAGGCTCAGCAAAGGGCAATGACATGGTCCAAATTTTGTGGCAGAGCTAAGGCCAGGTCCTCATTCTGCTCCTCCAGGCCATGATGAGAAAGCCATTCCTGCTCCAACCCAAGGAAACTTTCAGAAAGGTCTTGTCTGAACATAGTGTGGTATTTAAAACCCGGTAAGTGTTGTGTGGCTGGAAGGGCCCTGACATCCCCACCATGCCCTTGCTGGTGCTCCTTCCCCCACCTGGAGGGCCCCTCACCTTTTTCCTTGTCCCAATTCCAATGCCAGGGCTTCCCTGTTCCCACTCTCTCCTTTGATTCTGCCCAGCTCATTGGGTGGTATAGATGGCTGTGGGGTGGCCGTGGTGACTTGGAGGCTTCCTAGTTTGGTATATAACTCAGTCCATTGAACACCTGTGGTGGACGGACGCACCCTACTCTGTGGTGAGCGTTCTGCTCCCGAGTTACAGAGAAGCAAACTGAGGTTCAGAGCAATGAGCCAACTTGTTTGACCCAGGTGCATCTGGCTCAGAGGTGGCGGTTTGGCCCCCAGGGAGTCTGGCTGGGTCAAGGTCAGGGAGCATTTATGGAATTGAACCAACCTAATGAGGCGCTCACCATGGACTCAGTAGCTACTCTGCAGGGGACACAGCTGGACACAGCTGCTCAGATGGGAAGCCTCAGGGAGACAAGAGTGGCCACGTGTTGCAAAGAGCTCCGGCCTCAGTCTGTGCCCCCAGGCCCAGAAGGAATGGATCCTCCAGCCAGACCTGGAGCCTGGACAGGAAGGGAAAAGCAAGCTGGGCTCCCTGGGGCAGGCTGACCTGGCTCTGAGGTGGGGCAGGGCCTGAGCCTCAGAGTATTTGCAAACTCTATAAACACATGGTGGTGGAGATTCCTTCAGAACTCAGCCTTCTCTCCAAGCGGGGCCTGCAAATCTTTGCTTTCCCAGGCTGCTGAGGCCCATAAATGTTCTGACAATTTGTAAGAGGAGGGCGGGGCGTCCAGGACCTCTCTAAGGGGAATGAGCCCTAGGGACGGGGCCAGCCTGGGGCTTTGGCCCCATGGGCTCAGTGGGCTGGGGACTCAGTGTATGTTGCCAAAGGATACAGGAACTGGGGTTCAGAAGTCAAGTATTTTGTCCAAGGGCGCCTGGCTAGATCACAGGGCTGGGATTTAACCCAGGTCTGTCTGCCTCCAAAATTTGAACTCCTAAAATCTGCTGTGTTCCCTCTTTCCTAGTTCCAAACACTGAAATACTTACGGGGTTTCCATCCAGTCCTGGGGGGCCTCTTTCCCCAAAGTCTCCAGGGAACCCCTGAGGACATGAGAGAGAAAGGGTAAGTTAGTGTTAGGCCTGCAGGGTGACTCTAATCCAGACCCCCGGGGCAGACAAAGACAATTTCTATGCAGGCTCACTCCCTGGATCTGAGGGACGGTGGGGTCCTGAGATCACCCTTCTTATCAACACACACCAAACATACAGAGCTCCCCAGGGGTGGGGCCACAACCAGGCAGCCCTCTTCTCTACTCAGTCTCTGGAAAGAACATGGGAGAAATGCCAACCCCCAGTCTGGGAGCTGGTCCCAATGGAGTGGGAAGGACACAAGGCATTGGGCAGGAAGCCGGATCCAGGCTTGGACAGTTGCTGACTGGCTGAGGTTTTCAGAGCATCTTACCTTCAAACCCTGCCCCCCCTCACACGCACACACTGTGGGCCTCAGTTTCCCTGCTGCTCAAAAGGAACACCTTGGTGCCATGTCCCAGCTCAGATCTGTGACTGTGATGTGCCCTTCAGAAGCTGCCTTATGGAATCGTAATCCTTATTTTATAAACAGAATGGAGCCCAGAAAGGGTAAGTAGCAAGGTCACACAAGTTCACACTGCTAGTGAACTTTGACACAGTTTCCATAGGTTGAGTGTTGGCAGTTCAAAGAGCATGGGCCACAAGGGCCAGCAGGTCAGGGCCACCAGACTCTCCCTGACCCCACTCAGGGGCCACTCTCCTGTTTTCTGGGGAGCCAGCAGCTGGAAGGGAGGCCTGGAGGAGAGGGGAGAACTCCATTCCTACTTCAGAGGGAAAGGACAGCCCTCAGCCTGGAGTGTGGAGAAACTGGGTCTCCCCTCCTTGAATTCGAATCGCTGTGTTTCTAGGGAAATTTAATAAAAAACAAAGCAAGTACTTTCCCAAGCAAGGGACCCTGAGCTGATGGGACAGAGACGGGCATCTGTGAGGATAATGGTGCTTTTGGCTTCTGATACTACTGGAGAAACTCAATGAGTACCTTAAACCCAAAAGACAAATCTGGAAACCAAAACTCCAACCAATCACACAAGCCTCTACCAGCCTTGCCCCACCTTCCGGTCCCTCCTCTTGGATCAGCAGCACAGGGGTGATACTCACTCCCAAAGGAGCGAATAAAGACACAATGATGGGTCACTTGTGTTTGAGGTTCACCTCGAGGTAAAGGTGTCTGGTCCCATTTAACAGATGGGGAAACTGAGGCTCAGATAGGAAATACCATTTGCCCTGTCATGCCTAAGAAGTCCCTGCTCTGTTCTCCAAGTCCAGCACCCAGAGATGCTGGTGTGTGTGTGGGGGGGGGGGTTGTCCTGCTCTACTCCAGCCTGGCTGTGTGATGGGGCCTCATGGAACCCAGGTTTGGGGGTGATCTCCACAGATCCTTCCAGCTTGGCCTGTGTGGGGTAATACAGCCTGGAGTGGGGTAGAGATATGACAGCCTCCCCCACTCTGCTGTCCTGCACTGGCAAGTTTCAGGGCTCTGCACTCAGGGAGGCTCCAGGTTGGCCTTAGATCCTCTCAGATCCCGCCACCAGGCCAGCTGCCCGTGTCAGCCTGCTACCCAGGGGCCTCTGGGAGCCTCAGTTTTGTCCGCTGTACACCAGAGAACACCGAGGCCAAGACTCAAGGGCCCACAGCAGGTGGCAGCAGGAAGGCAGCCTGTGAAGTATAAGCAAGGGAAAGACTGACGTCAGAACCTCAAGTCCAAGTCCCTAAGAAAGGCAATGCCCCCAGACCAGCCTGAGAACAGCCAGGCAACCATGGGCTCAAAGAACGAAGGCAACAGCCAACTCCATCATGACCTGGGTCCTGTTTTGGGCCCCATTTTAGAGGTGAGGAAACAGATTCAGAAAGGTTAAGAAATGTATCCCAAATCACACAGCTATGGAACAGCAGAACTGATTTGAACCCAGGCCATCTGACCCCAGAGTCTGTTTCCTTAACCATGACACTGAATAAATGGGATGAACAGGAGCCTGGAGTAAGCCATGGCGTCTCAAAGGTCCACCACAGTCCAGGGCTAATGCACAAAGAGGATGCCGAGGGCTGGTTCTGCTTGGACCTGAAGGCGACCTCAAGGACCTGCCCTCTTTCATCTTCAGCCCCTTCTGACAGATGCATGAAATCCTGGAATCTAGGGTTTGAGATTCCAGAACTGTCAAGAAAAGGCTTTAAAGGGGCTGGAAGGAATCTGGTGGGGACAGTCAGGGATGGTCTTGAAGACAGAACCCAGTGGCTCCTATTCCACCCACTTGCCTTCTCCTCTGCTCCCAGCACAGACCTTGTCCAGCAGTCCCCCAGGCCCCTCTGGGTCTCCCAGAGATAGGGCCAAACTGGAGGTGCGGCCCCACTTACTCCTTTGAGCAGTACAAGGGGATGACCGCAGGGTGCACACAGTGCACACGCCCAGTCACCATCAGCAGGCACCGACCTCCGCAGGCCCGAGCTCCAGGCTGCAGCAGGCTGGCCTGAGGCCCAAGGAATGAGCTCGGCTCACTGCCGGCCCAGCCATGTGGTTCCCCCACACCCCCAGGTCGGGGCCCCTCAGGGAACTGAACGCCTCGTACTGTAAGCAGAACCAGGCCTGGGGAGAGGGATGAGGCTGGAGGATGAGAGTCCTCATTCTCTCCTGGCTGTGACAATCAGAGGAGCACAGGCAGGTGAGGATAGTGACAGCCCTCATCACTACATCTACAGCAGGCCACTTCTCAGGGGCCCTCCAGGCAGATGCTGCCCAGTTGTCTGCTCCAGAGGATGGGACATAGGGGCAGGGAGGCACAGAGCATCTCGAACCAGGGTTCTGCCAGCATCTCTGAGGCTCAGGCCCCTTGCCTCCCAAATAGCCAGCCCTGCCTCTGCCTGGCAGGCTGCACTGAGGAGGAGGCCGGTGTTTATAATCGAAACCCAGGTGAACTCCATTGCGCCATCATTCCCCTAGTTAGCACTAGTGTCCTCACTGAGAGTTTCATAACTCTAGGAGGAGCTTATAGAAAGTTCTTGAAGATCCACTTACAAGGTGCAAACTCGTCAAGTCTGGAAGTTTCTTAATATGTCTAGCCTGCATCCTTCCTACTGTACTTGAAGCAGCCCACATTCTCTTTGAGAAAGGCGAGCACCCCAAGTGTGCTAACATGGAAAGACCCCTTGAGGTCCCCCTAACCGTGATTCTGGGGGAATCACGGGCTTCGAACACCTCACAGGAAGGGCTTCACTGCATGTGGCTTCCTTCACCTTGAGGGACTTGGAGTCTTAAGCTCACGCTCTTCCGATTCTTTCTCTATTTACTGACAATCCCCACCCTTCCAATACCAGCCCTGAGAGAAAAGAGGTTTGGGCAATGGGGTTGCCACCAGCACTGGCATACAGCAGGTCCCCAATAAACCTATGGACTGAGAAGTGAGGGAGCAGCCTCATCTCCCACACAGGGAAATAGGGCTGAGCACATGCAATTGGGGCAGCATCCCCAACCACAAGCAGCAAAGCATGCAACCCCAAGAAGGAAGGTGGTCCAGGGCAGGAAGAAGATGGACAGGTGGATGGACAGACAGAGGGGTGGCTGATGGGGAGACTGGCCAACTGCAGAGGAGGTGGACAGGACCACTGAGGCACGGCCAAAAGATGCCAGGACTTCATGGGTCTCTCCCTCTCCATGCCCAGGTCTGGAACCCCTGCTCTGCACAGCTGTCCCTGGACAGGACAGGAAAGCTGAGGCTGATCCTTCTCCACCTCTGCCTCTCAACAGACACATGGCCTTGGTTCAGTGTGCACCTTCCCGAGCCTCGATCTCATCTGTAAAGTGGCAGTGCCTGGCCCAGAGAGAATCTCAGGACAGAGTCTGAGAAAATCCACCCTGGAGTGGGCCTGGGTGATGGGGCAGTGTCCAGCTGAGATGGCTGAGCAAGACATGTGCTCCCATTCTGCAGCTTAAACTGCACACCAGAGAAGGTGACACTGTTGGCCCCCAGTCATGCAATACAAAAGCCTCTTAGGCAGCCAGGAAACTACAAATAGGTGCTACATGACAAGTGTAATGATCTCATGAGCTACACATATCCCTGTTTCTCACGTGAGAAAACTGCAGTTCAGAATGTTTAAACCAAGCATATTTCTTTCTAGCACAGGGCCTTTGCACCTGCTGTGACCTCAATCTGGAATGCTCTCTGGAAAGTCACATGGCTCCCATCCTTTCCTCATTCAGATTTCTCACAAGACGAGAGGGACTCCCAGGCCAACATAGCCATCAGCCCAGGCTCTGAATACTCAGATCCTTCTGTCTCTTAGCATTCTCCACTATCCGACATTCACTTAGTCCTTCTACTTTTCATTTCCCCATTCAGTGATGTCTGTTCATCTGCCCCACAAAGTGGGACCTTTGTCCTACAGTGTGTGGCCCATAGCAGGCACTCAGTGGGCACTCACTGAGTGGATGAACCTCCTTGACAAAGGTTGCAGACCCAGGGGCCACTCTGGCCCTCTCGGATCCCAGGAATCCGAGCCTTAGGCACTGCTCCTTGTTCACGTCTGGGAGGCAGGCATTAGACCTCAGAGCACAGAGTGACTGCTGGGCCACAAAGAGGTCTAATTCACAGGATGAGACCCCTCTGTCAGCTCCTTGAGGCTGGGAGCTGAGTCTTTCTTCTCTTTGTGTCCCCTTCCTGGCCCCTGGAGGACCACGCTCAATATACCACACAGGAGACAACAGTCTGCCAATTTCAATGTCACAGGCAGCCTCCTTCCCAGCATCCCCAAGTGCTTCACAGTCCCTTCTCACCCCCAACACGATAGGAGACTCAGCCCCAGCTGGTCATGGGTCCAAGTCTAGGAACTACTTGCAGGGTAACAGTGAAAAACTAAGTCACCACCCGGGACCGGGCCTGAAAGACAGAGATGCCTCAGTGACCGTCCAAGGCTGCTGCCAGCAGGGGGACTTCTCACTCTGCCTCTTAGAGCCTCAGTTTCCCATTTTGAACGCTGAGATATGGGAATGAAAGGCTCTTCTAGCAGGCGAAGATTGTGGAACATCTACTTTCACAATATTATTACCAGAGACCCTGAGAGCCTGACCACATAGCCATAGAGACCAGAGACCTTGGGGACAGCCCACTGAGCTAAAGCCTGGCTCCGCTGTTCCTCACTGTGAAGCCTTGGGCAAGTTACTTAACCTCTCTGTGCCCTGGTTTTTTCTTCATGCCCTGCAGATACCCTAACTGGAGGCAAACAAAGCTGGGAGATTGGGGGTTACTGCTTTGCCCCTCTTGGGGCCATGACTGTTGTGGGCATGCCATATCCCACTGTCCTCCACCTTGTGTGCACATGAGCACAAATGGACAGAGCTGGGGGACACCAAGACAATGTAGAGATGAGTGTTCTTTGGGATGGGGCACACCCCTCCCCACTGGACAGAAGCCACCACCACCCCACCCCACCCAAAGCTGCACCAGTGAACAACGGCTGCACTCAGGGAGAGAAAAGCCATCCCAGAACAGCCAGCGTCCCCTGCAGCCACTCAGCACTTGAGCTCAGGACTCCCAGCCCAGACACTCAAAGCAGAAGTGACTGAGCAGAGAAGCAGACAGTGTCAGGCCTCGTGGACTGAGCAGTGTGGTGGTGGGAGGTGGGGTCCCCATAAAGTCTGCAGAATAGACACGGAAAATCTTTACCGGCCTACCCATCTTGCCCCTCTTGCCAGGAACGCCAGGCACACCCTGTGGGAGAGAGACGGGGAGAGGTCAGGACAGGGCTCCAGCGGAGGACAGAACTAGCCCCCAGCCGCCCCCAGGAGGAAGTCCCAGAAGCCTTAATTATATGCCATGTACACAGTGGTGCCAATTACATGTGCATCAGCTGTACCCTGCAGGGACAGGGCTGTGTGGATCTCCACTGGGGAACTGGCTCAAGAAAACTCCCAGTGTATCTAGAATTCAGCAGGTACTTACAAAGTACTCCTTCTCCTGCCTTTCCAACAGGAACCAACTTATTGACAAAGTGACAACTGAGTCCCCAAATATGACTCAGGCTGGGAGAGGGTGAGGAGGTCACTAGCCCCAAGGCCTCCTCATAGGCCCCAAGGCTATGGGCAGCTCCTGCCACACTCCTGGGCCCTGGGCTTGGAGGACAGTGGAGAAATCCTATCACCTGCCCACCTGGAGGTCAGGCTCACCACCCTCCCCAGAGAATTGATCCCCAGTCTCTTCACGGACCTCAGGGCTCAAGCCAGAGCCAGGTGCCCAGCCAGTCCCCTGCCATTGCCCTGCCCCCCACCCAGCTCCACTGCCCCCACCCAGGTGCAGCCACCCCTTCCACCCTGCCACCTGCCACCAGGTCTATCTCCAGCTCTTCCCCACCTACCCCAGCTTCACTTTACTCAAAGGCCTGAGGTCCTCTAAGACAGGGACGAGGGCACATCTGTGCAAAGGGGCAGAGTCACTGTTTGACTCCGTGCCCACTGTAGTGGTAAAACAGCCACACGAACAAGCAAACAAACAAGCATGGCTGTGCTCAGTAAAATTTTATTTACAAACAGATGGCTGGCTATCTCTGATCTGGAATGTAAAGGGGTCCTGTGTCTTGTTTGCTGAAAGCCCTTGAGAGTTTCCCAAGAACAGTGTCCCTTTGCGGACCTTGGTCCCTGAGTGCCTGGTAACTTCACCTAAGGCCCTCTGTTTCTTCTTCCCTCACCCTGTCACTCTGTGTTTTCACTGATGAGCAAACCTGCCAAGTGACCTTTGGTCCTGTCTTTGCGTAGGCTGTTCCCTGGTTCTGGACCACATGCCCCTGACTTGCTTCCTTCCAGACATCTACTCCACTCAAGGGTGCCTCCTCCAGGATGACACTGTGACTTCTCTGAACTTGCCTCTAGCAGATTCTATCTTGTATGAGAGGGTGGGTGAAGGGACAAATACCCAATCCCATACACTTACCCACTCTCCATCTGACCCTGGCAGGCCGAAGAGCCCTGGGAGTCCAATGTAGCCCTAGGAAAGAACAGGTGGGGGTCAGAGGCCGAGCGGAGGGGTGCCACCAGCCAGCCATGCATCCAGCCCACCCTTGCTGCCATCCTGTGACCCAGGCTTGCTCCTCGCTGGCAGTGGTGGTGGCTCCGGTGGTCCTCGATGACATAGGCCTTGAGGCAAGTGTATATGCCCATGGACTGCATGGTGCTCGCTTCCACGATGTAGTCCAAAGGCACATACCCTCACGCCAGGGAAGGGTGCGGGCGCTCGCACGGGAGGCCTGCCCCGAGCCGAGCCGGGCTCCAGGACCTGTGGAAGGAAGCTGGCGGCTGGGTTAGAGGCTGGAATGTCATTGAGGCCTGCCCCTACCCCAGGGATGCCCATGGGTCATGGCCCCTGCAGTGGCTCCTCCTAGGCCTCCATGGGCACGAGGCTCGCATCCACCCCAGGCCACCAAGTGCTGGTAGTAACAGAGTTGACCCTGGAGAGCTGACGTTGTAACAGGCATATAGCTACCACTGCAGCAAACCCTCCCAAGGACCCCACAGACTGGCTGTCACTCCCTCACTGGCCAGACAAGAACACTGAGGCCCTAGAGACAAAACAACACAGCTGACCAGGGATGCAGCTGGGGGTCCTGTTAGCAAGCTCAAGGGTCACCCAAGCCCAGGGACATGAGTCTGGGTATGTCACCATCCTAGGGTTTTGGCCTAGAATGCATCTGGTTTCCCGTCCCCCACAGCCCTCACCAGGCATGCCCTTCTCAGCCAGGACTATAGCACCAAACTCTCTGAAGCCCTCCTAGAATGCTCAAGCCAGAAGCAGCTGGTCCTGCCACCCCAGCACCCTGTTTGACCCCCGTTAGCAGTGACAACCACTTGCCCCCTGTGTCTCCATTAACTGTGTGCACATACACTCCTCTCTTTAGCATGCAAACTTTGTCTCAAGGGCCTGGACCTAGCCTGGGGCTGTACCACTCTGCACTCTCTAGACGTTTGTAGAAGGGGTTAATGATGACTCTAACAAAAGTGACTGTGCTTTGAGCACAAAGTTCATGCCAGGCCTAGCTCTCAATGCTTTGATGCATTAAAACATTTACCGCACCCTCACTGCACCCCCAGGAAGCAGGTATTATTAGTCAGCACCTGGCAGAGGTGAGAACATTTAGGCACAGAGAGGTCAGGTGACCTGTTCAGGGTCACACAGCTGGACTGCGGTAGAACTGGCATCCAAACTCAAGGCATGGTGGCTCCAGGCCTGGATTCCTGACCATTTAACTACACAGCCTCATACAAAGAAGCAGCCCAGGGCAACTCATCGCCATGTCTCCTTTCCTGCACAGTCAAAAGGTCATCTTAAAGAATGGTATTTACCAAACCTTCTGGGCCTGTGCCCCGGAGTTACAGATGAGAAAATGCACTCAGAGAGGTCCAAGGTCTTGTCCCACAGGTAAGGAATAGCCCGGCAAACTAGTCACCCCCTAATCACCCAGGCCACAAACCCAAGCTAGGCTTTGCCTACTTCACGAATACAAGGCTGATGGTGGCAGAGCAGCCTGATTCACCAGGCTGCCCTGGGCCCTGTGACCCTGAGGAGACAGGAATGCTGAGGCCAGGTCAGCCCTCTCCCTACATGTGGCTTCAAGATGCCAGCAACATGGCAAGCCTCAGACAGCCCCAGCTATCATTGACAGGTCCTGTTCTCCAGCAGATGGGAACTGGGGCTGGCCTGAGACCTTTCCCCCTGGGCTCAGAGAAGTAAAGGAGGTCCAGCACCCCAGGAGCTGCCTCGGACCCTGCCCTGCCAGTCATAGTAACGTCCTCAGGGCTTGCCCTCCCATCATGCATTCACCTCCTGCCACCAGCCTGCTCCAGAGATCAAGGCCGAGACTGGCCCTTTTGATTTCCCCCTCGGGCAGGTTATAAATAGCTTTGGCTCAGGAGCAGAGGACATGTCATGCCCTGTCCTGACTGAGGACTGTGTGACCTAATGGCTGAGCACTCTTTGGCAAACAGCAACCCTCACCTCAGGACACCTGGGTCCACGCCCCAGCTCTCCTTTGGTTGTGCAGTGTGAACTGGGGTCATCCAGCCCACTGCGATCCCAGCATCCTTGTACACAGAAGAGAGGCCTCGCCACATCTGCTCTTTCCAACTCCATCTACTCCCATGCAATTCACCAAACCTTTTCCGCCTCCTCACAGCCCCCATGGGAGCCCCACCTGGTAGCCACCCCTTCCCTTCAGCTGTGCTGACTTTCAAATTCCTGACCACCCCCCCACACACACACACACCAGGCCACACACAGGCCACAGGTGTGATAGACATCACTCCCACCATACAAACAGGTGAACGGAGGCTGATGGTCACTCAGGGCTTACTTCTTGGGGCCTTAGAAGAAGGGGCTATCCAGAAGTTCCATCAGCCTCCAGGCAGCATCCCTCATGGCCCTCCACAAAAGGTGGGTCCCCAGTACCCAGTTAGATGAAAGGAGGCCTTTCTAGAAATCCAGTGATTTGATTTGGAGTGGCTGGACCTTAGTCCCTGGTCACTCAGGATGAAAGGGGATCCAGTTGGACTATGAACAAATCCCAACAGAGCCTGGACTTTCCAGACTATTTGACCTCAGGACCCAGAGGTGCCACCTGCAGCTCAGGGGATCTTAATCACAGGCTCCCTGCTCTCTAGAGAGCACTTAGATGGGAAGGTCTGGGCTCAGCCGCCTCATAGCCCTAACCTCTATCAAGTTCCACTGGAGGAACAGGAGATGCCCACCCTAGCCAAGGACCACTTACCCGGCTGCCTTTGGGGCCAGGGTCTCCTACAGGTCCAGGTAGCCCCTGAAACAGAAAAGACAGAGGGGCAAGGACGTATGGAGATGCCCTTCTGGGTGCCAACATCCCTGGTGAGTCCTGTCTCCCAGGCTCAGCTGCCTCTCTGGAGAACAGTGTGGAAAATAGGGATCTCCAGCTTGAACTCCACAGCCCCAGGAGCCAGCATGGCTTGGGAGACCCTGGGTGAAAGAAGCCTTGGGAGCCCCACTCCTAGCCCCCTAGTCTTCTTCCTGAGCCTCCCAGCCTCATCCCTGCAAAGAGAGGCTGCCTTGGTCCTGCCCCCCAAACAGCCCTTTCCTTAGGGTGCAGTTCCTTGGCCTCAGGCCTCTGCCCCCCTCTGCCTGGGGCACCCATGGCATCTCCACCACAGCCACAGAGCTTCCAAAAGCCATATACTGCACCTGCCTGCCAGGGTAACCTTTGGCCCCTGGGCTGCCCTCAGCTCCCAGCTGTCCCTGCAAAAAAACCAGAACGAAATGTAAGGAAAAGAGGCGCTGCCCAGCTAAGGCCAGTGTGGTAGGGGACTGGGGGCCAACAAAGAACAAGGAAAGAGGCAGGAGCGGGAGGTAAAATGGGAGCAAGGCAAACAGGGCATGCTGAGGCCCCCAAGCCCACCTCTCTCTAAACTGGTCAGACCTGCTTTGAGGGTCAAAGCCCCTCTGCACCGCAGCCCAGAGCAAGAAAGCACGGAGGAGGCCTGGCCGGCTCCCCGCTGGCAGGACTGCTGTTTAACTTGGGCCAGGGCAGCCAAAATTCCTGCAAGCCCTGCAGCGGGAGGGCCATGGGAATAATATCCCTCACATTGCCCAAAGCAAAGCCTAGGGGCTCATGCCAGCCCCAAGCCAGGTCTCAGGGACGTGGCTCTTCCAGGCAGTGTGACTGAGGAATGAGGGGCGTGAGGTGGGGGCCCCAGCAGGGTGGGAGGCAGGTCAGCCTGGCTCTGGGGCTCCTGAACAGGTCCAGGGAGGAGGCAAGAGCCAAGGTCTGAGAGGAGGAACAGAGAGCATCTTCCAGCAGGGCAGAAGTCTCACCTCTTCTCCAGGGTGCCCTGCAGGTCCAGGGTAGCCTTTGTGTCCCTGTGGGGGGAAGAACAGCATCAGAGCGGAAGGCACACTCAGGCCTGAGGATTGCAAGGACCCAGCCCTGCTGCCTGGTTCTGCACTGCATGTCCATGGCAGAGATATAGAACGTGCTCAGTCAACCCTCCCAACACGGATGCAGGCACTGTGTAAGGTGAGCAGTGTCCTCCAGGCTCATCTCTGACCAGAAGACTTCAGGGGATGGGGGATTATGAGCCAAACTGGAATAGGGCAAGTGTGACCCTGTGATTCTGCATCCCAAATGTCCCTTCCAAATGCAGAACGAGAATGAGACAAGAACAGACAGACCTGTCAAGGGAGCAAGGCCAAGGCTCGACCATCACGTGAGGCAGGACAGACCTGCCCCTTCTCACTTGTGGCCACGTGTATTACTCAGAACCGTGACCTCTTTCCCCAACAGACCCCTGACCCGTTCAGAGAGAAAGACGCTCGCCGCTGTTCCGTAAGTCAGGAGGCCTCCAAGGGACCCAGGCTTCCCACTTCTTCCAGCTCAGAGCTGCTGTGAGAGCAACAGCAGAAAGAGAAAGGGCCCTCTTCAGATAGGACAGTCATGCTGGCCCCTGGCAGCCCTCATACAAGGGCTCTGGGATTGGGTGAGCCCTGCCTTACTGTGTAACTTTGGGTGGGGTACCACCCTTCTCTGACCCTCAGATGGGGGAGGCACAGCTCTGAGAGACCTCCTTAGCTCTGATGTTCTAGAACTGAAAGTTCTAAGACTCCCCCAGAGTCTAAAATACTCACAACACAGACACACACACACACACACACACACACACACACACTCAGCACCACTTCACAGACTCCCAGGAAGCAGCCTTCTTAATTATAAATAGCAGTGTAGGTCTGTTCCAAGAGGCCCGAGGGGTTTACAAGCGTTCCATCTGCACCCACCCACACCGAGGCAAGACAGCCCAGCCACGCGATTGCATCTCACATCCATGGGCTAGGGAGGTTGAGGCCGCACAGCTGGGTGAGATTCTTCTACCTGGAACACATGCTCTTTCTCCCCCATAGGCGAACTGGGCCATAGCCACAGCCAGCAGCCAGCATTGGCGTGACCAGGCCTCTTGTTTGAGACTGAGATGGACTCCAGGGCTGCTTGCTCCGCCTGTAGGCTGACTGTGGGCAGTCTTGTTTTCCTCAGTTGTAAAACGGGGAGAAAAGGCTGGATGTATGGAGTACATGGTATGGGTGTCAAGCTCTCAACACGGTATCTGGCATTGAGTTCAACGGCCCCGCAAAAGCCGGCTGCGGTTACTGCCTTCATCTCCACTTTCATTCATTCATTCAACAAACATTCACTGAGTGTGCATGTGTCGGCACTGTTTTAGGCACAGGAAGAACAAGACAGACAACATCCGTTGACTTAATGGAGTTTACGCCCTTAGGAAGGAACTAGAAAATCAAAATAAGTATAAAAGATATTGTTGGGTGGTGGCAGGGGGAAGAGGAGGCGTTGTGTGACAGGCATGGAATTTCAGTTGTGCAAGACCACCCTGTGAAGCACCAAACTACACACATAAAAACAGTTACAATGGTAAATTTTGTTACATATTTTTACCACCACAACAAAGAAGAAATAATGCCTGCTAGTGATCAGAGCTATGAAGAAAAGTAAGCAAAGTTAGGGGAAGAGAATGGCAGTTCTGAGAGAGGTGGTGGCTGCAGGGTGGATGGCCAGGAAGGGGTGCTTGGAGAAGAGGAGTGAGGTGAGAGGTGGGCACAGGGCTGGCTCTCTGGGGAAAGGGATTACAGGCAGAGGGAGTAGCAAGTGCAAAGGCCCTGAGGTAAGAATGTTCTCAGGGCCTGGTGCTGTATCTCAAGTCTGTAATTCTAGCTACTTGGAGGCAAAGATTGGGAAGATCGCAGTTCGAGGCCGGTTCAGGCAAAAAGTTCATGAGACCCTATCTCAACCAATGGCTGGATGCAGTGGTACATGCTACCATCATGTACAGCTATGTGGGGAAGCACAAACAGGATCACAGTCCAGGCCAGCCTGAGCATAAAGCAAGACCCTATCTCCAAAGTAACCAGTGCAAAAAGGATTGGCTGGGTGGTTCAAGCGGTAGAGAACCTGTCTAACAAGCATGAGGGCCCTGAGTTCAAACTCCAGTACTGCCAAAAAAAAAAATGCTTTCAGTGTACGAGAAGGCCTGTGTGGCTGGAACATGAGCGAGGGGTGGTCGGGGAGGCAGGCAGAGATCAGCACGTGCTGATGATGTGATGGGAGTCCCCAGGAACAGAGAGATAGGACGTGACATGACACATGCAGTCACCAATATCATCATCCTCCCCTCTCAAGCTGCAATGACCAGCAACAAGCTAAGCCTTCTCCCAGAGGATTGCATGGGCAATCACCCCTTCTGTCTCATTCTGCCTGCTTAAGGGCTTCCAGGAAGAATCCATGGATTCTGGGAGTCAGGACCCCAAGAGAACCACAAAAGGGCTGTCCAGAAGCCCCAGGCCATCAAAAACCCTGCTGAAAGCCAATTCTTTAGCACCCCCCCAAAGGAAAGAGGTGTCTGCAATCACACCCAAGAATGGGATTTAAATGAACCCTTTGCTCTGCATGAGCTAAAGGGAAATGAATGACTGTCCCAGCCAGCTTAGCACAAACACCTCAAAAATACATCAGCACCCAGGAGGCAGAATTGCCACACACTTGCCAGGTGAGGAAACTGGGGCTCAGAGATGGAAAGAAACTTTCCTGAAGCCAGCTTTCTGGGGGCAGCACCAAGATGGTGCCCTGGACCACCAAAGCACTCCAGCTGAGGCTGCCTGGAAGAGTCACAGGACCACCCAAGGAAAGACCTCACACATACAGACACCCCTCCCTGGGACAGCTCTCAGGCCACTGCAACAACTGGGAGTCAAGGTCAGTCCCAGAACCCGGGAGTATCTGAGTTGAGAGAGACCTGAGACATTAGGTCAACAACCTCCTTTCTCACTAGGCAGACGGAGAAACTGAGGTACAAAGTGGGGAGAAGACTGGGCCTAAGGTAACTCAGGAAGTGACAGCCAGGCTTAAAGTGTTCCCCGGGACTCATCCTGGGCCAGGCTTTATCCAGGAGACCACAGGCTCCAGATCTGTTGACCTCAAAGGACCTTGAACTTGGCCATGAACACTGTTTCTCCCCGGCTGGCAGGGAGCAGCACAGTGGGAGCTGGGGTAAGAGGGGAGAGAGAGACCTGGCAGCAGTGTTTACCAAGTTGGGGCCAGCAAATAGCTTCAAATGACAGGGCCCAGGGCTCACAGGACCCTAGACCATTATCTTCTCCAGGCCCATCAATTATGGGGTGGACACTGACCGCAAGGTGGACCTGTGGGCAGTGATTTCCTCATTGTGATGGGTGCCTGGCAGGTCTTTGGGGGCAGGGAAGGCTTCCGGGAATCTCCAGGGACCACAGCGTCTGCAAGGGGCCTCCGGCTGCAGGCAGGCGGGGCTCCGCAGGACCCGTGTTTATAATAGCACGCGGTCTCTATTTTGGTTTGGGAGCCAGATTAATCATTGCTTACAATGCACAAGGAGAAACCAGACATCACCTCACTGTTGCTACAGACAGTTGCCCCATCCATCCCTCGGGATACTGTTTGGGCTTTGGGCAAGGAGGGAGGTGGTCCTGTCCTTGCCTGGGGGTCCTGACACCGCTGCATGTTCAGACCTCAGCTGCTCCCCCTCAGCCTGTGCAAGGCCTCAGATTTTCTGGTCGTGCAACAGACTCACCAATCCTGTTTAGCACCTGCATCTTCCTGATGAACTCACCTCCCACCCTGCAGCCCTCGTCCCATCCAGGCAGTTGGCAGGACAGAGGGTCAAAGAGGAAGGAAGACACCTGGAGGGAGAGTGATTTAGGAAGTGACAGCACACAAGTCTCTGCACCTCTCTGGGCCTCAGTTTCCCCAGTTGGCCTCTGGACATGTCCTACTGGCTCAGAAATTGCAGATTCTGAAACTGTCTAGAAGCGCAGTGCACCATGGCCCAGCCAGCAGCTGACACTGGATTCTGCTTGGTGGAAACTTGTGACCAAACAGAGAAGGAAGGTCTCTTTTCTGCACAGATCATTCATTCATCCAGTTATTCGTTCATTCAACAAACCTTTGTGGAATCCCAACCAGGACCAAGGCCCCTCACAGCAGGCATTAAGAAATGCAGAGAACAACAACAACTAAAAAAACCCCTCACTCCCTACCTTCTAGAAGCAGGTGAAGGCATTATAGTGGGGCAAAGGGGAAGAACAGGGAAGAGATGTAGACATAGGTGCTGGGATGGGGGTGCGGGAGAAGCTGTATACTTAGGCTGGAAGGGGAAGCAGAGCAGGGTAGGAGAGATGGGACAGGATACAGCAGGAATGGACCATAGGAACCCAGAGCTGCTCAGCTAAGCCAGAGCTAAGCCTCCTAATCCTGGAGGATGGTCTTCCTAGGGACTCTATGGACCTGGAGGTCGCACACTCAAAAGAACTGGCACGTGCAGGGATAGAGGGGCTGCCCTCAGTTGGCAGCCTCACTCTGAGGCTCTGTCCTCTGTCCTCTCACTGTGTCCCAGCTTCCCACACACGGTGGCCAACTCAGGTGGCAACGACAGCCAAGGGAAAGCCAGGCTGCAAAGTGAGCCGATGAGTTCCAATCTGAGTACCAATTTCCTTCCATTAGTCACATCTACCTGGGGCGATGCATTAAGGAAGATTCGGGGAGTAGAGCAGGGCTGATTGGGGATGTCTGCCAGAGGGAGGGGAAAGAGAGAAGGGAGGGATGCAGTGGTGTGCCCTGTGCTGTGCCTAGCCCCAGATGGGGAAAGGGGAAACAAAGATGGCCAGGTGAGGTTCTGTCTGCTGCACACTTGCTCTAGTGGGAGAAAGGTACTGTGGGCACCCGTGAGTTGCCCACTAGCCAAAAAGCATGGAGTTCCACAGAGCCTGAGAAAAATGGGCTGGAAGGTCAGGGAAGCAAGCATGCCTGCTGCCTGGATGAGCTGGGGAAGATGGCTTTGGAGAGGAGAAGCAAGGGACAGGTAAGTGATGATGGACACAGAGGACAGGGCACACCAGGGTGCACAGCAGAAGCAGACGCATGAGTTAGGAAGAGCCAGGCACAGACTTGCATGGAGTGAAGAATCCACTCAACCATGATACTGGACTGAATATGCGCTCCTTGGGGTGGGGGTGGGGAGCTGTCTTGTAGGATCTTAGCAGCATCTCTGCCTTCTGCCCCCACCCCACCCCTCCCAGGAGCCACAACCAAATGTCTGCAGATGTCGCTAACTGTTCCCAGCGCAGAATCATCCCATTGAGAAGCACTGGTCACAGCGGACAGAGCAGCAGGGTCAAACCAGACAGCTCCCGGGAGGTGGCGGTCCTGGCAGTTAACTGGCAACTAGACTTTCTCCAGCAGCTTCTCCTGCGTTAAGTATGTATGGCGTGTCTGCCATAAGTCAGTCCCAGGCTGGGCAGTGGGGCTATCACGTCTCATTTACCCTCCCATTCATTTCCTGGGTCACTGAGGCTCAGTGCATGGAGGCGATTTGCCCACAGCTGCAGAGAGATAGAGCTAGGGCTCCCTCCAGGCCCACCTGAAATGACAGAGCCCTTGTCTACCTCGGTGGAGTCTCTCTTGGCTGGAAAGCCATTTCAGTCAACTTTGTGAGGAAAGGGTCTGAGGATCCAAAGACCTGGGTTTGAATTCTAAGTCTGTTGCTTAGCAACCCATGAACAATATTTCCATTAGGCCAGTGGCTCTCAGTCTTGGCTGCATGTGAGCATCACCTGGAGAGCTCCTGATGCCTGGACCCCAACTGCAGTCCAGAGTCCCCACAGAGGGGCCCCAGTTCCACAGCTGCTCCGAACACATGACAGGGATGGAGACTGCCACTGCAGGGTACAACACTCTCCCCACCCCCCAGCCCTCAATGATCTCACTTTTCACTTAACACCGCAGTCAGCTCAGGAACTAGTACCTGGGTCCATACCTACTGAATGACTGGAAGAGTGAGTGAGTCCTCAGTCTTCCCAGCTACAAAATGGGCACAAGCCTGCCTAACTCTCAGAGGCTGTTGTGAGGGGACAATGAGGAGGGACAGTCATCCTTTCTGCTGCCTCTGACTGCCACCCCATTTTCCATCAGAGCCATTCCAAACAGAGCCCCTTTGCTCCTACCCACACAGCCTTTGGCCTCTTGCCACACACCTGTTTTTTTTTACTGTTTTTCTTCTTATTGACTGTCTGCCCCACAAGGAGGCCAGCTCTGTAAGGCAGAGTTTTGTCTATTTGTGCAACTCAGTGCCTTGTACATAGTAGGAATTCAATACATTCTCACTGAATCAATGAAGAAACTGCAAGGGTTATGGGTGTCATCTTGCAGTGACCCCCAAATCCAGTGCCTTGAAGACCAATGACAGATAGGGCTTCACCTGGCACTCACCACATCCCTTCTCCCCAGGAAAAGCAAACCTGGGGAGAGGCAAGGTGGCCACTGTGGAAAGAAGGACACTTCTAGGGATGAGTCCAGACAAGTGCCCATGCCACTCTCTACCCAGCACCCTCTGTGAGTGGGTGGCACCAGCTTGTTGTTGACCACACTGCTGCATGCGTGTTTGCCTGGACCAGAGCCAGAGGGACGCTCTGAGTAAGTGGCTTTGTCAATGGTTTCCAGCACATGGAGGCTCCTCCTGAGCTTAGAAAAGATGCCTGTCCCTGCTCAGGTGAGCTGGGTCCTTTGGCTCAGGGCTCTCAGCCTCTCTGGCTATCTGCTGAGTGTAGGGAGTCCCAGACCCTCAGGCAGGAGCTGGTCCAGGTCTGTTTTTCACATCTCCCACTACTTCGGCTGGATTCCCACCCCATGCAGAGCGAGACCACCACAGGCTGCTTTACGAGCTGGGACTGGAAGGAGCCTTTTCCAGTCACACCTCATCCATCAGCAAGTGCCGGAGCCCAGAGGAGAAGTGAGTGGGGAGCCCTTCACCGCACCAGGAAAGACCACATTTCCCTGCTTGCAGACAGCCATAGCCTCCTGTCTGGGGCTGGTCTCTGAGATCTGGAAAGTAGAGGAGAAGGTGATAGATGCCCACATCCCTCCAAGTCCCCTGGTGTCATGGGGACCCTTGGAGCAGGGACAGGATGGAGCCAGGTAATCCCACAGTAGTCCAGATGAGAACCAGATGGGCCAGAGAGCAGGCAGCTAGGGCCACAGCTGGGAGCCAGGGTGGACGCTCAAGACATGGCCTAGGCCTATGTGTCTTCTGAACAAGTCATCCATCGACAGTGGGGGATTGACCTTTGGCCTCAATTGTCCTTTATTTCCTGAACACCTGCTGGAGCAGGCCGTGTGCTAGGCTCAGTAGGATAGCCACAAGCCCTGTGTGAACACCTGGCTGGTGAGGCAGGACTTGGGGCTAAAAATAATTGAGCTAAGCTGGGCCAAAGTGTCCCTAAGCAGGTGGTAGCTGACGGCCTGGAGGCAGGAGGGCTTCCAGGAGGAGGCACAAGAATAGAGTCCTAAAGAATGGGAGATGCTGACTGGAGAAATTAGAAAAGAAAGAGGAAAATGGCAGGCTCTCCCACCCCTGACACAGGATCTAAGAGACCCAGAACTGCTGAAGAGCGGGTGGAGACAGGCCAGTTTGTCAACCCACAGGGATGTATAGAGAACAAGTGGCCTCCACAGGGCACACCCTTCCCCTGCAGCACATCAGCCAGAGGCAAAGATCAGACTCAGAATAGCTACCAACTTGCCCAAGGTCACCTGACCAGCAGATGTCAAAGGAAGGCAGAACAGAATACACTCCCTCTGCTCTCTGCCCCAGGCCCTGGCTGTGAGGGTCAGGGAGGGGTCACTATCCCCTCATCACTAGGAGGGAATGCTCTGCTCAGACCCAAGGCCACCCAGCCATGGGCGGCAGAGCAGGACCACCATACCCTCGATAGCTCTGCAGACAATGCTCTCCACCACCTCAAGCATCCTTAGGGGTGGCCTCCCCAGGAATCACAGCAAGCCAGGGCCACTTCCTGTCATACTTCACTATCCATGGGGATTGGGGAGGACATCACTTCACGCCAAGGTGCCCCTGCCCCCAGCAAGCCCAGTGCTCAGAAACCTCCCACCTCCACCAGTGTGCCCTGTGACCAGAAGAGCCAGGCTGGGCCAGGGACAGTGCTTGCTGGCAAGCCCACAGGTAAGGCCACACTGCACAGCCAAGACATACCTTCCGTCCTCGAGGTCCTGGATTTCCGGAGAGCCCAGGCAAGCCCATGTTGCCCTGGAAGACACAGACAAGGGAGTGAGACAGGGATAGGACAGAGATACTCACTAAATTGCAAGGGTGACTTCCGATGGCTGGTTGTCTCCAGCTACTCATGGAGAAGTCTCAGCGACCCAGGGGCTACGGAGCAGGGTGAGAGGGGAGTGGGTGGAGTCCCTGGTCCCCTGCCCCATCAACGCACTAGTTCCATTTGACCTTTATATAGTGGGCTTCAGCAGAAGCCACTGTCGCAGAGTGTGTTCCGATGCTAAAACCATGGTTTCAATGACACTCCAGTTGGCAAGCATCTGTCTCATACCAGTCCATTCTCCCCTGCATTTCCAAGACACCTCCCCATGAAGGCCGGGCATAGTGGTCACCAAGTAGGAGGCATTTCTGTTACTACCAGGAAACCTGTGAGCAAGCCAGGTAAGAGGAAGGGAAAGGCCCAGCCCTTAAGCACAAGACTCATTCCTCACTTGCCAGGTGGGTGGCCTCCCACAAGCCACCCCATCTTGTCTGCAAGCTGGGCCCAGTGCCCTGACTTGTAAGTCCACGAAGAGGATCGGACCAGAGTGTGGGTGGGTACTGTCCAGGACCCTAAGCTGTGTTTGCTGAATGAAGACACTCCGAAGTGAGGGTGTAAAGCAGCGAGCCTCCCATGACTTGGGGAAATCATGGCAGTCTAGCTGCGAGATGGCTCTTGGACTCTGTCCAGAGGGAAGTCAGGCAGACTCAAGCTGCCCTTTCAGCTCATATGCATGAGATGCAAGATGAGCTCGCCCACAGCTCCAGGGTTCCCCATTCCCCTCTGTCCCACCCTCTTGCCAAGTCTCCCGCTCAGTTACAGGGTGGACACCTTGGGACGCTGGCCCAAGTGTCTTCTCCCCGACAAGCAGAACATTTGGCCTTGTCGCTGTGGGAGTGAGGGAGCTCTGCCTGTCTGGCCAGTTCCTGTGCCGCGTTCTAGAAGCCCTAGTCCTTCCCGGGTTAACGGCCTGGAGGTGGGGGCTTTGAGTGTCTGTTGGAAGCTAGCTTCCTGGGCACGGCTGCCAAGAAACCTCTGGACGCCTGCATCATGTAGCATAGCAGGCCCTGCAGAAAATCATGCAGGGAATCAGTTGAGAGGACACTCACCAAGGTGTATCCATAGGCAAAATATTTTCTCAGTCTGTGTGTAGCCCAGGAAGAAGGACTGGGAATGGCCCTCGGCTTGGGATTGGGACAGGTCAAAGGACTTCAAGGAAAAACCAAGCCACACTTGACCTTGTCTAGACTTCCCCACATCCCTGCTTTTGCCACAGATAGCATCTGCCAGGGCAGCTCCCCTGGATGGGGTCACTTCGGCCCACTCCCGCTTTTCCCTGGGCTCTGGGGTCCCTGGAACCTACCTTTGCTCCATCGTGGGCCTGGCCTGGTGAGAGCCCTGGGTCCCCTTTCTGTCCCTGAAACAAAAACAATCCCACTTTGGCTACCAAGGCATCAGAAAGTATGTCTCCCCACAGAGTTGCTCACAGCCCTGTTCCCGTTTCAGTGCCTCCCCACCCACCCACAACACCTCCCACAGGGGTCTTCAATTCCATTACTCCCACACTCCAACACCTTCCATAGCTCCCCACTGACTGCAAGAAGACCAAATGCCACCTTCTAGTGTCCCAAATCTTTTGTAATTTGGCTCTAGCCCTCCAGACTAAACTCTGTTCTCCTGCCACAAGCCAAGCCCACAGTGAGGGTTTCTCGGCTCTGTCACTAGACTAAAGTGCTCTTCGGCTGTGGCCTACACTGTCCTGCCACCAGGCCTTGCTCTGGCAGTCAGTCTACCTGGAAAACCTGCCAGTCATCAGGCATATTCTTCATGATGCTGCTGAATGTACCCCCCTCCCCCCAGCCAAGTGCAGAGTTCTGGGCCACCACACAGGTGACCAGTCTAGCCGTGTGTGTTGCCAGAACTGTCTCTTGCCTCTCCCCTGGGCTCTCAGAGGGTTTCTGAGAGACGCTTTCCAGAAGGCTGACCTTGGTCAGCTTGCTCCCTAATTCTGTGGGTCAAGGTGCTGCCAGCCACTCGTCTGTGCACGGCCCTCCACAGCTCGCCTCACTATGACCCATGCTGGTGGACAGAATGGGCAAGGAAATGTGATCAGCTCTGTAATGCATTTGCAGAAACTGAGGCCAGGAGCAGGACTGCCTGAGGTCCCTGCCATGTCACCAGCAGCAATGAGACTGGAACTTGAACTGAGACACCAGGCCTATATTCTGGGACGTGCTGCAGCCCAGCACATTGGACTAGGCAGCAAATTGGAGAGAAAACAACAAGTACCGAGTCCTCAGTCAGGCAAGCACTCTGTGCCTCCCACACAGGAGGGTCTTGTCATGAGGATCCTGACCAGAGAGTCTGAGTACAGGTCACAGAGTTCACCAGTACATCTCCCATGGGACCAAAAGGAGTACCCTAGCCTGTGGCCCCTCATTTCACAGACCCTATCAAATTACTCAGGAAGTAGTCCCTTGAGAAGTTGATCTACCTTGATATTACCTTCTAAAAGCTCCCAACCCCCTTCTCCACCCCCCTTTTCTTAAGCTCTCACCCCCTTGCCTCAGGAGGCCCAGAGTCAGAAGTCCTGGGGAGAGCCTTGAACCTTCCATGGACTCACAGTGGGATCTTGGGTGAGGACTTCACCTCTCAGCCTTGGTTTCCTCACTTTGAGAAGGGGGATGCATACACACACGCACACACACACATACGTGCACACACGTGCACATACGCACATGCACACGCACAAGTTTCTAGGCAGGGGCCAGAGGATAATGACCACAGCACACGGGAAGGGTGTCTTGGCTGGCTTTATTGACTTCCCATTTGATTCTTCTGCTCATCAGAACTCAGACCTTCCAAATCTTGACTCAGTTGTTCTCCACTGAACTGGACAGAGACCCCCAGAGGGAAAGGAATGGCCTTACATGCTCACCTACTATGCACACCGTTATGCATGTGCTTTGTGCCAGCACACTTTTTCCAGTGAAGGAAAAGGGACTGGGGTTCAGAGAAGCCAGTCACAGCCTGGCCAGACGTGGCAGATGAGAGGCAGAACCTGCTAGGTCCCCAGGTTGCCTGACTGCAAAGCTGTCATCCAAGAATGGTGAGCCTGAAGACTTCTCCCATACCCATCCCTGCCTCTCACCGCAGCTCCAGCCCTCCAGCCAGCTGCCTCAGGTTGAAGGCCAGCCCTTCCTTGTTAGACCACCAGGACCCTAACTCTGTCTGCCTGAGCCCCTTCAGGTCATTTCTGCAGACCCCACCTCTAGGACCCACCTAGCACTGCGTCTGCGCCTCACAGACACTCTTCCTGCCTGCGGCTGCTCACAAGCCCAATGCCATGCCTTTTATGTCCACGGTGTGGCCAGACCCAGGCTAACAAGGATTCCCATGGCCAAAAAAGGATGAAGTTTCTCCTCACCCTGCCCATGCCCACCTCGGTCCACAGTGACAGAGGAGCTAGCATAGAAAGCTTGAAGGGGTGCGTCTTTGTGTCCCTTACTCTGTCATTTTACAAAGTGAGAGAATGAGACCCAAAGAGATGACAGTCTTGGTCCCTGGCCTGGGGTCCTTAATGGGGGCATTTTAGATATTTATGGGTTTCTCTCTGCATTCCCAACAGCCACCACAGTGCTTGGGGCATCATAACTGCCCAAGGATATTAGCAAAGACAGACATTTATTGAATATCTATAGCAAGCCAAGTTTGGTGATGAATGCCATGGCAAAAAACAAAACAGAGCTCATGCCCCCAGGAAACTCACCAGAGAAACCAGACAGACCAATAATGATAATAGCACTAGCATTTACTGAGTGCTCCTACACGTGTATCAGATCACTTAATCCTCTAAGTTTATGGGGTAGCAACGACCATGATCCCTATTATACAGAAGAGAAAACTAAGGCAGAAGCAATGATATGTCACTGTCCAAGGTCAGACAGTTAGTAAGCGGGATTTAGATGCAGGAAGTCTGGTTCCAGAGCTCAAGCTCTTCACATTTCAGCACACAGCAGTAAAAAGCTATGCTCCAGTGATAAGTGGAGGACAGGAGGAGACTGGGCAGAGCTTCACCCAGATGTAAGTAAATCCCTGAAAGGAGACACAGCTAAGCTGAGGCTGGAAGAAGACAAGGAGGACCAGAGGGAGGTGAAGCTCAACAGATGCTCAAGGTAACCCTGATTGGGTGAAGGGTGGCTTCTAGGGTGGAGAAGACTATGTCTTCCTAGTTAGACTCCTGCAAATGCTTCAGTGAGAGGTAAGAATATATGAAATTGAGCAAATCATTTTATGCCTTGGTGAGGACAAGAATCTATCTAATCCTTAGATTGAGTTTTACAGCCAGCAAGCCAGTATGACCTCAAGCAAACAAACCATGGCTCTGTGTGCCTGGGGAATTTGGACTCTGTCTGGACAAATTCCCAGAGCCTATGGGACTAAGACTGTGAGAAGGTAAAGTTTGAATTTCAAGTGCTAAAGACACAGTGGGAGTGGGAACTGTGTTAGGTCCATTTGCAGGTAGGGTTGAGAGATGAGAGAACAGAGGGTGCTAGATAGCTGAGGCCCAGAGAGGGGCTGAGACAAAGGAAGACTGAATCACAAAGCTTTGGAAATTCTAAACTGGAAGCTTCCTATATGAGTTATCTCTGACCAAGTACCCAGTACAGGGGCTGGTCCACAGGAGGAATCATGAAGTAGTTCACAAAGAAGCAATCAGAATTTCAAGAGTCAGTGGTAGGGTTGGAATTGGATCACATCTGGCCCAGTCCTGGAACTTCCTCTGAAGATTCCTACTATCACTACTACTATTTCATGAGTTTAGAAGGTATGGCCAATGCAATAAGGCAGGAAAAACAAATAAGAGCTATTGGCTCTTTGAGGAGAAAAGGACAAAAGTATGTTCTTTGCAAACCACATGAATGCCTGACTTGAATATTTAGCAGAACTAACTGAAATACTAAAAGAACTAATAAGATAATTCAGTAAAGGGGATAGTCAAAAATTAAACACAAAAATACAAAAATCAAGTCCTCCTCAATAGCTGAGAGCTAGCTAGAAAATATAATACAGTAGGATATTCTAACCATAACAGCAACAGAAATACAAAATTTCTAAGTATAAACTGAATAAGAAACATGCAGGAATTGTGCAATTAACAAAATATAAAAGTTTACTAAGAGATATCTGAAAACCTCCACCAAATGGGAATACATACCAAGTGCATAGATAGGAAAACTTAATATTTTAAAGATGTTAATTCTTCACAAATTAAAATACACACTTAGTATAATTCCAACAAAAATCCTGAGAGATTTTTTTAAGGAAATTAAGACAGCCATAAAGTTCATCTAACAACAACAAAAAAAAATACAAATACTTTAAAAGAGGAGAAGAGGGGAGACATACAGTCCAAAGACAGTAAATGTCATGTAAAATAGTATTTTACCAGCATGCAAATTCACAGACAGAGCAATAAAACATGGAACAGTCTGAAATCAATTTAATAATCACTGGAGACAAGGTTGTTTAATAAGTGGTTAACAATTAGGGGAAATAATGTTAGAGTCCTACTTCATATCCCATCTCTGTTAAGATTCATTCCAGATGGTTTGAAATTTTTAAGAGTACAAATGATATTATGAGATGAGTGGGTGTAAAAGTGAAGATACAGCTAATCTGAATATGGGAAAGAAACTTCCAAGTGTAAAAACAAAACAGGACGGAGGGTGCAGCTCAGTGGTAGAGCACATGTTTAGCACACATGGGGGCCTAGGTTCAAATCCCAGCACTAAAAAAAAAAACCCACACACACAAGGAAAAGAACCATGAGTTTTACCTAATGGTAATGCCCTCCCAAATTTTTGGTCATAAGTTTCTAAAAAGTGTTAGCTATTATTGTTAGTTAAAAACAAATGATTACAATTCCATTTTGTGAAAATCGACCTGAATATTCTTTTTTTGTTTTTGGTGTTTTGGGGGGAGGTACTGGGCTTTGAACTCAGGGCCTCATGCTTGCTAAGCAGGCAGTCTACCACTTGAGCCACCCCACCAGCTCCCTGAATATTCTTAAAAAAGAAACAGCAAGCTAGAAAAATAACTTCTAAGTTAGGTGACTCTTTAACAACCTTATAAATTAGAACAAGTCAATGACAAATGACAGTATCCCAACCTCCAAAATAAACCAATCTGTAATGGTGAGGTACAAATGAAAACAGATGTAAGAACATTCACCTCACAGATGATCAGTGAAGTAAAAACAATAACAAATTATCTTCTCTTAATTATCTTCTAATGCCAGCAGTAGCATGAATTGGTCCAACCTTTCTAGAAGGCAGCTGCTAACAAAAGACTACCTAGACACTCATGTAGCTTTTATGTGGACAGCATGTTATCAATTATTCATACACGTTTGCAAGTATATGCATGTATATTTTTAGTATATATAAAAACACACACAGTTTAATCCTCAGAACAATCCTCTCCTCATCCACATTTTATAAAAGTAGAAGCTGAGGTCCTGGAGTTTAAGTAACTTCTCCAAGATCATAGACCCAGCAAATGGTAGAGCCAAGATTCAAACCGAGCCTAGCTCCTAAGTCCATGCTGGCAGTTTTATTTTTATGAATTTATCCTAATGAAATAATTAGATCTCCCAACACTTACGCAGAACTACGCTCTTCAAGCTATACTGTACAATACTGTATATTAGAAAAAAATGGTTTAAACGGAAGGAAACTGGTCATAGGAAGTATGGGATATCGGTGCTGGTCAGGCGCCAGGCAGCCACTCAAACACATGTGCCGAGTGAAGATAACGACAGGAAGCACTCACGGTGAATGTCAAGTGCAGCAGGCCAGACAGCAGCCTCGGTGAGTGAACTCACGTCACATAAACAACACACGTGGGAGGAACCAGAGGAGCAAGAGGCTGATGTACCCTGCGGCTCAACAGACAGGATTCACTGGCTACACTGGATGCTAGCTTGGCCTCCTACGAGAACCGTGATCCCGGGCCAGTTCTGTAGCCACTTTTGGACCTCGGTTCCTTCCTCCATAAAATGCTCTACATACTGTCTACAGCTCTCTGCCAGAGCCTGGCCCACAGCTGCTCAAAACATTCTCCCTGGGCTTATCCCTGGACAGGGCCACTGCAGGTGGCTTACTTTCTTCTGGATACCTTCTGGACTTTTCTATGCCTTCCTTAATGAGCATGTCCCCTTCAGTCATCATTGGAAGGGGAATGGGAAGTTGGAGTCTGAGGCTGGACAACTGCATAGGGCTGTCTCCAGCCTAGTTCCACCAGCTCTGCCAGCCATCACCTGAGTCCTACCCATCCGTCCCCCACCTGTTGTCCCTGGCCCACAGTAATCCTGGCTAAGGGAGCCTCACCTATCTGACCCCCCAGCTCCATTCTTGCCCCAGGGCCCACCCTCTCACTGACTCCACCCTGGTGGGTACCAGCACCCCATAGGCCTCAGGCCAAGCCCTACTTCTCAGGCAGCCAAGTGACGTTTGGGAAACTCTCCTGACCATGTCTCCTCTGCCAAGGTCCTTTCTGTGTCTTCCTGCTGCTCCTTGAGTAAAACCCCCCAATTTCCCAGGCCTGCTACCCACTCCAGCCTCCTCTTGGCCCTTGGACTCATTTTCCATCACCCTGCAGGCCCCAGTTCAACCTCTCGCAAGGTGTCCTCGAGCCCCAGGCCAGGTCAATCACATTTTGTGAGGTCTCTGAGCAGGCCACACCTTGCACACGGAGCCCATGGTGTAACTCTGCATTTTCTAGTGCAATTGGCTTGTTTTCTTTCTCGCTGGCCTTTGCACCCCTCAGGGGCAGGGACTATGCCAGTCTGTGCCCCTTATAGAGCCAGAGAATATCATGGGCTACAGCCCTGCCAATGCAGACAATTCAATAGTTCTTCACAACAACTTGAATGACAGTTGCTCATATTACTCCACTTTCTGGATGAGAAAACCGCAGCATGGGGAATTAAAATAATTTGCCCACAATCACCAAATGAGGTGACCAAGCTGGGATTTGAACTTAGGCTATAGAGCTCCAGAGTCTGTGTTCTAAACCTCTGCACTTTCCTGAAGAAACAATGATATTTTGATAAATAAATAAATCCTCCATCTTGAGCCACTGAGAGTAGCCAGCTCTGCCCTCCCAGGATACAGCTTTTCGGCCTCACTCTCAGAATCCTTGACCTCAGCCTCCTAGTAGAAGTTCATGAGTCCCCTTCCTCCTGGAGTAAGGCTACACAGTGGTGAGCTGACCAAAGACAGGCTCCATGCCACCAGGGCTGTCAACAGCACACAGTAAGTACTCAATGAGTCACAGAGGATGAATAGGTGGGTGGCCCCAGAGACACAGCTCTGCAAGCCAACACCATACTGGAAGAAGAGGACCCAGCACAGGGCCTGAGGAAGACCAGCCCTATCATCCAAGGTCATCCCCCAGGTCCAAAGGGGCTCTGGTGTGCAGTGAGGGCCCTTTCCACACAATCCCACCCATTCTTGCAGGTACACACCCTTCTCACTCAGTCTCAGTGAAGCCACCAATTGTATCCAGAGGGAGCCTCTCTCTTAACCCTGTCCTGGCCATGCCACCTGAGAGCAAAGACAACCCAACCAGCTGGTGTGCCCTAGGGCCACTCCTGCACACAGTCAAGTGTCACAGAGGCAAAGGTCATGACCTCTGTCTTGATCCCCTTGGTGTCCCCAAGGGAGAAGCAGCCTGTGCTTGCCACGCATTCTCAGGAACTCACACCCTCTTCTGTTACTCACAGACTGCTGCACACTCATTCACTCTCTGCATGGCCGGCCGCCAGGCAATGAATGGCTTGCATTAAGCCTCTTGGCCTTTGCAGTTAGGTTAGAGAACGACCCTGGGACTCATCCAGCCAAGCTGGAGTCTTGTCCCCGAAGCTGAGGCCACAGATCCCAGCTCCACGTGGTATGAGGACTGACCTGCTAGGAGCCAGCCTCAGTCTTACACCCAGAGCTGCTTTTCCAAATGGGCACACCACGGCACATGTTAGCAGGATGGGGGCAGGCTGCTGTGAGCCTAGCATGGAGGCGTGCAGTGCTCAGAGAGCAAGCAGGGCAGCAGAGGACAGGGGAGCTGACGGAGTGCCTACTGCCCTGGAAGCAAGGGTCAGTCAGGAGGGAACAGGCCCAACCTAGATCATGCCAAGAAGAGGAAATATGGCACTTCAAACAACTGCGGTTCCCAGCATTTTGATGTGCCCAAGGGCTCTGCAAAGCAGAAATCTCCAAAAGAGCCCCGTTTCTGCCTGACCTATGGGGACCAATTGCTAGGTAGGGTCTTAAACTGTCAGTGCCTCAGTTTTCCCACCGGTAAATGGGTGCAGTAACCCTACACCCATCTCTGGGTTTTTAACTATTCTCCACCTGACACCTCTACTCCTGCTCTAGCTCAGAGCACTCCTGAGTTTCAGATGTCTCTCCATGAATGACCTCCACTTGGCTGTACTAGAGCTTCAGGGCTCATGACTCAGGTCAACACCAGAGAGTCTCTATCTCCCTCCCATCTCCGCCCTCTCTCCCATGCCCTAAGCTGACCAGATCCTCCCCTCCACCCTCCCTTCTCTCCATATCACCCTTGTCCCCACCCCAGTCCATCCTGCACATGGCATCCATTGATATACAACTGTCACTTCCCCAGATGCTTCTTACAGCCTGGCAAACCTTATGTCTTCAGTTTGATATCCCAGGCTCTTCTATGTAGCACCAGCTTGTCTTTCTGCTTATGCCTCTTTGAGGACTCCACAGCCAGCTACCCTTCTCCCACATCTCTCCTAACTGGAAGCCAAAGTCAGGACTCCTCGCTGTGCCTCCTGCCCCAGGAATGGACTGAGCACAGGGAAGGAGCTCAGGAAGCCTCTGGCCACAAAGACTCTAAAACCCCTCCCCCACTCCCACCCGCAGGCCACGCCTCCAGGCACAATACTCACTTTGGCTCCAGGAGGCCCGGGCAGGCCTGGGTTTCCATATGGTCCAGGAGGACCCTGAAGAGGAAGAGGAAGGAAAGGTGAGAGATAGTAAGAGTGAGCCGTCCCACTTCGAAAATAGCCAGAGCAACTCCTTTCTTCTCCTCACCAGTTGGCTACTCCTCCTCCTATGAGGAGACCCCTGGTTCCTGGGCCTGCTCGAGTGGTTTCCATACTTCCCTTCTTTCATCCATCAGTTATCCCTATTTTGAAGAGGTTTTTAACTATCTCTGCTAAGGGACAGGACTGACCTTGACTCTGAATGTGTCTGACCTCAGGGCAAGCCCTTTACCCTGAATTGCATGGCCTCTCCACACTCCTCCTGGCCCCATCAGCCCTTCCCAGCTTCCTGGGAACTGGGCTGTCCTTCCACTGTCCTTAGCTATTCGCTTCTCTCCAACCTGCTGATACCTTTTCTCCTTGCACCTGGACCCATACTGTTCTTGTCATCCAACAGGCCTTACCTGAAACCAGCCCTATCCTTCAAGGCCTGGCTCACAGGCTACCTCATCCAGGGAAATTTCTAGGACTGCCCCAGCCTAAAGGTGACTCTGCACCCTTTGGATCCTACCGGATGCTGCAGGTGCCTTTGGAGTGGAGAACTCATGGAAGGGAGGGTGTGGCCCCTTGTGGATGCAAGCGTGCTTCCTGTGGCCATGGCATTTGGACAACAGCCTCTTAGACTACAGTCTCTGTGCTGTACAGACTCCAGACACCATGGAGCAGCTGAGATGGCTGCACTAAGAGAGTCCAAGGGTCTCAGCCAAGGTTGCCCAGCAGAGTTATGGCCAAGGACAGCAGGGTCTCGGGATGCTGTATCAAATCCGGTTTATTCATCCCAGACCACCTCCAAATCCCTTCCAACAGCTGGTGCTTGTCATGTCCACTTTCTCCAGCAAGCGCCTACTGCAATCTTCCAGCCCAGCAATGCAATTCCTTGGAGGCATCTCGTACCCAAGCATCTTTGCCCAGCTGCAATATTCCGGGGCACCTAGAGGAGTTCACTGGCCCCCACTCCCACCAGCCTCTCAACACAGCCTCATCCCAGCCGCTCTTGGCTCATCAGCCAGCTCTGTATGAAGCTGCTTCCTTCCTCCTCTCCGAGGCCAACCTTCCAGCTGCAGCTTGTCACATTCCACCCAAGGCACCTCCTTCTTCCTCGATGCCTAAGTGGAGACCGTCCCCTTTTCCAACGCATCAGGAAGAAGTAGTGTCCAGAGTGTACTCAGACTGGGGAATTTATAGGTGCCACTTGTGACTCTCCTAAATTTATCGGCCCTCCTGCCGCCCTCCCAGGAGGCCACTGAACACTGTCTCCTGGCACAGGAGTGGAGCCTGATGTGTCAGGACCTGGCTAGGTTCTAAGTCTCAACCTGCAAATCCCCTCCACCAGCTTCAGTCTCTCCTCATCTATCCTGTGAATGACTGGGACCCAGTAGTCTCTAAGGAATCTGGAAAAGCTCAGATGTCCATCCCAGCCAGGTTGAGGGACTAAGCACAGAGTTCAGACAGGGAAGGACGTTTGAGGTAAAGTCCCTGACACCCAGCTTCCCTAGGACCTGGCATGGGCTGTGCAAGGTCCAGAGTGGCTACCTGTCCTCAGTCGTACCCCCAGCATCAGCCACCCCATCTGCAGTTTGTGAAGGTAGGAGCGTCCCGCTTCCCCACCCCCACCTCCCCACCCTCTGCAGTCACCGCCTTGCAAAAAAAACAGGCACATAGTTGACTGCGAGCCAAGCAGAGCAATTCTATAAATGTTGCAGCCCAGAAAGCTGGGTGGGAGAGGGCCAGGGGTTCCCCAGTGTCCCCGGATGGGCTGGAAAGGATGTGGAAGTGGGAAAGGGATGGGCCTCAAGGCTCTGGGTGACCTCAGGTAAGACCCTGCCCCTCCTGGAGCCCCTGAGCTGCTGTCTGTGCAGAGAGGCATTGGGATTCTTTAATCCAGCATTCTATTATCTGTGGAATTTTATGATATGGAATTTCCAGTCTAGAAACAGGATGGTGGGGGTAGGGCAGGCAGTTAGCCTAGAAGCATGTCAGGAGAGTTGGTCATTTGCTAGGAGCTGGGAGGGAGTGTGGAGATGCCCGACCATGATCTAGCTTTCATAAACAGGGAAACCAAGGCCAGGAGGAGAGAAAGTACTGGCTGAGGATCACACAGCTTCTCAGTGGCATGTTCTTCACTTTGACTTCCAGGCTCTAATCTCTTTCCAAGCATTTGCCCGGCACCTCTGCTAGGCATTGCGTAAGGCACAGAGATTTTTTTAAAAAGGCCCTCTCCAGGAAAAAGGAACCCTCTTACACTGCTGGTGGGAATGTAAGCTAGTACAACCACTCTAGAAAAAAATTTGGAGGCTACTTAAAAAGCTAGACATTAATCTACCATATGATCCAGCAATACCACTCTTGGGGATATACCCAAAAGACTGTGACACAGGTTACTCCAGAGGCACCTGCACACCCATGTTTATTGTGGCACTATTCACAGTAGCCAAGTTATGGAAACAGCCAAGATGCCCCACCACTGACGAATGGATTAAGAAAATGTGGTATCTATACACAATGGAATATTATGCAGCCATGAAGAAGAATGAAATGTTATCATTCGCTGGTAAATGGATGGAATTGGAGAACATCATTCTGAGTGAGGTTAGCCAGGCCCAAAAGACCAAAAATCGTATGTTCTCCCTCATATGCGGACATTAGATCAAGGGCAAACACAACAAGGGGATTGGACTTTGAGCACATGATAAAAGCGAGAGCACACAAGGGAGGGGTGAGGATAGGTAAGACACCTAAAAAACTAGCTAGCATTTGTTGCCCTTAACGCAGAGAAACTAAAGAAGATACCTTAAAAGCAACTGAGTCCAATAGGAAAAGGGGACCAGGAACTAGAGAAAAGGTGAGATCAAAAAGAATTAACCTAAAAGGTAACACACATGCACAGGAAATTAATGTGAGTCAATGCACTGTATAGCTATCCTTATCTCAACCAGCAAAACCCCTTGTTCCTTCCTATTATGGCTTATACTCTCTCTACAACAAAATTAGAAATAAGGGCAAAATAGTTTCTGCTGGGTATTGAGGGGGTGGGGGGGGGAGAGGGAGGGGGTGGAGTGGGTGGTAAGAGAGGGGGTGGGGGCAGGGGGGAGAAATGACCCAAGCCTTGTATGCACATATGAATAATAAAATAAATAAATAAATAAATAAATATATAAATATATATATATATATATATATATATATATATATATAAACAGCCAACTATGGCTGTAATCCCAGCACTCAGGAAGCTGAGGTGGGTGGATCACTTGAGTCCAGAAGTTAGAGAACAGTCAAGGTCACACAGCAAGACCCTATTCCTCCCCCCCCAAAAAAAGATAAAATATAAATAAATGGTAGCCATTTCCCCTCCCCAAAAAAAAGGCCCTCTCCAAACCAGTGGGTCTGGGGGGAAGTAGGAATGGGATAAGGGGGCCTCAATTAAGTAGGCAGAAAAATCAGTAGGACAGATGGTAAAGATGGTTGAGTCAGACAGCCTAGGTTTAACCCTGGCTCTGGCATTTACTCTGACTTTATTCAAAGCAAGCAAATCTTTCTGAGCTTCAGTTTTCTCATCTGTAAAATGGGTACAATGCTGGGCCCTACTTCTTGGGATGGGTGGGAAGTGGAACAAGGTCACGTGTATATAGCAGCTCCGCAAAAAGTGCTCAGTGGTCAATGAAAGATTTCAGAGAGTGAGCTGGGCCATCCAGGGGGGCAGAAAGCTGCTGAAGAAGCTCTGAGGAGGGCTGTCATCGGAAAAGGAGGTGGCATTTGGTCTGAGCCATTTGGGTGGAGAGTGGCCAGAGCAAAGTGGTGGGACTGGTGGTGGCAAGGAGTTGGGGAGGTGGGAGACAGTCCTGCTGGGCCTGGACTATTAGGGCAAGGGTTCTGGTCCTGATCCAGGCTGCAAGGTCCTAGCAGGGCTTGACACCTGTGTAGTCCCCAGCTCTGGGCATGTGCTTCCTGGAGTCTCCAAAGCCAGGAGGAAACGCAGGTCAGATGGCAGATTCCAGAGCCTGCAGCCCAGGAGAACTGGGCCAGGTCTGGAGGGAACAAGAGCACGAGTAATTGCATAACCAGAACTATCCGCTTGGCTCAGAGCTAAAAATGCACCCCAGGAGGTTACCTCTGCCAGGCCTTGCCCAGGCACCCAGCATGGGAAAGGCAGATTCTGCGCACACATGGACATGGGTGCCAGTGGCCCCAGCCCCCTCAGGAAGGGACAGAAGTCCCTATGAGAGAACCCCTAGTGCCCCTGGATGTGAGGGAAGCCTGGGCTTCCAACATGACCCCCCCTGTCTCCAACTGTTTTTCATCCGTACTTGAGAATGGTCACCCTGGACCCCAGAGGTTCATGCTGGGGTGGGGATCCAAGGAAGCGGTAAAGTGAGGTGCAGGACACATGGAGAAACTGTCATCACTTCGGACCACTAGATGAGGGGCTTGTGTCACAACCCCACCTCAGGATTGCCCCGCAGAACCAGCAAGAGGGATGCAAGGTGACATCTGCCCACATCAGGCTTTTCTCAGAACACACCAAAGCCTATCAACTCAGGGAGTCAGTTTTCAGGGCCCCTTCCCCACGCCGGGCCGTGCAAGGTGATGCCCACAGGGAGCAAGCAAGGGCCTGCAGGAGGTCATTGCTGCCCATGTCAAGTCTGTCTGCAGTGCTCCCTCAAGAACAAAGTTCACCCCCAAGAGACACGCGGAAAATGGGTTCTAGAGAGGGAAAGAGAACGTAGACACAGCAATCTGGGACTTTGAGCTGCAGGTTGACGAGCCACCCAGAGTTCCGAAGGACAGTATGCAATCTCTTACCCGAGGCCCTCGAGCACCAGGAGGTCCAGGTAGTCCAGGAAGCCCTGGGGGACCCTGAAGAGGAAGCAAGAAGGCAGGGTCAGACAGTGCCATGGGATAAATCAATCAACAATCCTGTCCAAAACTCTGAGCATGGAAACCCCATAGCTGAGAAAGGAGGCCCCTGAGGGCCCTGCTTTGAGGAACTCATGCTCTTTGGGGCTTTCAGGACTTTTGGAAATAGTAAACGCTATTTCCCAGTTTCTGAAGCCCTCAGTCTTTTATTCCCAAGTTACCTTGGAAGGGTGTCACCTCCTCCAGGAAGCCTCCCCTGGTCATTTCCCCAAGTCCTCTCTTCCCCTCTATGTTTACTCCCACCATATTTGATTTGGGGAATTATCTTTGTAGATGCCCGTCTCTCCCTCAGATTCAGTCTCCTCAAAGGAAACATTGGGATGAATCATCTCTACACCCAAGGCTCAGCCAAATGTTAGATAAAATAAAACGGCAGGAAATCTCAGAGCTCAGCCAAGTCCTCTGCAGAGCCAGAACAGAGAGGGGACTTGGCCAGGGTCACGCCAGCAGGCGGTGTAGCATAAAGAGCACAAGCAGAGGCTTTTGAGTTAGCCAGGCCTGGGTTCAAATCCTGAGCTGCCACTTAGCAGCTAGACTTGGGCAAGTTCCTCAGCCAGCCTGTGCTGGCACAGGGGCAGTAATTTTCTTCTCCTAGGATGTCAAGGATGACAAGAGATAGCAAATGAGTCTTGTCTTATGGACAACAGTGCCTGGTATGGAATTTACCATTCAAATGTTGCATCTGTTCCCATGGGGTCCAGGCTTCACCACAGCTCCCCAGAACTTGCACCAGCTCCCCATGAGTGCCCCTGCCTCTGCTCTCTCCTCCCCTCTCCAGTCTCCCTCCACCCAGCCTCATTCCCCTGTCACCGCCCCATAGTCACTTGCTCAACATTTTTATTAGTATCAATTAATTGTACAAAAGGGTTTCATTGTGATATTTATATGCGTGCTTACAATGTACTTTGATTAAAATCACCCCCTCTATTACTTGTTTTTAACTGCCTTCCCTCCTTTCCCCCTCAACAACATGCCATGGCTCCCTATTTCCCACAAGGAAAAAGGTCTAACCCTGAAGTATGCCACTTGAAGTGCACGTGTCTGACCTCATCTCTCCTCCCTTCGTGCCGAGCAGGTTTACTGATCCGTGAGCTGACTTTGGTTCACATCCCGCTTTTATCACGTCACAGCTGGGGGCTTTGTGCAATTTCTTCCACCTGTCTGACCATGCTCTTGTTTAAAATGGTTGTACTAGCCACTGTCCCATTCATCCCAGAGAGATGGATGAGAACTAACCAGCCGGGAGCCCTCAAGGAAGCCAGGCTTTCGAGGATGTGTGAGGCCTGGGGAATTCATTTGTTTCAAATAACCATCAAGGAGATTCCAGGTTTCCTGCCCAGAGCTAGCATTGGTGTTGAAAACTCAGTGTACTTCGGCTGGTAATTAATCCCACCTCACGCTGGGCAGCCTCGGCTCCGAGTTCTGGCTACTGAACACAGCAGGCTCGCTCGTCCGTGAGTAAAACTCAGAGAGATCCAGACAGGCAGAAACGGGCACCAGGACCCTGCAGTCACTGGACCAGAGTCCCAGGGGAGGAAGGAGGAGCTGTGATGGCCTCAGGCAAGTCCCAGCTTCCTCTGATCACCCTCCCTCCTTGCACTCAGGGCTGGGTGGACATCTCTGGTTCTCTGTCCTGTGGGTTTGGGACTGGGGCCAGGCTGCCAACCTCTTGTCCCAAGTTGGCTTCATGGGGCGTGAGTGGAGTGAAGTGGAGTGTGAGACCCGGGCTTGGGCTCATGGAGGGCACCCCACATACTAGCGCGGTGGCTTTGGGCCAGCTACTTCCTGTCTCCAAGCCTGCGTTTCCATAACTGTCAAATGAGGGTAATAACAGCACAGATAATAATACAGATAATCTGTAAGCGCGCTAATCCTGGCGCCTGGCACAGTTAATACTCAGTAATGTTAGCTGTTGCTTCTGGGAGCCGGCTCCCGGAAGTTCACTCAACAGTTTTGCCGCCACCCTCCCCCCAGCATCTGTTTTGGGGAGAGACCAAACAGTGTCTCTTCCTAGAAAGTCCTCCTTGGCCTGCTTCTCCCAAGTACCCAGAATTAAAGGGAAACACTGGTGTCTAAGGCTAAGCAATGTCTTGGGTATCTTGCACTCTTTCCACGAGTATGCCAGAGAGGCTCAGAGAGGCAAAGTGACTTGCCCAAGGCCACACGACTAACAAGAGGCAGAGCCTATACTCAAACCTGGGACCACTAGATTCATTTTCATACCCTGGGCAACCTCTGCACAGACAATGCTGGTCTGGTGTGTCTCTGACTAGGTGTGTGACCTTGGGTAAGTCCCTTCCCTTCTGTGGCCATCTATGAAAAGAACACCCCAAGCCTTTGGGGTACTGGCATTTCCTGGGTGTGGGAAGTTGGGGTGGCATTATCAGGTGATAGGAAAACAGTGAGATCATTTTCCATCTCACAGTGGAGAAGGGTCAAGGCCACAGGGGTGGAGGGAGGACAGGTCCATGTGTATCTCCCTGTGGACCCTGGTGAGGCCACAGCTGCAGAAGTCTGGACACTCAATCTTGACATCTCTTCTGCCCCAGAAATGGGGGCATCCAGGTTGGAGTCTGACATCACTCGCCACAATGCAGAGCAGAGTCCAGTACCAGTCAGGACCCAGGGGCCAGCCTGCTGACATCAACCTTCAGCTCAACATCTTGACACGATGGCCCAGGCTCCAGCTGTGGCCTGGGTAGACCCTCCATGCCACCAGCAAGGGCCAGGGTCACAGTGGCCCAACCCAGCACAGGCCTGACCCTTGTCCATTCAGTGCACACTTTATTAGCACAGGCGAGGGTGGGCACCCTGTGCCCCCTCTCCTCTGTCCGAGACCCTGCCTGTTCTCTGTGCAGTGGAAAAATGCTGCCATTTCTTTCCAGGCCTGAAGCCTGAGCGGTGACTCCTGGATGATTCACGGGCCGGGGTGGGATTTTCCACTCCACGCTGCAAACAACGGGGCCTCTGAGAGGGCCCAGAACAGAGGGGGCAGGGAGCGGGGGCTGCAGGCCTGATGGGGGAGATGGAGGAGGCCTAGGATCGGGCGTTCACAAATATGGAAAGTCCGACAGCCCCTCTGGGCTTCCCCCCACATACACCAGAGTCCTGGTTTCTGACAGCCAGACCTAAGGGAACCCCACAGCACAGAACAAGTCCATCCTTGTGCCCAGCTGCAGCAGCCACCCGCCAGGTCCTGCAGAAAGAAGTAAGTCCTGACTGGCATCTTCCATGCAGGCTCAGGCTCTGACAGCCTAGAGCCCAGGCCTACGCAAGCTGTTCACTGCCTTGTGATCTGAGCAATGACCTCTTGGTCTCTGAGCCTCTGCTCTGTTCCTGTAGCCTGATCTGAGCTCAGATTATTTCCAAGACAACACAGGGTATCAAGCCTTCCCCAGCCTCCGCCCTGAGAAGGGCACTTCTCCATAGGAATCCAGCTCTATATGGCCTCTGGGAAGTTACTGCATCTCCCTGTGCCTCCAGGCCTCAGTGTGTCCAGCCATGAAAATGAGGACATAATAACCCATCTTCTGAGACCACCAGTGCTTCTTAGCCTCCCAGATCCACTCTCTGCCCTAGGAGCCAACCTCTGCAGCTTGCACCCATCTTCCTGGTCCTCTGGCTTCTGGTGGGGTCTGGCCAATGAGAGATTGCAGTCGGAGCCCACTGGCAGGCAAGAACACACAGCATTTGTCTCCTGTGCCCTCCCTGCCAAGTTCTGCTGTGGCCCCAGATCCTACCGGGAGACCCACTCAAGGCTTCAGCTCTCATTCTGGTCTGGTCACACACTTCCCTGCCCCGGTTCCTTCAGGTCTGGGTGCAACAGGTGACACTTTGCTGTATTCCTGGGCTTCACCAGCCCTGGCCCTGCTAAAGCCCACTGGCCAGCATGCAAGCTGCTCCTCCCTGATAGCCTGCTAGACAGAGCAAAACACCCCTCAACCCTCCTGCACCTGGCTGGCACACGCGCATCAGTTTCTCAGTGCCAAAAGTCTGAAGGCCCCAGAGGCACCGGGGGCGCCCTCCAACTCTGCCCTGGGGAAGGGGAAACCAGCAAATGAAAACGAGCCTGGAAGCTGGGAGAGAAGCCCTGGGTGCAAGATGGAGAAAGCAGGGAAGCCAAAGTCCTCTTCCACAGCCAGCCTACGGCATCACTCTCTTCCCCACTCTCATCTGGAGCCCTTCCTCCTCTGCCAATGAGCCCCAACAATTTCCCCACTTGAACCCCTTCATCTGCACTAATCACAGTCATGGCAGTCCACTAGGATCCAGGTCCCATTGCTGGGTGCATTGTCATACCGTATCCCCATTTACAGGGGTCGAATCTGTCTCTTAGAGAGGTCAAGGGCCTTACCAAAGATCACACAGCACCAGGACATCTAGAAGGTACTCCATTGTCATTTGTGCTAAAAATGAATGCATAGATAGATAAGGGGATTGTTCCTACCCAGGTTGTTCCAAATCAAAGCTTGCATGTTTTTTTCATCCACATGGCCTCCCAGGTAAGGGAGTTCTGCATAATCTCAGGAGGTTAGCCCAAGCATGGGGACAGCCTGGTCTTTGTAAGTGTCAAATTCCTCATTCAATTCACAGATAGTCACAGAGCATCTGCTGTGGCCAAGCCTCGGCCCGGTTGCCCGGAGGTGACAGTTACAGAGTACTGTGTGTGGAGAAGCCAGCCCAATCATGATGAATAAAGCCTTGCCTGGCCTGCTCCCGGGCGTGGGGCTTCTGTGCAGCTTCTGTGCGGCTTCTGAACCGCAGCCTCCCTGCCCCAGCTCAGCTTTTCCATGCTCCCCTACTGGGGCTCCCACAGAGCTGCTTGTCACGGCTACTACTCCTGGCAGGCCTCAACCAGCTGTCTCAGCTTCTGCCAGGAGGCCTTGAATCCTCCCCAAGAACGAACAATTCACTGGCATACCCAGCCATGGCACCCTCACAGGCTCCATCATAGAGGGGGCCCCAACCCTTGGGGACAGCAAAGATTTCCCCCCAAATCACTTGTACAGCTAGAAGACATGGCCCCACAGACTGCCTTCCTGTGACAGCTTTCCACTTTGCAAATTCCCAGGAGGTCCTCCAACACCTTAGGTGGAAACCATTAGCTTCCGCTCTATAAAAACCAAGGCGCAAGTGAGTCAGTCCCTGAGCAAGTAAGGCGTGGAGCCAAGATTTGACCCAGGTCTGTGTGCCCCCTGTATCTGAGCATCACAGCCTCTCTCTGCTGGGCTTAGCGCCTGAACACATATATATGGGATCAGGGAAGATAAGAGAAGACAGAGTGGATGGACGTTCACATCCCTGTGACTCAAAGGCAAGCCTTATATTAGCTCCGTATCTGGGTGGGGAGGAGGGGAGACCTATTTGCCTCCTGCCACACACTGAGAAAGATTCTAGCAGTGCCTTGGTTCCCAATGGACTCAGGCCAGGTTCCAAGCTGAGGGCAAGGGGAGATCCGGGACCACATGGGGTGAGGCAAGGGTGGCACAAGGGCCATTGATGGCTTCCATCTTGCCCTTAGCAGCCAAGGCTGAAGGGGCAGGAAGTCTTGGCCCTGGCTAGAGGTCAGGGACCCAGAGCTGCAGCTCAGCCCCTGTTCACTCAGCTGTGGGATGGGGATTAGCACACATATCCTACCATCTTGAAAGCAGACCCCACGCATGATGAAGTAGCTCCTAAACTTAACCAGTTATGGAAGCAGATTTCTTAGACATTGAGCCCTGCCTTTGAGGCCAAGGACAGAGCCTGACTCACCTCTGAAGCTCCCACCTCCCAATCCTGAGTTCCAGGTGGATACTCGGGATGTGCTACTTCGAGTTCCCATCCTGGAGTGAAAACCTCAGCTCTGCCTCCTATGTGCTATGTGTCCTTAGGCAAGTTCTGGCCCTCTCTGGGCACAGTCCCTCCACCTGCCCAAGGAGAAGGGCTGAACTGAATGATCCCTAAGCTCCATCAACTGACTGGGTAATACCTTCTTTGATGATGTGGTTTAGACATAGAGTAGGCCCAAGGCAGATTCTACATCTTATTCTTCCTGCTCTAGTTCTGCTCACCCAGCCGTGGCCCTGGCTTCTCTCCACACCTCACGTAGCTGAGGAGGAAGGGCTGGCCTCCTCCAATTGGTTGGGGCCAGCTGTGTGGACAGGGGCTGGGACCCTGGGCCTCCCCACCCCATTGGAAGGGGATCATATACCCCCTTCCAATCTCCCAGCCTGTGCACAGCTTGGAAAGCTGAATTGTGAGGACCAAGGCCACCTGGGCCAGGATCAAGCTGGTCAGCCCGGAAGGTAAAAAGACTCTTCGTCTTTTCTTTGGGACAGTGTGGTTCCCAAACCTCCAGGCTGCCAAGTTCAGAACATGGAAACTGAACAGAACGTTGACATAATTGCAGAGCGATGCATACAATTTCCATAAGATCCACAATATGGTTGTAATAAAAGCGGACTCCCGGTCCCCTTGGAGACAGGCTGAATAAATATTATTCCTAATGATTATTAAAACTCATTAAGTGTGTTTGTAAGGCCCGGGAATTCCCGGCATCTGCCACTGTCTCCCCATTGTGGGAGCCCTAACCTCAAACACAGAGCCCAGTGGGAGCCCTGACTCCAGGGAGGAGGGGAGAGGCCCGCCGCACCGGTGGTCATCTCCAAGGAAGGAAGGAGGAAGAGAAAGCAGAGACCTGAAACCCCCTCCCTCCTTGCCGCCCTCCCATCATTCCCCACCCGGAGGAATTGGCCTCCAGCTGTGGGAAGGTCGTTGCCCCTGGAGACGGTCCCAGGCAAACTGGAGGCATCAACTCTGAGACCATCTCCTGCACAGGAATGTTCTTTCTTTTTCCTTTCCTTGCTCACTCTGGCCCACACTGACTTTCCTTGTCCCAAATTCCTCACCCAGAGGCCACAAATCACATGTCCACGGGCACCAGCTGGGCAGGTACTGCCTCTCTGGAAGACCCAAGTGGGAAGAGAGGAGACCTATGGTGACAGGAGGACCATCCTGTCCTAACCAGGCCACTGAGAGCCTCACATTGACCACTTTGCAAGAGAAACTGGTGACCGAGATTTTTATAATGACTCTCACATTTTTTAAATGCTGGTAACTACCAGATTTTTATGTGGCACAGGCCAAACAAAACATATCCCCATCTACTCCTCTGTGACCTTCGTCCACTGCATCTAGACAGGCTGCTGGGCCAGTGGGGGCAGCTCGGGAGCTGGGAGAGCCGGCGCTAGAGGATGCTCAGTGGCTCACTCTCCAAGACCTGAACCATTCAATTAACGGCTTTCCTGAAGCCACTTGACCTGCAATTGGGTTATCAGCAAATGACCTTGGACCCAGGCCAACCCAAGCCCAGAGGCTCCTACCTGGAGTGGCTACTACTCCTCAGCCTATCTCAGTAGTTCAGCAGACTATGCAATCAGAGAGCCAGGGCAGCCAGAGTCCGGTTCAAGTCAAGGCATGGTCCATATCCAGCTCCTGGCTCTAGGTTGTTCCTTTGCTCTGCCCTTACCAGAAGTGGCCTTTTGACCAAATTGCCCCATTGCCACCCACTCGAGCTCCAAGCCACATGCAGACCCCAACCAGACTTACTGGCAAGCCGCAATCTCCCTTGGGCCCTGGAGACCCCATCAGAAGGGGGAAAGGCGTGGGTCCCATCAGGTGAAAGAAAGTGTAGTCACTGCTTGTGGGCCGGGGGCTGGAGGACAGGACTCGAGCTGGGGCCAAGACCAGAGCTGGGGTGGGCTGCCAACTGGGCCTGGCTGTCAGTTCATTCAATGAAGCATCCCTGGCTGCCTTCCCAGGTCGGAGGGGGTTGGGCTTCTTGGGGCTGCTCTTGGGTCTGGCTTTCTTGGAGGCTTCCAATTTGGTGGGTTTCTTGCTTCTGGTGGGGGCTGAGCTGGTGGGAGGTGCCATTCTGGGAGTTCCGGTGCCTGAGGCTGAAGGCATCATGATGGCTAGAGGCCAAGTCACTTTGGAAGAGCCAGGACTGGGGGCAAGAGATTGGGTCAAAATAGTGAGCTGGAGAGGTTTGGGGGTGCTGGTGCAGGCAGAGGCTGGCTTGCAGGCATGGTTGGTCAGCTTGGCCTCCGTTTGTGCTAGTGTGGGTGTGGACTTTTTAGGGGAGCTGGTGGTGGGAGGCAGTGGCCAGGTGCTGGGGGGTGGAGGCCGGGGTGTTGCAGGGTTCTTCTTCATTGGCTTCCCTGTGAGGCCAGAGGCTTTGGCAGGAGCTGAGTGGGGGGTAGGTGGCACTAGCTTCCGGGTGGGTGGGTTTGATTTTGTGGATGAAGGGGGAGCTGTTTTCTGGGTAGGATGGGGGCTTCTGGCAGGGGCAATTGAAGAAGGGTCTGCAGGTTTGGTTGGGAGACGTTTGGGGATTTTGGTAGCTGCGATCTTCTGCGATGGCTGGACAATCACAGGACGAGGAATTTGGGTGGAGCCAGGCAGAGAGGCTGAGGACAGGGAGGGAGGTGCTTTTCTGGCAGACAGCTTAGCAGGTGGAAGTGGGGACTGGGCTGCACCTCCCCCTGTGCTATGCTGGGGAGGGTTTGCAGGGTTAGTCCTTAGGGTCTTGGTGGGCATAGTAGGAGCCACAGTCGCCATGGGTACCCTGCTTGCTGGCCGCGCCCCCAGGGCTGGTGTGGACAAGGTCAGGTTCTCCAGGCCGAGCAGGGCCAAGTCGGGCTGGAAGGTAAAGGGTCTGCCAGAGTCCCAGGGGAGGAGGGCCCCCAGCTGGGGCCGGTACATGTCAGCCCCCTGTCTGCACTGCTGCCTCAGGTGTACGCAATAATCGTGAGCGACCTGCACCACAGGATGGACACTGAACTGGCAGAGGGCACCTTCAAACTGGACGGCATGTGGGCTCATCTTCCCTAAGAGGAAGGAGCCCTCAGGGTCAAGTGCAGGGTCCCTGTTGAAAGGCAGCGGGATGAGCACCCGGCGCCGCCCACAGGCGGTCACCAGGGTGACTGTGCGGCTGCGGAGTTCAAGGGCCAGGTGGTGCCAGCGTCCATCGTGCATGTCGAAGTCATAGGCCACTGAGCGCCGGGGCCCCAGGTGGACGACCATCTTGCCCGGGAGGAACTGCAGGCCCAGCTGCAGTTTATGCTTCCGGCTGCGGACGGCAAAGAGGAAAGCATGGTTCACGCGGTGTGAACAGAGGCTCAGCACCAGCGCCAGCTCTGTGCCCAAGGCAGCAGGAAGGACAGTGGCCGTAGGCGCCTGCAGCCGGGCCCGCTGCGTGAAGATGAAGCCCGATTGAAATGGAATGATGCCTGGGGGTGCGGGGCTCCGGCTGCCCCCTCCCTTTGTCCAGCTGAGGCCCAGCCGCTGGAGGACGTCCACATCTGAGAGGGAGAGAAAGGACATGATCAGGGCCAGGGCCAGTCCCAGACCCCCAGGTGCACGGGCAGTGTGGATGGTCCACCCTCAGTCACCTGTTATTCATTCATACATCCGCACATAAAGCCTTAGGCTGGTGACCAAGAGTGCCACATTACAGCCGCCCCGGGCATTGCACCCGATTGTCTGGCTGCATAACCTCGCATGTCATAGCTAAGAACACAACTTCCTGGACTCACATCTCAGTTTTACCACTTCTTTAACTCTGAAACTCTAATGTCTCAGTTTCTCATCTTTCACTTAGGTAAAATTAGGACCAACCTCAGAAGGACGTTGTGACAATTAAATGAGTGAAGACACTTGTTAAAAAGTGTCTGATGGTCCAGGCATGGTGGCATACATCTGTAATCCCAGCAACTTGAGAGGCACAGGTGGGAGGATCGACGTCTGAGACCACCCAAGCAAAAACCCCCAAGGCCCTATCTGAAAAACAGACTAAAAGCAAAAGGACAAGGACTGGGGGTGTGGCTCAATTGGTAGAGAGCTTGCCTAGCATGCACAAGACATGCCAAAAAAAAAAAAAAAAAGTGGCCACAAAATAAGCTCTTTCAAATGATGGCTACCACTACCAAAAATAATGACCTCCATGAAATGCTAGTGTTCAGAGTGCCACAGGCTGCCCGACAACGACTTGTTTTCCCCTTTCTTTCTACCTCAAAAGCCATCTCCTCCAGGAAGCAGTCCCCTGTGAGGGACCAGGGTGAGCAGAACAGACATGTCACTGGGGTTTGGTAAGGGTGTGCAGGGTGCCTAACTGGTCTGGAGACCTCCTCAGGAACTCACCCGACCTCTTCCCACCTGGAGATCTCTCTGGTTGGAGCAGACTAAGGAGCTGGGGTCTGTGACCAGAAGGGAAGTGGCACTTCCACTGAGTCTGCCTCTCTGAGTGGCTTTGGGAAGAGCAAGGAAAGTAACCCTGCTGCCTCTGTGCTCTGGTGAAGAGTGCACACATCTGTCCATGGTCTCTCCAGGCCACATCCGCCCAGTCATCACATTGGCCTGGCTTGCCAGCACACAAGCAGGGTTTCCAGGGTGTTTATGGAAAGGCTCCTGACCTGGCCTCTCCTGGGTCACTAGATCGCCATTTGTTGACGGGGCTGCCAGTATCTTCAGATATGGCTTCCAAGCTCCGAACTCTACAGGGAAGCAAAGGCTGCCTCCAGAACTTCAACCTGGGTCAGGACCTTAGGATCCTGCCCAAGTGCTGAGTGCTCTCTCCCTGTCACCTGGTGCAAAGGCCACACTGGGACAGACCCGAGCCCATCACTTGGCAGTTAGTGAGCTTTCAGTTGACAACTGTGAGATAGATGGATAGATAAACAGATGGATGGATGGATGGACAGATGGATGGATGGATGGACAGGCCACTGGAAGAAACTAAGAACCTAGGTGCTGGCACCACGGTTCCTCCACAGCAGACTCGAGGTAAGATTGAGAACCGGAAAAGACCACCTGAGATCCTGGACCCTGTGCCTCAGTGCCCCCATTGCAAAATGGGGCAACGAAGAATGCCTACATTCTATGGTTGCTGGGAGGATGAATTGGTCCTTGTCATCATCCTCACCCAAGCCCTGCATCAGGTAACTCTGCCCAAGTGTCTTCCTGACCCCTGGGCCTCGTTTTCCTGGCCCGAGACAGCACCGTGTGTTAGCAGTGCTGTGAGGACACTGTGGCTCCAGGTGCTGTTTCTAGAGCTTTTTGGCTGGCTTAACTGTGTCTTCTTCCCTGGGACCCCCAGCTTTTTATTTCATTTCCAATTCCCTTCCCATCCTTACTCCCACCTCCACCCGTCCCCAGGTTTTAAGCTAAAATAAACTACCGAGCACTGCATATGAATTCTTAGTAGGTCTTACATACTTTAACCATTGAAACTCTCTTATTATCATGAAACACTTTTCACTATAAGCAAATTACAATGAGAGGAGCCCTCGATCAGGAAAGGGGTGGGGGCAGGAAGCCATCTGAGCGTCACTCCCAGGCCTGCTCACAACACTCCCCACACACAAAGCTTACAGCATCTGGCACAACCCTTAGAGATACAGCTTCTGAGCTCCAACTCTACGGGGAAGCAGAGGCTGCCTCCAGAACTTCAACCTGGGTCGAAGGGCAGGTGGCACCGGTGAGGGTTTCCTTCCCATCCTCTCTAGGTGGATTTCAAAGCTGAAGGGCAGCCAGTCTCCAGGGTTCCCCAAAGACTGCAGCTGAAGCCCCCAGTCTCTGAACCCTGGAGCTGCGGTGAGACTGACCTCTGTAGACCCCACGGGGACAGGAAGGGCTGTGCTTGCCCAAAACTTTCAGATGAACAAAACAATTAATTATAATAATAATAAACCAATGTGCTTTACTTTTACTTTCTTACTGGATTCTCTTAATAGCCCAGGACCCAGGCTATCCTGACCCAGGATCCCAGTTCTTAGCCACTACGCCCCACTAGACTCGATGGAAAGTGAATTGGAGACACATGCAGAATCCTGTTGGGGAGCAGAGCTCGGGGACAGGGAATGAACTCAGCCCTGTGCCAAGAAGTGAGGGCCTAGCCAGCTGGCCCCAGCAAGATCCCTTTATTACATAAACCTGGCTCAGCACAGCTCCACTCCCCCACCCCCAGTGCCTGACTCAGGACTCTGGACAGCTGTTCACCTACTTTGCGGGGGAGACAGCAAGCCTGGAAAATGTGACATGTGCCCAAAATGTTCCCGGGCAGTAGACTCTTCCGGGCACGGCCCTCCCCTCCCAGAGGCCCAATCTCTGCCCAGTGGCCAGGTCAGGCCACAGAACACCCCAGAACGTGTGCAGCAGTGGAGGAGGGGAGGGAGGCTATTTTAAGTCATTGTGGCCACTTGACAAACAGATGTGGGAGAGGTTTTGGTTTCCATGAACAGCTGTGAGGCCAGCCCAACGCCATCCTGGCCCCCTGGACAGCTCCTCCAGGGGCCTAGAAAAACGGGACCTCACGGCAAGAAGAGGGTAGGATCCAGGCGTAGGCTTTGACCTGTGCAGCCTTCCTGTCCTCTCTTGGCAGTTTTCTGGGTATGCATGAGACAAATAGGGACAACTGAAGCTTAGTTGAACTTAGGTGAGCACTAAGGTCAGCCCCAGGGCCCTTCTCATCCCTCAAAACACCGTGAGTCATTCAAGCCCAGAGAATGTGGCAGTGATTGACTCCATTCTCCCGATGGGAAAACTGAGATCCTGACTTCCAGGTAGGGTACAGATGTCCGCTACACCTGAGTTCTCAGGCCCCTTCTGCCCTCCTTTGTCTGTCCCTAGACAAAGAGAAGAGAGAATTACCTTCAGGAGCTCCTTGGGCAGAGGCCAGGTGACAGGCAACGGAGACCAAGATCCAGGCGAAGAGAAACCCCCTAGAGACAGGTAGACAGAAGGTCACAAGGCATCAGCTTTCACCCTCACACTCAGATCCGGCCATGGGATCTGGGAGGGATAGCCCAGCCCTGGCCCACCCCAGACTTGCTGTAGGCAGGATCAAGGTACCCATTAGAGATCCCCTTGCCTGCAGGTTACCAGCACAATCTCAGGTCCTCACAGGTACATAAGGCCCCAGGGCAGGAGATCCAGAATCTAGCCCCTCCCCCTCCCTGGGCCTCAGTCTCCCCATTTGCACTACAGTCTCAAGCTTGACTGTTTGTTCCCTAGCGCCCAGTCCACAGATGGAAGGGCCAGGGCTGAAAGGTCAGTGCGAGGACCGGACTGGTCTGCTTGGGTGACCGATGTGCTCAAAGTGCAGGGGACAGAGAAGACCCCTTCCCAGGAGATGCACAGAGCTCGAGCAGTTGCCCCTGCAGCTGGCTTTCTGCAGATGGCAAACACAAGGGCAGAACAGTGAAGTTGATAGGGAGCCAGGCAGCCCCACGTGCAAACCTGGCCTCAGGGCTTCCCAGCGGTGTGATCCCAGATGAGTCACTCAGCCTCTGTGAGCCGGCTCGCCCTCAGCCACACCGGCTGACACTCCCTATCTTGCAGGCCAGGCATGGGGATTAAGTCAGCTCATGTATGTGAAGGACTTGGCCTGGTGCCAGCCACAAAAGTGCTCCAGAGCAGGTCTTGGCTGCCTCAGCATACCAGGGCCAGGAAGGGTTAATGCTGCACACAGGGGCTCCTGCCAAGACGGGCAGAGGCGACGATCTGATTTCACCTTCCTGTGGGAGCAGCCACTGTGACACCCGAAGCCACCCGGGGCATCTGATCCCCAGGCAGGCAGAGGAGAGGGCAGCACGTGGCCAGAGAGGACTAGGATGCAGGCAGAGAGAGCGGTGCCGTGTGGGTGGTGAGGGCTGGTGTGCCAGTGCTGCTGGAGAATTGGGTCATCGTGGAACCCCAGCACCAATGTCTGTAGCCCCAGATTCTGTGCAGGCTCCAGGGTATCTTGGAAAACAAGCTCACCCTACTATCAAATCTATCAGCAATTATGACAAAGGCAATCAGAACTTGGGCACTGCAAGAGACACTGGTGCTCAGCTACCCATACGCATGGACTTCAGAGGGTCCTGGATGAAGCTGGATATGCCAAGCCACTCCTGGGAATTTCATTTGTCACGCCAGTGACCAGTTTAGGCATGCATATATGACTCAAATGTGATCAATGAGATGTGAGTGATGTCTGTCAGGCACCTTGGGAAAGTGTTTCAAAGGGACAGAAAGATTTTCTTCTAGCCACTGTGGGCTGTTGAGTGAGGACATACTAACTTGGAGCTACTGCAACTATTTTGTGCATGTGAGGTAACAAGTCCCATTGAACACATGAGGATGGAAGAATGGAAAAATAGTGGGTGTTTGACAACAACTACAGAGATGCTGAATTAATTAACACTAACACTGCTCTCCCTTGGGGCCTGTAGAAGTGGGTATGTAATGAGTCCCTACTGTTGAAATCATATTGAGTAAGGTCTTTAGTTACTTGCAGAATAAGACAAACTGGTTGAAACAGCACTGGATGCAAATGAGCCCTCAAAAACTGCCTGCCACTGGGCCTTTGCACATGCTGCTCCCATCATCTGAACACTAAGAGTCAGTTGCTGCACATCTGTTAGACGCACCATTATATTCCATGCAGGGTCCTTGTCTACTATAATATTTTATTTATTTTGGGCAGTACCAGGGTTTGAACTCAGGGCTCTGCACTTGCTAGGTGGGTGCTCTACCACTTGAGCCCTTCCCCCAGCCCTCTTGTCTATTTTCCTGTCTATTTCCTTTGTAGACCAAGTCCCCTTTCACTCTGATCTCCCCAGCCCCTGGAGGACACACAGTAAGTGTTGGGGAGACTTCTGCAAGGCAAACGGGTGGTACCTGATATTCCAGGACTCTGGAGTATAGAAAGCATCCTCCTAAACCCTGCATCTCTGCTCTGACTTCTCCAGGGTTGTCCCTGGAGAATCCTTGCTCCCTCCTTGTCCCTTCTGATCAGCTGCCACTCAAGAGCCTCTGGCTCACCACAGGACTTAAGGTCAGAGCGCCAGCCGCCCTGGGGCTGCCCACACCAAGAGTGAAGTGAGCCCCTCTGGCATGGCCCTGGGGGAAGGCATGACAGGGAGCTGTTTCATTTGACAAGTGGAGAAGACTGAGACCTGGGCAGAGCAGAAATTTCTCAGAAGACACTGTCCCTCGCCTCCCTGTGTCCCTGTGACACCATTCTTTTCTAGCCTTTCCCTCCAGCCCTCATTCTCTGAGTGCTTCACTGCACTGTCATGTCTGTCCAAGACAGGCCAGGTGGGAGAGAGGGAGCATGAGAGTCATTCATGTCCTTCTGCATCAATGTCTCCAGCTGTGTCCATGCCCAGGTGACTGCTCTGTGGAGCTCCAGAGGGTACATTAGAGGAAAATATTTTACAGGAGAAAAAAGACTCAGGGTGGAGACAGAGTTGAATCTTGTCAACTCAGCTGCCTAACACTGGGGCCCATTCATTCCCCTTGGGTCTAGACTAGGGATGTACTTGATACATAAACCTCCCAGTATGGAGCACAGCCAAGTGGGAGAAGGTCCTTGAAATTACCAGGGACCAGATTCTAGTTCTACTGCCTCTCTGGAGAGATGAACAGCTGAGGTCCAGAGAGGAGAAATGACTTGTCCAGAGCCACACTGAACCATGCCTCTCCCACTCAACAACTTCCCATTTGACTTGTCTCCCATGGAGAAGAAACTGGACACTCGTGGGGACTTCCACTTGCCAGAGATCAGAGTCCCAGCCTTCGCCAACAGGCTCAGAGATGCAGTGGGGAGTCCGCAAGCCATCTGAGTAAGCTCCAGCCTGGAAAGTTGGCTCTAGAGGGAGGAGGCCGGCCCTACTTTCCCCGCTGCAATCCTGTTTAGGCTACCGCTAATAACGCCTAGTGCCTGCACAGCCTCCGCTATGTTCTTCCAGACTTCTGTTCTCACCACTGCCTCGTGGGCTTGGCTTGGGGAACCAGGGCTTTGGAATGCAGGGAAGCCCAGCACATGGGCTGGGAAGGGCAGCAGGCAGCCCAAAAGGGAGCAGAGGGGTGGGGAACCTTGGCCACGAAGTCCTCCAACAATGAACCCAGGTGTTCCTGTCCCCTGCAAAGGTCCACTGCCAGCTCACTACACATAGCTACTCCTGGACAAGTAGGAGGCCAGAACCTGTGACCGTCTGGACTATTTCCCTTCCCTCCTTATTACTTGGGGACACACAGGACTTGGAGGGTCACCCTAGCTTGAACATTCATGGAGAGCTCAGAGCTTGGGTCCAGACATAACAACCCACAAGGAAGGCAGCCTGCAGACACTGCGCATGGCTCTTCTCCCACCCTGGGACCATGGGGCTGGCTGGGAAGCAGAGCAGCCAAGATGGTGGGGCTGTCCCACCTGCCTCCAAGACCTGGCCAGACCCCATGTGTCCAAATGGCCACGCCCAAGTCCTTTCCTCACACCTTCCACCTCCTCCATGGGAATACACACGGATCATCTGTCTGGACAGGATGCAGCTCAGAACTTTCCCATTGACTCACACAGTCATTCAGAATGAAGCGAATGGTGAAGCCATTTATTAAGCACTTACTGCATGCCAAGCAGTGTCCTAAGCACTTTACAAGCATGCTCTCACTCACCCTCACAAAAACTCTGCTCATTGGGAGTGGATGAGAAAACCAAGAAGTAGAGAGGCAAGAGGCCTGGCCCACCTCACAGCATCAGGATTCGAACTCACGTCGCCAGGTTGCCAGGTCTCTGCTCTCTGCCCCACGGCCTGTCTCCCACTGAAGTAAGCCCAGAAGTTTCCCTGCAATCCTCCTTTGACTGGCACTTCGGTGAGCCAGGCTAGGCTGCGGGGATATCAAGAGATCAGGGGAGAGACTCTTGACAACAAAATAACAGGGACGTGTGTTCGGGAAGGGGCAGAGGAAATGGACATTTCAAGAGCGGGACCCATCAAGGGCACTCCCAGGGGACTGGTGGCTATTAACAAACAACAATGTGTGTGGATGGACAGAGAAGGAAAAAGTTCTGAGCATAAGGAGGGAAAAGAAAGACAAGCAGGGCCTGGGATGCTACCCAGATAGCACAGTAGGCACAGTCTGGAGAGAGGGCCCGAGGCATGCTAGAGCCAAAGGGCACAGGATCCCCACAGGACCCCCAAGGAGGCAGAGGCTAAACCTCAAAGCAGTGTGACTGTCCACTTGCCCAAGGCTTGGGCCGCACACTGGGGTGCTCCCCTGGCACCACGTCTATGCCCAACCACTGGCATCTGTCCTGGCACAGGGTCTTCTGGAGAAAGTGAGTCAGCAGTGTACTCACTGGTGCCCTGCATGTGCTGTGTGTGGTGGGAGGTGGGGGAATCGCAAGCAGCTAGCTTTTTCCAAGACATGGGGAAGGAGGGGCCTTATCCCCCCAGATTCCAGCTCAAAGGGGTGGGGCATGGGAGAGTAGGCGGAGCTGCAGCTCTGACAGAGCCCAGGGGTCAGGGGCAGGATGGAAAGACAGCAAGTCCTGTGTGTGAGCACAGTCCAGGGCCCCCTGAGGGACTGTTCCCATCTTACTCACTCCCCCGCACACCCACACGCAGCAACTCGGTCTTGAACGCCCTCGCTCTCTCTTACAACTTCTGTACAAGCTGGGAATCCCAGCCACTGAGTGCCAGCTCTGCGCTGCCCCGCCTTGGAGATTCCCTGCCCCTCACTGGCTGGAGGTCCCCCATCTGTACAAGGAGAGGTTGGACTTGGTGACGGCCCAGGGCCTTTTTGCTCCGACATGCTGGCTCTCACTCTTTCTTGCTCACACTCGGGAGAGGGACAGGAACTGAGAGCTTCCCGGGAGAAGCTGGGAAACGCTGAGACACCCAGACCCAGGCAGACACATACACGGGCGGAGGTTTCCAGAAACGCGGGGACGTGCAGAGCTACACAGACACTGAGCCAGGAGCCCAACCCCGGACCTGGAGACCTAGAAACGTGCCCTCAACCTAACATGAGCAGATGGAACCGGGGACATACCGGCTCGGGATCTGCAGACACAGAGACTAGGAGCACACCGAGGTCCCCTCCCACACACCCCCTCCCCACACTGTCCCCTGCCGGCCGACCCCCGCCCCCATTCCCGACCCCCGGGCAGGCTCTGCACGGACCCTTCCTGGCTGGCCCACGTCCCAGTTGGACCGGCCAGCCCAGCCTGGCGCGGCAGGGTGGGCAGCGCTCGCCAGCCCAGACCCGGTCGGGGGGCGCAGCCCCTGTTAACCCTTGGCGTCCTGCCTCGTGGGGGCGCAGGAAGGGACAGGAAGCTGACGTTCCGCTGGTAGCGTCCGGCGCGGCGGGGAACCCCAGCCTTCTACAGATTAGAGGAGCAAGAAGCTGGGGAGGGGGCGTCCACGAGCTCGTACTCACCCCCCGCGTGCCGCCGCTGCAGCTGCTGTGCCTCGGACCCCCCGCGACGATCCCGTTCCCATGGCAGGCCCCTACTTCATGCTCCCGAGCCCAGGGGGCAAGTGTGGGCGCGCCCCATGGGGCCGCCAGCCCCCGTGCCCCGCCGCGCCAGGCCGGCTCAGAGCGCGCGGCCCGCGCGCCCCCCGCGCAGCCCCGCGCCCAGGGGCGCCGGAGCGGACAGGCAGCGCGGCCGGGGCCCCACAGGCGCCCGCGCCAGGCCCATGGTCCCAGGAGTCCCGGCGCCGCGCTCGCCCCTGTCTCGCTCTCTTTCTGCTTCCACCGAAAAGGAAGAAGCAAGAAAAAAGGAAAGAGATGATCAAACTTTTGGAGGCGGGCTGCTGGCGGTCCCTGGAGGCAGAGCAAGGCCGGGCGAGGGCGCGCGGAGGGCGGTGGAAGCTGCCTCCCCGCCGGCCTGGGGGAGGAGAGGAAAAGGAAGGATTTGGGGGAAATGAAGGCGATTTAAAGTCTCGGCCCGCGGCAGCTCTCCACCTTCCCTCCTCCCCGCGCCGGGCCGCCCTCTGCTGCCCCCTGCTGTCCCCTGCCGGCCGCAGTCGAGGACACAGCCCCAGTCCGCGACAGCCAGGCTGGGACACCCGCCCCCTCCTCCTTATAAAGATGGGGAAACAGACGCACAGTGAAGGGGTTGTCCAAGGCTGCACAAAGATTGATCGCAGTCCTGAGACGAAGGGCTTCGGACTTATGAGACCAAGGGTCCTCGAATTGAGAGGAAGGGTGGAGGAAGAAAGAGGACAGACTACTCCTGAAAGGATCCCCGACTTCTAAGGGACAGAATTAGGACCAGGACTTGGTGTCCAGACTCCCACGACAACCAGTGTCTCATCCCCTAACCCCTAACAAAAATATTATCCCCCAGATTCAGAGCTCCTGGAAGAACGTAGTGGGTGGTGTGTTAAAATGTTGGTTGCCTTCCTCTACCTCTTCCTTCAGTAGAAGTGGGGATTTAACACCCCCCACCCCCAGAGTCTCCCAAAGACTCCTGAGATCCCACAGTGGAACCCAGAGTTGCACACCTTGACTGGCGGAAACTCCCGGACCCACACCCACACCCACAACCCCAGACCAACCTTAAGACTAAAGCTCCTCTCACCTCCATATCTGAGACTCGTTTACCGGCAAACACACGCATTCGCCAGTAAGCAAGCAAGCACGCAAGAGCGCACACACACACACACACACACACACACCACACACAACCATCCACATCAACACCCCAAACGCACACTCACACACATGCAAACACATCTGGGCTCACGCGATGAGATGTCTGGACTCCGCTCACACTTGAACTTTAACACATGCAGATGCATGCACACGAGTGATTCCCCACGCACAAATGCACGCTATCCTGGCCAGATTTCCTTCAGCGCACAGACCCGCACACACACAGACTCCCGCATACACACACAGCCCACTCCCACACCCAAGTGCACACACGCGCACACATCCTCACTTGCACACAGCTCTCTGCCACCACACGCACGCACACGCACTCCCTCTCCAAGTTTGTACCCACCTCCGCATACGCGCGCACCTTTACACGCACGCACACCAGTACTCCCAACGCTCCAAATCCCCCATGGAACTTACTGGGTTCCTAAGGGTGAGGCTGGCCGGTCGGTCCTTCCACGGGCCCCTAACGGCATTTGTATTCATGGGTCCCCGCAGCCCCAGGCGCGGGGGCTGGGGTGTGTGGTCCCCTTCCCTAAACGCGGCGCGGGCGCGCGGAGCGCAGCGGCGCCGGGAGGGGCATGGGCGCGCGGGCCTGCGCCGCCAGCCCGGTCCGCCTTCTCTCAAACTTCGGCCACTGTGCGTCCTCAAGCTCCGACGCGAGCTCCGGGCTCTGGGGGTGGCTCATAGGTGCTGGGACCGCGACGCCTGCCGGGCCTTTTGAAGTCTCCGCTGGGGGCGGGGAGGGGGGCTGAAGGCGGCCTTTTAAATCGCGGCTGCACGCGGGCACGGTCAAGCAAGGTGTCTGGTTTCAACAAACTTTAGGAAAAGTCCCAAGCGGGAGGCGGGAGGAGGGAGCCGCCGAGCTGTGCGCTGCTTCCTGCAGGGGGCAGAGCACCCATGGCTGCCAGGAGGGAGGGCTGGCGTGGTATGGGGGAGCCGGTGGGCTGCTGATGGCGCGTGCTACCGCCACCACCACCACCCTCACACCCCCACGTTCAACAGCAGTTCTTAACTCCCAACCACTGGCAGGCGGTGCTGGAACACTCCGAAACTGTGCACAACTGTGCACAAATCGCCCGTGTTCCCGCATTCTTCTGGGGAAGAGGGGCCACGGGTTTTCCTCCGCTTTTCGGAAGTCCACAGCCCTGAAGGTTGAGAACTCCTTGTCTAATCATGGCTGATGTGCTTTTTGAGCTGCATACTTTGTGCCAGGCACATCCTGGCTTTATTTACATTTTTGGTATTTTGTTCATGTTGGATTTTTTTTTACATTAATTTTGAGACTTTTAAAGTATTGCATTAATATATTAGGTATCTTGATTACTTGAGGACTTTCTGGCACTCTCTTAGATATTTTTGTACATTGCTGAGGGGTTGTGGAACCCCTGGTATTTTGCATCCCTCCCAGGCATTGTCTAAAGGCCACCTTCTGAGGGAGATGTGTTATTATTTCTATTTACAGATGACAGCTCTGAGATAAGCTGGTAGGTGGTGGTGGTGGTGGTGGTGGTGTGTGTGTGTGGTGGGGGTGTCCAGGTAACCTGATCCCTGTCTTCTGCTTCTCAGCCTCTCTCACTCTGTGCTACCACTTGGCCTTAGCCTTTACCTGTTACCGTTCTGAGCAGATCCTCCTTTCCTCCCTAGCTTCATGTCCCACCCCTGAGCTCTGTTCTGTGCCTGCCCACCCTGCCTACCAGCTGAGGCAAGCTTGGCTACTTTGAGGCACAGGTCCACACCACTTTGTCCCAGCCCCATGCCTGCCTGTTCACAACCTCTTTGTCTTTCTAGATTTGATTCAGAGCTCACTAACTCTGGGTGGGTTGCTCTGCCCACACTCACTTTGTAACACACATTGGGTGTTGTCATGGTCAGATTTGTTACTACGCTCCCCATTCCCAGCATAAAACCTAGACACAATAGATTTGAATAAATTCAATAGTTTTATTTTTTTATCTCCTTCAGGCTCTGGGGGCAGAGGGTCTGCCACTATGGGGGTGGGATCAAAGAAATACATATTTGTAAGGCAAACATGAAACATGCCCAGAAACTTGGGGTAGGGAGGTGAACCAGGATGGACAACATCACACATGGAGGACTTCCTGAAATTGCATAAAGCTAACAATACAAGGAGGATATAGTGTGTATACTATCAAAGAGATCAATTGAATTATCAAACTGACTAAGTGGTGGAAAGAAACCAAGGAAGGTTCCCAGGAGGAGGTAGCATTTAGAGTCTGAAGGATGTGTTGGCTAAACCTTCAGTCACAGAGGAGAAATATCTCCAATAAAATCACCGATGCCAGGAAGCTGGGAATGGATTTCAGGCAGATCTTGAGGGAAAGGCAAAAGAAACCCCTTGGAGAAACTGTCCAGTTCTCCACACTGTATTAATCACCTGACAGCACATGGCTCACTGACCACAAAGCCATTTCCAGGCAAGGACACTCATTTCCTCAAAGGCTGGGCAGCAGCTCAGTGGCTAAACACCAAGGCCTTTCTAAATCTCACCCACAAATTTGCATATGCATTAGCCAGCAACCAAAAGATTCATGGGAAACTCTTGGGAGACCAAGAGGACTTGAAGGCATCCCCTGCAGGACCCATCCACGAAATAGATGGGTCTAAACATGATAATTTGCGGGGTCTTTCATGCTTGGGAACATAGACTATTGTTCAACAATAAATCCAATTCAGTAAACAGTTACGGAGGGCTCACTACATTGAGGGCTTGCTTGGTAGGAGGGAAATGAGGCTCGTGGGCTTCCAGGAGCTCACAGTCGGCTGGAAAGAGACAGGGACTCTGACAGCAATTTCAGGAAAGGGGCCTGAATTCCTGCTGCCTCTTCACACCCAGTCTTTCTTTCATGCAGGTTTGTGGTACAGGCATGAGCAGTGGGTTCCAAAGACACAGAGCCATTCCCCCTGTGAAGGTGACAGGTATTCTCAGCCGGCCTCAGGTGGCCAGGCAATAAGCCTGGTAACAGGGTAGACAGTGACTACAGACCTATGTAGACGTTTCAGGATGAGGCAGAAAGCCGGGAGGTCCCGGCTGGTGGGGACTTTCAAGACTCATAGTTTCCTCCCTGCCCAAGTAGATCAGACATGGGTCATTGGTCTCCATGGCACATTGGCCTCGAGAGACACTGTCTATCTCAGTAGCATAAATGGCAGACACATAGTAGATGCTCAATAAATGCTCATGAATGAACCACTAGGTGAGACTGCACACCGCCCAGGTACCCATCACATCACTTTATCCACCCAGATTTTTCTGAGGACCCACTGTGTGCCAGGTGCACTTCCTACCCTTGAAATGATCAGATCTGAGGAAGGAGACCAGCAAGGAGAACACAAGTAATGCAGGTCAGCCTAGCTTCCAGCCACGCTGAACTGGGAGAAGCAGGGTCCCACTTTCTAGTCTCCCAATTTTCCCAGTACCCTGAACCGCTGGCGTACCAGCATGGGCCTTGCGCTCATAGTTAGGCTCCAGCTATCAAGTAGCATGAGATGTGCACACAACTCACATCTAATAACAGAGTCCACTCATTCCCAGACCACTCAACCGAAAGAGTAATGCTGCTGTGTGACAGGCCCTGTGTCAGGGTCCCTGGATACAAGTTGTGTCCCTGCTGGGAGGGTCTCCCAGTCCAAAGCAAAATGCCTGGCACCTAGGAAGTGCTCCACAAATGTTGAGCAGTGACAGAATGAATAAATGAAAATGAATGGATGAAAGTTAACATCACCAGATTAGACCCAGGTTAATGGCCCTGTCCCCTGCTCTCTTTTCCACATGATGACGGACCCAGCTTCGGGTACATCACATGTTTTGAAGACTGTGACACAAAGCACCAATCTTTATGAAAGAACAGAAAACACACACCCAATCTATTAGATGACATCAAGATGTCCAGTAAGTAGTGGACCACTAAGCAGGAAACTCAGTGAGTGGTGCTCCAGGCTGTCCTCAGCTGGGTCAGAGGCAAGGCTTCTGGAGGAGCTGCTTGCAGGAACAAGAAGAAAGTGAGGATGAGCTGTGCTGGTGGACGTGCAGCTGCTGAGAAGCCAGGGGTGCCCTGG